TTAAAAATGAATAAATTGTCAAGGTTTAAATGCCAATCGTTAGGAAATTTAATAACGAGTTCAGAAAGGTATGACAATCCATACTTTGAATCAGTATTTGCTTTGTTATAGCGAAAAAACTGCAACGTTTTAGCGAAAAAACGGGTTTGGTTTTTTTTTGGAAATTCGCGATTTCAGTTTTTGACAAAAATTGGAATTTTTTCTTTTGGTTTTTTTGCTGTAAATTGGCCAAAAATGGTCCTACACCAAAAATTCATACTGTTTTGAACAGATAACAAAATTTGCTATAAATCCATAAAACTTTCCGTGTAATTTTGGAAAAATAAAATTTTCGCCAATTTTAAATTTTTTTATAAGGGGGTACCCCATGATTTTTTGCGAAAAATTAAAAATGAATAAATTGTCAAGGTTTAAATGCCAATCGTTAGGAAATTTAATAACGAGTTCAGAAAGGTATGACAATCCATACTTTGAATCAGTATTTGCTTTGTTATAGCGAAAAAACTGCAACGTTTTAGCGAAAAAACGGGTTTGGTTTTTTTTTGGAAATTCGCGATTTCAGTTTTTGACAAAAATTGGAATTTTTTCTTTTTTTTTTGCTGTAACTTGGCCAAAAATGGTCCTACACCAAAAATTCATACTGTTTTGAACAGATAACAAAATTTGCTATAAATCCATAAAACTTTCCGTGTAATTTTGGAAAAATAAAATTTTCGCCAATTTTAAATTTTTTTATAAGGGGGTACCCCATGATTTTTTGCGAAAAATTAAAAATGAATAAATTGTCAAGGTTTAAATGCCAATCGTTAGGAAATTTAATAACGAGTTCAGAAAGGTATGACAATCCATACTTTGAATCAGTATTTGCTTTGTTATAGCGAAAAAACTGCAACGTTTTAGCGAAAAAACGGGTTTGGTTTTTTTTTGGAAATTCTCGATTTCAGTTTTTGACAAAAATTGGAATTTTTTCTTTTGGTTTTTTTGCTGTAACTTGGCCAAAAATGGCCCTACACCAAAAATTCATACTGTTTTGAACAGATAACAAAATTTGCTATAAATCCATAAAACTTTCCGTGTAATTTTGGAAAAATAAAATTTTCGCCAATTTTAAATTTTTTTGTAAGGGGGTACCCCATGATTTTTTGCGAAAAATTAAAAATGAATAAATTGTCAAGGTTTAAATGCCAATCGTTAGGAAATTTAACAACGAGTTCAGAAAGGTATGACAATCCATACTTTGAATCAGTATTTGCTTTGTTATAGCCAAAAAACTGCAACGTTTTAGCGAAAAAACGGGTTTGGTTTTTTTTGGAAATTCGCGATTTCAGTTTTTGACAAAAATTGGAATTTTTTCTTTTGGTTTTTTTGCTGTAAATTGGCCAAAAATGGTCCTACACCAAAAATTCATACTGTTTTGAACAGATAACAAAATTTGCTATAAATCCATAAAACTTTCCGTGTAATTTTGGAAAAATAAAATTTTCGCCAATTTTAAATTTTTTTATAAGGGGGTACCCCATGATTTTTTGCGAAAAATTAAAAATGAATAAATTGTCAAGGTTTAAATGCCAATCGTTAGGAAATTTAATAACGAGTTCAGAAAGGTATGACAATCCATACTTTGAATCAGTATTTGCTTTGTTATAGCGAAAAAACTGCAACGTTTTAGCGAAAAAACGGGTTTGGTTTTTTTTTGGAAATTCTCGATTTCAGTTTTTGACAAAAATTGGAATTTTTTCTTTTGGTTTTTTTGCTGTAACTTGGCCAAAAATGGCCCTACACCAAAAATTCATACTGTTTTGAACAGATAACAAAATTTGCTATAAATCCATAAAACTTTCCGTGTAATTTTGGAAAAATAAAATTTTCGCCAATTTTAAATTTTTTTGTAAGGGGGTACCCCATGATTTTTTGCGAAAAATTAAAAATGAATAAATTGTCAAGGTTTAAATGCCAATCGTTAGGAAATTTAACAACGAGTTCAGAAAGGTATGACAATCCATACTTTGAATCAGTATTTGCTTTGTTATAGCCAAAAAACTGCAACGTTTTAGCGAAAAAACGGGTTTGGTTTTTTTTTGGAAATTCTCGATTTCAGTTTTTGACAAAAATTGGAATTTTTTCTTTTGGTTTTTTTGCTGTAACTTGGCCAAAAATGGTCCTACACCAAAAATTCATACTGTTTTGAACAGATAACAAAATTTGCTATAAATCCATAAAACTTTCCGTGTAATTTTGGAAAAATAAAATTTTCGCCAATTTTAAATTTTTTTATAAGGGGGTACCCCATGATTTTTTGCGAAAAATTAAAAATGAATAAATTGTCAAGGTTTAAATGCCAATCGTTAGGAAATTTAATAACGAGTTCAGAAAGGTATGACAATCCATACTTTGAATCAGTATTTGCTTTGTTATAGCGAAAAAACTGCAACGTTTTAGCGAAAAAACGGGTTTGGTTTTTTTTGGAAATTCGCGATTTCAGTTTTTGACAAAAATTGGAATTTTTTCTTTTGGGTTTTTTGCTGTAACTTGGCCAAAAATGGTCCTACACCAAAAATTCATACTGTTTTGAACAGATAACAAAATTTGCTATAAATCCATAAAACTTTCCGTGTAATTTTGGAAAAATAAAATTTTCGCCAATTTTAAATTTGTTTATAAGGGGGTACCCCATGATTTTTTGCGAAAAATTAAAAATGAATAAATTGTCAAGGTTTAAATGCCAATCGTTAGGAAATTTAATAACGAGTTCAGAAAGGTATGACAATCCATACTTTGAATCAGTATTTGCTTTGTTATAGCGAAAAAACTGCAACGTTTTAGCGAAAAAACGGGTTTGGTTTTTTTTTGGAAATTCTCGATTTCAGTTTTTGACAAAAATTGGAATTTTTTCTTTTGGTTTTTTTGCTGTAACTTGGCCAAAAATGGTCCTACACCAAAAATTCATACTGTTTTGAACAGATAACAAAATTTGCTATAAATCCATAAAACTTTCCGTGTAATTTTGGAAAAATAAAATTTTCGCCAATTTTAAATTTGTTTATAAGGGGGTACCCCATGATTTTTTGCGAAAAATTAAAAATGAATAAATTGTCAAGGTTTAAATGCCAATCGTTAGGAAATTTAATAACGAGTTCAGAAAGGTATGACAATCCATACTTTGAATCAGTATTTGCTTTGTTATAGCGAAAAAACTGCAACGTTTTAGCGAAAAAACGGGTTTGGTTTTTTTTTGGAAATTCGCGATTTCAGTTTTTGACAAAAATTGGAATTTTTTCTTTTGGGTTTTTTGCTGTAACTTGGCCAAAAATGGTCCTACACCAAAAATTCATACTGTTTTGAACAGATAACAAAATTTGCTATAAATCCATAAAACTTTCCGTGTAATTTTGGAAAAATAAAATTTTCGCCAATTTTAAATTTGTTTATAAGGGGGTACCCCATGATTTTTTGCGAAAAATTAAAAATGAATAAATTGTCAAGGTTTAAATGCCAATCGTTAGGAAATTTAATAACGAGTTCAGAAAGGTATGACAATCCATACTTTGAATCAGTATTTGCTTTGTTATAGCGAAAAAACTGCAACGTTTTAGCGAAAAAACGGGTTTGGTTTTTTTTGGAAATTCTCGATTTCAGTTTTTGACAAAAATTGGAATTTTTTCTTTTGGTTTTTTTGCTGTAACTTGGCCAAAAATGGTCCTACACCAAAAATTCATACTGTTTTGAACAGATAACAAAATTTGCTATAAATCCATAAAACTTTCCGTGTAATTTTGGAAAAATAAAATTTTCGCCAATTTTAAATTTGTTTATAAGGGGGTACCCCATGATTTTTTGCGAAAAATTAAAAATGAATAAATTGTCAAGGTTTAAATGCCAATCGTTAGGAAATTTAATAACGAGTTCAGAAAGGTATGACAATCCATACTTTGAATCAGTATTTGCTTTGTTATAGCGAAAAAACTGCAACGTTTTAGCGAAAAAACGGGTTTGGTTTTTTTTTGGAAATTCGCGATTTCAGTTTTTGACAAAAATTGGAATTTTTTCTTTTGGGTTTTTTGCTGTAACTTGGCCAAAAATGGTCCTACACCAAAAATTCATACTGTTTTGAACAGATAACAAAATTTGCTATAAATCCATAAAACTTTCCGTGTAATTTTGGAAAAATAAAATTTTCGCCAATTTTAAATTTGTTTATAAGGGGGTACCCCATGATTTTTTGCGAAAAATTAAAAATGAATAAATTGTCAAGGTTTAAATGCCAATCGTTAGGAAATTTAATAACGAGTTCAGAAAGGTATGACAATCCATACTTTGAATCAGTATTTGCTTTGTTATAGCGAAAAAACTGCAACGTTTTAGCGAAAAAACGGGTTTGGTTTTTTTTTGGAAGTTCTCGATTTCAGTTTTTGACAAAAATTGGAATTTTTTCTTTTGGTTTTTTTGCTGTAACTTGGCCAAAAATGGTCCTACACCAAAAATTCATACTGTTTTGAACAGATAACAAAATTTGCTATAAATCCATAAAACTTTCCGTGTAATTTTGGAAAAATAAAATTTTCGCCAATTTTAAATTTGTTTATAAGGGGGTACCCCATGATTTTTTGCGAAAAATTAAAAATGAATAAATTGTCAAGGTTTAAATGCCAATCGTTAGGAAATTTAATAACGAGTTCAGAAAGGTATGACAATCCATACTTTGAATCAGTATTTGCTTTGTTATAGCGAAAAAACTGCAACGTTTTAGCGAAAAAACGGGTTTGGTTTTTTTTTGGAAATTCGCGATTTCAGTTTTTGACAAAAATTGGATTTTTTTTCTTTGGTTTTTTTGCTGTAACTTGGCCAAAAATGGTCCTACACCAAAAATACATACTGTTTTGAACAGATAACAAAATTAGAAATAAATCCATAACACTTTCCGTGTGATTTTGAAATAAATAATTTTTTCTTTCTCTAATATCCCCTATCACCCTATCTCCCTTATCTCTAACTGAGCTTACTTGTCCTTGGCATAGGTGAGGAATCGGCGCAGATCCATCTTGGATATCCCGCCGATCGGATTGATGTCCGCCGAGGAGCAGTCGTACTTGGTGAGGTAGCCGCGCAGCGACTCGTCCACGTTGGCGGAGCCGAGGACGAGCAGTCCGCCCGGCCGGTTGCGCACCCAGAGCATCAGCTGGGCGAAGATGTAGGCGAGGACCATGCGGATGCGGGACTGCATGTTCTGGAGGGCCAGGTTCTGGCGGGCGCAGCCGCCCTGCGTCCGGAAGCGCGGCGTCAGGCCGGTGACGGCATTGAAGATGCCCAGCAGGGCATTGACCGCCGAGTCGATGCTGATCTCGATGTGGTAGCTGCCCAGCTGGCTGGCCAGTTGGGCCGCCCTGCGGCGCGTCTCCTTGCTGCTGTTCACGCTGCCCATGTAGCAGGTGACCAGCAGGCGGTTGCACAGCCCGGCCGCGTTGTCCGGCGTGTAGTCCGTGTCGGCCAGGATCAGCCGGATGTCGTGGAGCACCTGGGCGTCGCCCAGCTGCACGGCCTGGACGATCTGGCGGCACATCGAGTGCACGATGGTCGCCGAGCTGCTCGAGTCGACGCCCCCGCTGAGGGGCAGGAAGAAGCCGCCCTGCCCGGAGCGCCGCAGGTAGTCCCACAGCCAGCAGGCCGGGCCCAGGGCGATCTCCTCCTCGGGCGTGTGGACGGGCCAGTTGAGCGGCGGCGTCGAGGTCTTGAAGATGTCGCTGTGCGTCGACATCTCGAAGTCGCAGTGGATCCGCGGGTAGTCCGGCGCATTCGCCGCCGCCGAGCAGCGCGATCGCAGGCTGCAGCGGTAGGCGCGAATCTCCTCCAGGTCGATGGTGGCCAGCGTGACCTCGACGTCCTGCAGGGCGAACTGCTGGCCGCGCGCCAGGATCTCTCCGTTGAGGGCGATGGCCGAGCAGCCGTTGAAGTAGACCCGCTGGCCGTCGCAGCCGCGCAGATTGCTGAACAGATAGGCACCGCCGGCCTTGAAGCTGGCATTCCGGATGAGATCCGAGGTGATGTGCGCCTTGCGCAGCTCCATGTAGCTGCCCGAGCTGTTCACGATCAGCTCCACGCCGGCCAGCGACATCTCGATGTGCTTGCTGCGCACGTTCCACAGCTCCTCGCAGATCTCGTAGCCCAGGCAGGTGTCCCTGGTGGCGATCACGGCGTCCCCGAAGGGCACCGTCTGCTGGCCCGTGTGCTGGGCAATCATCCGCGGCAGGACGTACTCCTCCGTCTGCAGCGCCTTCGTCCAGGCGGTGAACCAGCGCGACTCCCGGTAGTTGCCGTCGTCGCACATGGCCATCTTGGGGCGGATGAGCAGCACCTGGCGGTTGAAGAACGCCACGCGGCAGTTGTAGGCCACGTTGCGGTGCATCACCGGCATGCCCACGTCCACCAGCATGTTCTCGCTGGGAATTGAAGGTCGAAAGAGGTAAGTTACAGGGTAATATAGCTTGGGAGCAGACTACTCACCACATGGGCGACATCATCACCTCCAGCAGCACCTCCCACGAGTGCAGGAAGGTGTCCGGCTCCCGGAAGTGGTCCTCGCAGCTGTAGCCACTGTGTGATAAATAAATATAAATTAATAAAATTTATAAATAAATAAGGGAAAGATTTAAGGGATTTTAGAAATATTTAAAAAAATTCAATGAAAAGTGATATTCTTATCAGTAGGATTTTAAAAACATTTTTAAAACAAATTTTTAAGTGCCGAAAAGTATGCAGAGAATAAAGGAAAGGCGTCTGAACAACGTAAAATATATTGTTGCCTACTTTTAAGCAAACTAGTAAAGAATCTTAGCTATCAAAAAGTATGCAGTGAATATGAAAGAATCTTAGTTGTCGAAAAGTATGCAGTGAATATGCAATAGTCGTACTAGAGAGTCTAAAATATATTGTTGCCTACTTTTAGACACCTAACAATTAAATTTATAAGTGATTTCTAGGCCCTAGTGATTTGTGAGTTCTTTAATTACATAAATATTATGATAAAAAGGTTGCCAAGGAAATTTCTAGTAAGCTAGAAACTAGTTTAAAAATGTTTTAAAAAGTATGCTATAAACAATTTAATCTTTTAGATTAAATATCTATTTTAGCAGAATTTTAGGCACTTTTATACATGATCTACTTACCAAACCTCCAACTCAGGTCCCGTGCGATAGCTGGCGCCCATGTCCTTCGCCTCCAGGATGGACTGCAGTATCCTCACCATATTCCCCTCGAAGTCCAGGGCCCATTGGTTCAGTGTGGACACCGCCACGGTTACTTTGCGTCCCATTTTGTAAGTGTTTCCTTTGTTTTCTGATTAAATCCTTTGGTTCTTTGTTTTGTTTTTCTTTAACAGTTGCGCTTAGTTTTATTGTCAGTTCAAAAATCGGCAGTTATCAACTGGAAACGGAAACGGAAAATGGTGGTATATTAATGCCACAATGCAGCTGCAATTAATTTGATGGCTGCGACTCAATTCGATGGACCTGGTCGACTCTCACGGCTTTTGGGTCTGTGTGGCATTGTTGATTTCGTTGATTTTCGGTGTTGTTGTTACGGTGGCCACATATCTGGGTTATTGATCAAACAGCCGCAGAGTCGCCAGTTGCCAGTCGCCAGTCGCCGGTTGCCGGTGGCAGCGGTACTTGCAAATTGGCCCGCTGACGTAGCCGGCATCTAAAATTAGAGCCCCATGGACGAAAGTCCAAGAGGCAAGACGCAAAAGCCGAAAGCCAAATGGAGGATAATGCGGCAGAGAGTCGCGCAAATTGCTCAATTAACCCTCGAACTTTCCTTGCAATTGCCTCGGAAAAGGTTATGAAACAAAGTAAATGTCTATTTTATTTGCTTCCTGGCATAAATGTAAACTTAGGATGTCTTAAAATGCATATATAAGATTCTTGATTGGTCGTTTAGAAAAAATAGGAAAATATAAAAAATATGGAAAAAGCAATGAGTAATTTAGTCTAACATGTTTTCATTGACATTTAAGAGAGAGAATACACTTGAAATTGATTCTAAGCTGCTCGTTGGCTTTCACAAATTTATGGAATTTTAATAGGGTTTAAAAAAATATCAACAGTTTTCTATTCCTCGATATTTTATCGAATCAATATTGTGAAAATATCAAAAAATATCGATAATTTTGAAGCTCCGAATTGTGTACAATTTTTTTTTTCGGATTTCCTGAATGAAAACACTTAAAAACCAGAAATGTTTTATTTTCGAAATGATGTCTAAGTATCTGCGTTATTTATTCATTATTTAGTATTAAATTTTAGATTTTTCATATTGAAACTAGTCTAGTTTTTTGGGTTAATCCCTTGAGAGTGTGTTGCACTTCAGTTGGGGAATTTCCGGTTCTTGGCCACTTCCTTTCACGCCCACGACCCACTACCCCTGAACAGCCCCCATTACATCAACCCTGCTGTTACCGCAGCTCCATTCATATATCATCATTCGTGACGCACTTTTGGCATTTCAAGCTGAAAAATTGAAAGCCAAAAGAATAACGTACGTCTGCACAGCAAAAATAAAATCATAATAAAATTAAAAATGTTACACTAAAGTTTAAAAAATGTAGGTATTAATAATAGTTTCATATACCATATACATTTTATTTTAGAGAAAGAATCCGAAATCGTTCATCTTAAGATTAAGCAATTGGGTAACTTTTGTAAAACATATTTTTCGCCATGTTTTTTGACCCACCACCCTTACCCCCAAAAAAAAACCCTATGCAAATTTACTTTGCCAGGCAACAAAAGTTTAAAACACGCAGCGTACACACACAAACACACCTTTACTTGCACACACACACATGCATGCATGCATGAGGTGAAATTTCGCATAAAGTTCAGAGTTCATTTAGTTTGCCCGTAGAAGTCGCGCATATTTCATTTCTCCCGCTTGATGGCTGACAGGAACACTCTCCCCAACCCCGAATTCCCACTTGCTCCTCCCCGAAACCGAACTGAATCCGAAATCCCAACTTAAGGCCCCGAAATAACTCACGGACCCCAAGCGTCAACACCCCCTGAAAGTCGAAAGTCTGACAAAGTTGCGTTTTGGATTTTTCGACGCCTCGGCGTTTGTGGAAATGTGTGAAGATGGACTGTCAGTTGCAGTGCCGTCAATTTTGTTTAAATAACACTAAGGTGTTTTATAGGAAATGGGATTTATTAAAAGGAACATTTAGTTTGGAGTTAGTTTAAACTTTAAGGTAAAAAATGGTACAAGAGGTTCTAAAACTTGAAAAGATGTCAAAAAGTATGTTATACAAAAATCAAAATATGTGGTAGAATATTTATAGAGCGTATCAAGAGATTTTAAATTAAGAGATTAATTTTTTAATTATTAAATTTAACATTAATGGGGATTTTGGCCACAATGGCAACCCTGGTTGGCTTGACTAGGGGTTGGGGGAGGGGGTTGAGTGACACATCGACGTGTGTGTGTATGTGCGAGTGTGCGTGCCGCAAGCGAAATGCATTGAACTTTGAACCGCGGCAAAGGGCAAAGCTTCAGGACAAAAAACAAAAGGCCGACATGGAGGTGAAGTTAAAAAAAAAACTGGAGAAAGCGGGAATGCAGAATGTTGAATGAAAAAAACTTTTGCCAATTGGCAGCCAATTTTAATGGCACATAATCAGCAGTGGCAGCGCAACGGATGGTATGGTATGTATGTACTCTATATGTGGGGGAATCCGATAAATATGCCAGTACATACGATTATCTGCGATAAGGGGTGATCGGTGCACATCGATTAAATTAAATTAAAATATTTAATATAAATTTACCTCTAAATGTTCGATGACAACATTATTTCTAAAAATATGCATTATAAAATTATGAATATTCTGCAATACAGCGAATTAACAATATTTGGAACTACAGCCTGAAAATGATCGATATTTTCGATATTTTGGCAATATCAATTCGATATTAAATATCGATAAATAGCAAACTGTCGATTTTTTTTCCAACACTACCTGGAACCCCTTACGGTTTGGAACTCCCTGGATATTAAAATCGAAACACCCTGTTTCCCGATGGACTCGCATGTGCATTATGGTCCTAGGTGCTGGCACGCCAGGCGAATTGGCAGAGGATCGGGGAAATGGGACTGCATCGGAGAGGGGGAGGAGGAGGGGGAGGAGCAGCGGGACAGGAGAGTCATTGGCAGCGACGCCGCATCCTGGAGCTGTGTTGCTGGCTTTTCCGCTGATAGCTGCCACTAATGCAACTAATTCGCTTTGATTTGTTTGCCAGCCCGCGTCGCATTGTCACGAAGTGTTTCCCATTTTCCCGCTTTCCCTGTGACTTTTCCAAACTTTTCCGGCTTTTCCGGTGGCATCGGATCCCATCCGGTGGCCAGTAGCCAGTTACCCGGTATCCGTATCCGGCGTCGGGCGCCGTTCACCGTTAACATTTACCGCTCGCTTCAAGGTGAAAATACCGCTCAGCTGGATTCGTACACTGGGCGAAAATTAATACCAAAATAACACACTAAAAAACCTAAAAGCGTTTGGATTTAAATACAAGAAAATTGTATTTTAATATTTGATATAATATAAAACATATAAAATCTTTAAAAATGCCATAAAAAATTTCATTAATGACAAAATATAATAAATTCGTTAAACAAAAATATGTTTTTGTGACAGTGTTTTTTTTTTAAAGCTAATAATTTATACTTGATATTTAAAGACCTTCTTTTGGCAAACTAAATAATTTTCTCCCAGTGAGAGTGAGTGAAATTCCCGGCGATAAGCAGGCCCTGATACTTCAGTTCAATTCGGCCCACAACACACACACATCACATTCGAAAATCATCATCCCATCCGAACCCCCTCACTCATTTAGACCTCTTTAGTCACTCATACAACACACATGAACACACGAAAAGGGAAAATCCCATTCCGAATCGGAGACAAATTCAGCACAAAGCTCGTCCGCCAATAGCCCAAAAGTGCTTATCGCACCCACGCATCGGTACGCAGCCCCCGAGCAACCCGATCTAAGCCAAGTGAAGGGATCCAGAGATCCAGAGATCGGGAGATCCGGAGAACCTCAATCTCAAATCCCAGAAATGCAGAAGGGCGTCAGGGACAAGGAGAACCGGAATGCATCGATGGGTCCGGAGATCTGCGAGTTCCACCAGCAGCCTTCCAAGCAGAACGATGGTAAGTCAAAGTAATATTAAAATATAATATATCTATTTTTAAAAAATAATACGAAATATAGATCCAGATATACCTGAACTACAGGTTTAACCAATGTAAACAAAACTATAAAAGTCTATATATTTAATTACAATCTTATAAATGACATATGATTTTAACAACTATCACAATACCTAAAATAATAGGCCTCTGTCTGATTTAAACAATATTTTAAGTCATTTTGTAGTTTATTTAAATTGAATAGCTGGCTTCTACAATCTGGTATTAATTAATTCTATAAATTGTATGCTTATTAAGTTTCAATAATAAATATAAAAACATTATGGACAAGCCTTTGAAAATTGCTTAAAAATATTTGATTTAAATAATATTGTTGTATTATTAATGTATTAAATAGTTGGCTTCTAAAATCTGGCAATAAGAGTGGGACAAAAAACATTCGGAAAGCCGTTGAAGATCGCTTGATAATAAATATATTAAATAATATTGTTATTCTGGCTTCAACAGCTAGTTAGTTAGTTAGTTGAACTGATATTCCAGTAAAATCTGGTACTAAGCAGAAGAACTTAATTAATTATTATCAAAGCCCTTTACCCGAGTAATAAATAAAACAATCAATTAAGCCAGGCCTTTGAGAATCGCTTGATAATAAATCACAGCTCGCGATTCCTCCCGCTCCTGTCCATCCAAAAAAAAAAAAAGAAAAGAAAAGTTTTGGCTTTTGGCTGGCATTTGAATTTGACGTACCTGACTCCTGACTTCTGACGCCTGACGTCCACCGTAAATAGTTTCTTTTTTCGGTGCCGGCGTCTATTTTCGTCTCGGCTCTAAATGCATATCAATAAAGGAGAAATGGAGAAGCGGAGCACTGTTTTGGCTCCTGTCACTGTCTTCTACTCGCTGCTCGGGGGACCTCCCCGGAAATACCAAATACGAAATACTGATATACAGATATGGATGGAGGGGCAAGGGGAGTACGACGGACGGATAGGCTTCACTGTACTGCGGGCGGCCGCAGCCAAAAATAAAAAATATACAAAAAATACTACACGAAACCATTGAGCAAACACAGCGAAAAAATGTAACAGGAAAAAGAACAAAGGAGACGCAACCAATTGGTGAAGCGAAATGACATGCAAGGCGACGCAAGGCTATAATATAGGGGGTATACCATAGTTATGGGGGGGATCGGGATCTCGGGTGTTGCAGCAAGTGTTTCGTTGGGGTTTGGGTTCGGGTTACCCCGTGGGCCTAATGACGCATTGCAGACAAAAACGATATGACGCCTCGTGGAAATAACCGGCGGGTATGACTTTTCCTGAGTGAAATCCGTGCGGTGGGAAATGGAATACGTTGATTATTTTAGGCGATTATTAATCGATTCTTGGCAATCAGAGATTATCTTTTACGATTACTGATTGGCAAACGGAATACGCTGATTATTTTATTCGATTATTCATCGATAATTGGCCATCGTGGGTTATCGTTAACGATTACTGATTGATCAGGCGCGATGGTATGACCATTTTCGATATATTATTATGCTATTAATGATACAAAGACATCATATATTATTTATGTTAAATTTAAAGTAAAGCTTAAACCTTGAGAATGTGATACTGCCTGACTATCAAAGTTTCCTCGCCGTAAAATGGGTTAATCACAGTTTCGGAAAGCGTCTCCCTTGCGTGGCGCCACCGCCAAGTCATTGAGATTGAGCCGCCCGCGAGGACCTCTTCTCTAAGGACGTCCCGCCGCTGCCAGGGCGCTGTCAAATGCCAATAAGCCGACATCGTCTCCATCTCCGGCAAAAACAACCAAGCCAAAGCTGAAATACTGGAAAATTGGTGCCAAGCGGGCCATGCAAAACACACAAAGGGCGGGGGTTCCAGATTGGGATATCTGGGGGGTATCTGTATTGCCAAATCAGCTATTTTTATCGTCCTTTTTTGGCTTTTTAAAAACTTACTATCTAGCTCTTTTTTATTTTATATTCATATTTAGTTTAAGTGTTATTTTAAGGTTATTCTCTTTATATTAGAAACTGCCAATGCAATCGCTTTTAATCTTTGTTCTGATTTATTTCCGAGTGGGACAAAATCTATTTGTAAAATGCTTATTTCGTAATTGCGACCATCTGTCATCGCCAAATGAAATCCATGTGCCAAAATTTTGCAAAATTCAAATAAAACATAAATGTCAAGCTCTTCGAACGCAACTGTCGTGATGAATGGCTGCTAAAATATTCGAGTATTGAAGATTTGCATAGAAATTCGTTTGTTTTTGGGTTCTCTATGATTCACAATAAAAATAATCCAAAAACATGGGTATTTCCTTTGTGAAAATTCGCCATCACTGATGGAAATCGCTCACGCGCCAAAAAGTAGGCAGCAAAAAGAGTGGCTGAAAAGGCGGGTGATCCATATAAGCATTTGTCCCGGCTCAAAGGGGATTTAGAGAGCATAAGCATATTTTTATTATATTTACATGTGCACATATATTTTAAAATTGCTAAACAAATGCTCCGACCAGAGGGCTAGGACTTTGCTGCGCTGTTTATAGCCCATGTCGTGCGCAATTTATGTTAATCACGGCGAAGTTTCAATGGGGGTGAAGAAGGGGTTAGGATGCCCCCAGTGGCCCGCCCCTCCGGCCTCCACAGCCACGTGTAGTAGGCCTACAACAAAATAACGAAAAACTATTTTTTGTTGTTTTTCTGTTTTCTTTTAATACCCTATCAAGAGGGCATCATTACATTGGGCAGAAGTATGGAAACGCATCTCTGAATATTATAATAAAAGATTTGGAAAATAACTTATTTTATTATCATAAAGACAATTTTTTGCATTTATAGATAATATTCACTAAATTGATATGAAACTTGTTCGATTCGTGTATTATGTGCTGACAAACAATCATGTCGGGTTTCCAGCGATTACCATATCGCATAGCCGCTTGGGGAGCCTTTGAGTGAGTGTATATCTGGTTCGGCCTTTTGGGCGGGCCTTCAATTTGTTTTTGTACTGTTGTTTTTTGTCTCGGTGCCTTGCACAAAGGCAACGCCGTGGCAGCAACAATTTTAATGCCGTGGTTTACTGTGATTCGCAATTTCGCCAAAGGCAGCGACGTCGACGCCGGCAGAGGCAGAGGCAGAGGCCACCATTGTCGTCCGCGTTGGTTTTGCAGCTCGGCTCAGCTGAGGCTCAGTCTCAGTCAGCAGTTGCGCTAGCAGCTGAGCTGAGCGAAGAAGAGAAGAGCGACTCGAAGCGATTCGAGATAAACCGTTAAGTTGGGCTGGTCAAGCACGCGCGCGCTGATCTGTGTGTTTTTTTTTCGAGTGCATCCTAACAAGATGGTGGAGAGAGAGAGGGAGGCGGTGTCCGCCTCCTTGAGCCGCCTACTGAGAACCTTGAGCTCGGCTTCGATGAGCAGACGTCGCTGTCCCCTCGCCCTCCTGCAGCCTCTGCCAGGGCGCCAGAGCGAGATGGACAGCGCGGAGAGTGCGGAGAGATGCTGCAGCAGTTGCAGCGAGGACAGCAACAACAATGGGCGGGCCAAGAGCGAGGAGAGAGAGACGGAAGCTGAGCTGGAAGCTGGCGAGGGGGGAGAAGAAGAGGAAGAGGAGGAAGCGGAGGGAGAGGGGCAGCTGGATTCCAAATCCAAGGAGAAGGAGGCGGGAGAAGAAGATGAGCTGGAGCTCAAGAGAGACAGTACCGTTAGTGTGAATGTGGTGAGAGCCAACTTCAAATGCAATGACATGGAATGCTCCCTAGTCCTCGGCGACTATGTGAATGGTGAGTTCCGTTAGATTCGCCACCCGCAACAGAGAAAAAAATTATGACATATGTTCTGATAACACTGTGCAGCACTTTTAGTGCTTTTTAAATTTACCTCGATGGATGCTATATTTTTGGATTCGTTACGAATTCCCAAGTTAAACTGCGTTTTCCAAAAAGTTCCCCGACGCAAGGATTCTTAGCAAAAGGACCTCAAAGTTCGAAAAATGCTGAAATTAGCCAACTTTGCGGAGCTCTCAGAGGCAAATGGATGCATGGTTTGATTCGATGTTAAAGTTTTTTAAAAGATACACCCCTTATCTTTTAAACCCCATACTTAAAAAATTTTTTACATTTTTTTTAAGGCAGAAACAAATTCTAGAAAACATAGTCAAAAAACATAAAAGTATACAGCAGCGGTCAAAATGGTAGTAGTGTTGCCGCCCTGTGTATTTAAAAGTTTGTTGTTGTGATTGATCTTTTCCTGGTAATATTGTATTGATCATAATTTTACTATTAGACTAATTGGATAAGAAAAAATTACAACATCAAACTTTTAAAAACACAAGGCGGCAACACTGCTACTATTTTGACCGCAGCTGTATGTTATTCAGTTTTTTGACTATGTTTTTTGGAATTAATTTCTGCCTTAAAAAAAATCCTAAAATTATTTTATGTATGGGGTTTAAAAGATAATGGGTGTATCTTTTAAAAAACTTTAACTTCGAACCAAGCCATGCATCCATTTGCCTCTGAGAGCTCCGCAAAGTTGGTCAATTTCAGCATTTTTCGAACTTTGAGGTCCTTTTGCTAAGAATCCTTGCGTCGGGGAACTCTTTGGAAAACGCAGTTTAACTTGGGAATTCGTAACGAATCCAAAAATATAGCATTCATCGAGGTTAATTTTTGATGCTGCATAGTGTAATCAATTTGATAGGATAAGCTTGCACCACTTTGATTTGTTTAACTAAGGGCAGCACATTATTTAATTTATTTTAAGCTAATGCAGAATAATTCTACATTTAATCTTATACATATCAAATTTCTCATCGAACTGGTTTTTTTGTCGGTGCACCTCCTCCCCCTTTTATTCGCCCACTTCATGATGTTCACTCAAGCGCTGTCAGCAGATAATGAAGATTCAATTTGATGTGTTAGCACAAAAAACGGAACAAAAGAAAGCACTCAAGATGGTTATGCAAGAAACGGAGCTTGGATTACCCTTGAAAATATCTTTAATAATAAGGGGAAAATATTTTCACTGTGCCATAGAATTCCATTGTGCTGGAGTTTATTACTCATACGCAGTGTTGACATGTTTTAAATATGTATGTAGGTTTGTAAGTGTATCTTTAGGGCTGTAAATTTGTCTTTTTAAGCAATTTTAAGATCTCAATTAAAATTCAGATTTCTGACAATCTGGGCAGCTAATAAAAATTAAGCTCTAATCTGGCACACATGTCGTATGAGTAATTTTTGTGAAAAATCTGGAATATTGCAAACTAAGTTCGTTTTTATAAGCTAAATGAGTGTTCAGGAATATCAAAATCATGATTTTAAGATAATATCAACTGACTCACTGTCTCCCTAGAGTTTGCACATCAAAAGAAGCATACACAATCTGCAGATATCCATCGGGAATACTTATTATTCAGCAAAATTTATAATTCGCTTTTCACTTCCAATTCGTGTACATCGTTTATCTCTGTCACAATTATTATAGAGAGCTTCAAAATGCGGATTCGGGTGATTTTATTTTTTGTGTGAACAAAAACACACATGTCGTCCGCTGCCAAAATATGGCAAACGGAAATTTTTAATTGCAATTTGTTAATTTGCCCAAAGCAGCTAGCAAATAGAGCGCTACTGTGAATACGGGCTCAAAGGAACTTTTAAAATAAAATAAAAACCGTAATTGAAAGTATGTATTGATTATTATTTTTAGTAAATATGAATATTCGAATGAATATTATTATTATATGTAAATTCATGTTATATTGATTAATAGCTCGTTAAATTTTTACGACTATGAAATTTAAAGTGAACATTATAATCAAAGTACCAAATTAGTTACTTTAATAAGTAGTTAATTATAAATTCAATTTCTTTAGATAAAATAAAGTTTATCTTTGAGGCTTTGAGTGGATTACCATCGTTATTCACTGTAGATACGAAAAGTGAGGCAAAGTTCTTGGCGGACAAATCGGGGGATGGGGTGGCGAAAGCTAATCGCTGGCACAATTCGATGATTGACGAGGGCCAAGCGGCGCAGGGTCTCGCAGAGGGGGGTGATGGCGGGAAAAGCGAGGAAAATGAGAAGTTCGGGGGGCAGGTGGGTGGTGTGGTGAGGACGGCATGCGTTTACGGTTCGGTTAGAGAGTCTTCTTTTCGCCTTGGCAGTCACGGCGTCTTGCCAAAATAGAAAACACATAAATTGCACGATCAAGATCATTGCTGTTGCCTCAGTTGCTGCTGCAGCTTCTTCTTTCTGATATTCCCTTGCATGGGGTATTATAATGTGATATGTAAGATAAAACATTGTGCAGTTTTATTAGGTCCAATATTTTTTAGTGAAATCTAGATCTTATCGCATAGTTATTATGTGAAATAACGAAATATTGTTGTTTTGTTAATCGAGTATATTTTGAGGTTTATAAAAGCTAAAGTAGAAAAGATCGGTTAAATGGAAGGGTATTAAGAATACAGCTTTCTTTCTTTTCAATGGTTTTTCCGATTCTTCTCGCTTTTCATCCACTTCGATGACATAATACCATAGGCAGAAAAATAGGGGGAAAAAAGGAAGACGATAGAAACCGACTGATTAAAAGTTTTCGCCTTCTCCTCTCGTATCTTCTCTTCTCTTCGCTTCTCTGGCTCTCTCCTCCCGCTCGTTGACACCTGTTCGTTTTGTGTCCGCGTAGGCAGCTGACAGCTGCTGCTTCTTCTTCCCCTCTCTTTCCACAAAAGTTTCCCACGGTTTATCCAACCCCCACCCCAAAATCACCCTCCCACTGATTTCCCACTGCCGCCGAGGGAGCGACTTTGACAAATTTGTTTGGCATCGAGGCTTTGCTTTGATTTGTTTTGCTTTTCTTTTCTTCTAACTTTTCTTTTTAGCTGCGTTCGTTTTATTTTTATTGCTTCAGACTAATAAAAAAAACAAAAAAATAGCGAGCAGCATTTGATTGAAAGAAACTAAGTGGCTAAATTGTTTGTCCCAAGCAAAAGAATGGGGCAACAATCATTTATTTAGATCTTAGGAGTTTTTATTTCAGCTTGTATGGAAAAATAAAATCGAAAAAGCGAGAATGCAGTTATCGAAAATATGATTTTGATTTTAAGGGATATCGGGATTTTTATCTAAAACTATTATTATTTACAAATATTACTGAGAAATACCCAAAAGATAAGGATTCTACATTGTAATTGTTGGTCAAAAACCCCTTTTACCGGTCTCAACTGGAACTATCTCGATATTCGGCGAACTAACTAGATGGTGTAAACGTGATCTGGAGATATCCGTAGCCGTGATTCGCTCCACCTTCGGCAAACATTTGTTGCTCGTTAGGATGTGCCCAAGAATTCCACGAACCACGAACTACGAGCCGAGTTTGTTACTTCTTTTTTCTATTATAGTATTTTTTTCCCCGTTTTTTTTCTCCTTTTTTTGGCGTATCCAAGGCTGGTTGCCTTTGGCTTTGGCTTTGTTTGAGCCATCGAATCGAATTCATGTTCACGGCATGCCATGGATGGATGGATAGGATGGCTCATAGATATGCATGGGTATGTGTGGAGCAGAATGCCAGGACTACCTTGCACTTCCTTCGAGCATTAGACAACGAGAGCGAGAGAGAGAACGAGCCTTTGTTTATTTGTTTATAACAGTAGTCGCAGTGGAAATTCGAGTTGGCTCACAACGGCTCGAATCATCGACTGCGGCTCAGTTCGGCCAAATCAGTGGTTATCATTTGACGACGCAATGCGAATCGAAAGTATCGTCTAGTCTCGTAAGTCGGTGCGGGAATTATAATAATAATAATAAGCAGAAGCGGAAAAATAATAATAATGCCGCATATCGCGGCTTTGCAAGGCGATTGCATAAGGACCTAAGACCTGAGGCAAATGATATTATATATCCAACCGAGTGGTTTGCATTTTTTCAAAGTGTGCCAAAAACGAGTGAATCGAGTAGTGAAATCAATCAGCCATCTGTGCTCCCATTTTCGCCATCCAATCCCCCGAATCGCTGGTCTTCCCCCCTTCACAATGCCGTAAGCATCGAAGCACTATAGTATAATACCATGGACTTTGGAGGCGGTCGCGTGCAATTCCTGCAGGCTCAGCTCTTTCCCGTCTGCACGCTGACCACGTCGAGCGGAGGTAATGAATGGTGTTATTTAAGGATATAATCTATAAGAACTCTGTGAAAACGTGGTTAAATCCCAAAATACTTTAAGTATTACCCATTAAATTAGCTTAAACCGATAATTCGTTTGAAATATAGTGAAATCCTTAACATTTTAAACAAAAGCTAACTTTTAAAAAGGGAATAGTGCATTTAAACTTGTTTTCTTTTCTAGAATTAACTACACTAATTCAATTTGACAAAATTACTGCTTTTAAGAATGGCTAATTTTATGATTTTTTAAATATTTTATATAATTGAGTAGATTGATTTATAAATCAACAATAAGACATTTGTCAAAAGTGCTGTCAAGCTGTTCAATCCAATTGATAATACAGTAGAGCTTCTATAACTAAAACCAACTTTTTTCTTAAAAGTATAGATAATTTTTAACTAATATATATATACTTATACATTTTTTAAATGTACTAAAATTGTTTATTTATTTTAAATTTAATTTTCATGTTGTTCATACTCACTTTCAATTTGTTGTTAGTTGAGTTTGTTGTTCCTGTTGTACGAATAGATTGTCTAAGGGCACCTCGGTGTTGTTGTTGTTCGTTAAATGGTTGCTGCTACCGGTAGTTCACTGTACTACATGACCAGCAATGGGGGAATTTGTTGAATACTGGGCCTTTATCGCCCCGCCCCGAAGGAAAGTTTCGTTGTGCGTCGTTCTCGTTGTCGTTCGCTTGGATCCTTTTCCACTTCCCTCTAATGTCCCCACCTCTTGGCCCACCTGCAAGCGGATAAAGTGCGGATAAATGGGAATTAGAATTAGCCGCAAAACTGTTTGATTTCAGTCGCCCCTCGCGGCTCGGCTGTCATGACAACGGCAATAAAAAATCATTAACACAGAAATTCCGGAATCGGAATCGGAATCGCAATTCGGAAATCAAATTCGCTGCCGGTTGTCAACCAAGAACGTATAGATATATATGCATGTATAGGTATAATACGGGGGTATTCGAACCCATTTCAGTTCATTGAATTGCGATTAACGGCATTTCACCTGCATAAATCAAAGCCACAGGCAGTAAACTCATTAATGTTCCTTGACTTTTGGGGCCCTCGACTACTTCATTATTTCTAGCGTGGAAATACGCTCGGCTGGGATCGCATATAGACTGTTCCGCTGCAGGTGAAGTGGAAATTTCGGTGGTGAATTCGAAACGGGGAATCCCCTAGCCGGGAATTTCCAATAATTGGGCCCAATCACATGTATCTAGGTTATTTATACCGCACTGTGGGGCATCCTTAGGATACAGAGTTAATTAATAGCCTTTAGGTTAGGTTCCCATTTCATTTTTATACAGTTTTTATGAAACTTTAGATCTATATGATTTTATTAAATAAATTATCATATTTTATTATTTCTATTTATTTGATTAATTATTAAATTAAGTATTTTAAATCTTTTGATTTTATATGAAATTTTAAAAAAATATATAATTTGTTTTGAATTTAATAAAGTTGATATACCCCAAAATCTTTGCCATTATGTAGAACGATCTGGGGGGCAATGCCATAAAAGCGTCTGGAGAAATGCAAACAAAGAGAATGTAACAACGAAATTTATTAAACAAATTTCATTTCAGAATGCAAATTGCAAACTCACAAAAAGAAAAATAACAAAAAAATAGAATATGGCCTAGGCAAACAGGCGCGAGAAAAAATGCCGAATAAAAATTGTGAAATATTCTGGGGTGGCGAAAATATTGCGCTGTTCCGCGCGGATCAGTTTTTGGGATCCGGCCTCAAAGGCATTGGCCGAATGCCTGCGATTGGGATAAACAAAATGCCATAAATATTACGAATAATAATACAATTTAAGTAAATAATATGCAAAGGCTGCAATTAGAGGCGATCGGTCCGCAGATCTCTGGCTCTCGATTGCCGCCTGCATTTGAGCATAAAAATTTAATTAACGCCAAATTCCTGCTGTCTTTTTCGGCAGCGCGGCGTCTGTTATTTCAATGCAACAATTGAAAATTGAAAGCGGAGAGAGAGAGCTTTTTATTCTTTTTTTTTTTGGTTCAGCCCTTTCACCTGCGTTCCCTTTCCTATTTTTGGCTTTATTATGAATGAACGCCAAATGTTTGGGACATTTCAAAGAATTACCTTAAATTAGGACCAGTTTTCTCGATAAAAAACTACACCCAAAAAATATTTAAACATAAAATTTTCCGTAATTTGTAGTTCATATCTAAAAATTAATTTTTTTTATAAGAGGAACGGAACGATTTGAAAAATTTAATGTCAATAACTTTTACACTGGGCAAAGATTTTTTTAAAAACAGTTTAACTTTGTAAGCTTAATCTGAAGTTGTAAGTTTCCTTAAAAATTACTGATACCACCCGTATGACAGTTAGATTTTAGTTGAAAAAATATCTTTCTCCCATTTCTAACCTTCTCCAATTATGAATTTAATTGGAATAATTGGAAAGGGAGATATAAAATTAAATTTATGATTGAAAGCTTAGATTAAAAAACCTTTTTTAACGAAGGCAACAGTGCGTATGTGTGATAAATTTTGAAACCAATTCAATTTGCATTATTTATGGACATTTTTAGATTAGAGCTACAAACTAAAAAAAATACTTCCGAGTTCACAAATCCAGGCGACAAATGCCATATAAAAGCTCGCCAAATTGCGGTCCAAACGCAAACAGAGCACATCTAAAATCAACAATAATAAAAACATCACACGTGCAGGGGGTTGGGTGGGGTGAAAGGTCAAGGTCGCCGAATGAGCTTTGTCATTCCCCATAAACTGCAGCTGAAGTGGTTGAGTGGTGGATTTGGTTTTGTGGGAACAGCTGAAGTGCGATTTCAAATGGCAAATGAGGCAATGAGGTTTAAAGTTTAAATAACATTGTTTCTTATCTGAATACCAATAAAATGTAGGTTTTTTTAAACATTTTGAAAATAATTAATGATTTTACAAACACATAATTTTATATGATTTTTTATTTGTTTTTTAACTTATTCATATATTCAAAATGGTTATTTTTTTAGTGTAAGTCCGTCTAGGGGTTTATCTTTCTAGGGTTAATGAATCCCATTTTGGGGACATCAAGATCACCCAGGCTCAGAAGTCCTGTTCTCTCTCGCACAAAACAGCTGTAAATGGGAAACTTTTAGCCAAAGCTCCGCCAAACAATAACAATGGCTGCAAGTCAGACGCCCACACAAACACACACCCAGGATAACGGTGCTGTTGAGAACAGCTGAGCGCGAAGCTTGCGTCGGCAGCGAAAGTGCAAAAGCTCTCTCCCACACTCTCTCTCCGTCTCTGTCTCTGTCTCTGTCCTGTCCCTCCCCTCCTCCCACTCATCCCATCCATCCCCTTCTCTCCCTGTGCGATTCCTCCTGCTCTTTCGCATTAAATAATATTCGCAGGCAGCGACGCCGGCAGAGACGGCGGCAGAGCTGAGCATTTCCCATTCGCTTGGGTTTTCTGTTTTAGTCAACAACAAAACGCGCAACGGTAAACGACAATAAAAAACAAAATTCAAAACTCAAAAGAAAACATTCAAAATTCCCAAACAAAATCAAAATTAAACAGAAATAATTTTAAAGTGCAAAAAAAAAAATTACTGTAAAGAAACTTTTCAAAGAACCGATACTGAGAAATCAAAATTTTGAAAACATTCGAGTACCAACCAAAATATTTGAAAAGTGTGCCGCCATATAATCGGTTGTCTATAGCTTGTCTATATTCACATTTTTCTTTTGCCAATTTTTTAGATTTGTTTTATTTTTTTCTGTTTGTTCGAGTGCCACAAATTTTGAACATCGTTTGTCGAAAATAAAAACACAGAAAGCCAAAAAACCAAAAAACGCCAACAAAAATCAGCTAATACGCGAACAGCTGTGCGAGTGCCACCCCCTCTTTCAAGTCCCCCGCCGCCCACAAAATTTAGCGTCCACCTCTGTTTTCGTTTCGTTTTTCTTCACCCGTGTTTTTGTGCGCTTTCGAGATCGTTTGGAGGAGCGAGTTCTGAATTCTGTGCCGGTAAGAACATTTCTTGGGATTCCTTGGGGTTACACAGAGCGAAAAGCATTAAATATTTAAAGTAAAATGTAAAATAAATCATAACAAAAGAAAAGTTCCATTCTATATCTTCCATTCATCTTAAGTTCTCTTCGTCACTGTTTTGAGGAATATATTCCGAATATATCTTACAAAATGGACAATATTTCGAATCGTAATATTCCTAGAAAATAAGAATGACAAGTCAAAAATATCTACAGAAAAAGCGAAAATTATATTTTTCATATATTTATATCAGCACAAAGCAAAATCTTGACATCAATATGATCTTGTTTATACACATATTGTTATAAACATCGCCTTTTGTTTCGAGTTAAGATCATATTCACAAGAAGCCATAGTAAACATTTTGCGCAGTGCACTCCCATAGAAGCATTCAAAATGAGCCATGAACAATTTGACATACTTGTGCTCAAGTGCTTCCACTGAAAATCAACTGAATAATCCCCTCGACAGCTCCCAAAATAATTGGCAGAAGATAGCCAACAAAACTCTTGAAAAATATGAGGTGTGAGTCTGTTACTTCCAAACGGATAACAAATAAGAATATTAAGAATTATCTTTTCTTATTATTATTTTATATGTAAAAATCCATTTTCTTTGTTTCGAATTTTTCGCCTTCTCATTTCTTTGTATAATTTCTTTTTGTTAAACATTTCATTTAACTCATAAATTAAAATTAATATACAGAACGAATCTTTAAAAGCAAACCGCGTAAATTTTCAAATTATGTACACGTTTTATGGCCTTTCGTTGGACTTAATTTTAACGCGAACATAAGCCACATCCAAATCTATTAAAAATCCCCGCGGGACATAAACATAAAAAGTAAAAAAGCCGAAAATTATTAGCGATATTAATCGACTTGACAGGATCTAAATGGTTGGCTGCTGCGGAAAAACTTTTTCACTGGAAGCCGCCAAAGATTTACAGTCGCCAGACATTAGCCCACCTCCCCATTTTCCGCTTTTCCAGCGAAAAATTGCAATAAAAGAAGCCAATGAGGAGCACAAAACATGCTAAAAAAAAAAAGAGAAAAAAGGAAAAGAAAACAAAATCGGCTTTTATGTGCTAATAAAAACCGACTAAGCAGACACACAAAGAAAGCAAGAAAAGCGAAAAAGAAACCAAAAATTAATTAACAAAATATGTTGCACTGGCGGCAAAACAAAAAGAAAGGAAACGCTCCAAAGAGCGAAATTAAAACGAAATATATACATTTGTTTGGCACACACAAAACTTAACTTCAAGAAATATGAAGAGCAGGGGGATTCCCCGCACATATGGCAATTAATTGCTGTTGACAAAAGTCGCCAAATGTCGCTTATTTAGGCCATATTAATGGCGATTTGCGCCTACCGTCTAAACTTTTGCCCGCTGGAGGAGGAGACAACTTTTTGGCACGACAAATGTTTATATAATTGCTGACCCACTGAACCACCCCCTCATAATAATCACACAGACACACAGGCCTTGACTTGAACATCACATCAGGCATTTTCTATATCTTTCACATCTCACAGTTTTGTAAGCAGTTCGTTTTTAAATTGAGCACATTTTCATTTTGGCTTTTAAGTTTTTAAGTTGGCTAAATCTCACAATTCGCGATCCCCAAACTACGATCCTCAGATAAAAAGCCTTTAAAGCGATAAAAAGGTATGGATCGGTGGGGTGAAGTCTTAGATTTTCCATTTTCCAATCCTGAATTTAACCGAAATAATATAATATATTTAATCTATTATTTCCGAACCCTTTTGCAGGCTTCCTTGGCAGTTTCCTATCGAAGGGCCTGAAGACCAATCAGCTGGTTGTGAACACGGATGAGAAGACCCTGCGACCGGTTGCCCGTCTGAAGGAACCGCGCGATCTCTTCGCACTGCCGAAGGACAAGGACAATGACTGCTCACAGCAGGCCCCCAGATGGCCGGTGGAGTGTCAGGTGAGTGGGGGCAATCTATGAGGGGTATCTATATCCAATCCCTAACCCAATCGAAGGACGCGTCTGAGGCAGAGCTGTCCTAGATTTATGCCAAGAATAGGGGATGGGGGATGAGCTTCAATGCCTTTGACACGCACCTCTCGTCTGCCAGGATATCCCAGGACATGCGTGCCGCGCCCCATAAATATTAATGCACATAAAACACGGGTGGCAGGGGGTTAATGGGGTGAAGGCTTTTAAAGGAGCAGCCGCAAATCCAAAGAAGTCACAGGTTAACTTCGCTAAGCCGAACTGATTTAAATGGATTTCGGCGTTTTTCCTACAAATTGTCAAGGGGAAAATTGGAATTAATAAAAAAAGGCTACATTGAAATATTATTTTAAAGACTTTAGTTTAAAATTCAAAAAAATTCAATAAGTGTTTTTAAGATTTATATATATAAGTTTTAAAAGGACTTTGACATTTTTAAAGATTACTAAAGTTATGAGTTTAGGATTTTTTTTTATAAAAAAATGTAAAATAACAATAACAAAAAATTAAAATTAATTTATAAAATTAAATGTATTTCCCCTTTGACATGTAATAGTTCATTTTAGGCACTACACACTGTGGTGCCCCTCAACCATCTTGCTTTTATGTAGGTCAAATTGCAATAAAAGGTGCACACACTAGGCCACGCCCACCGCCGCCCCCGCTTAACCCATGGCATGCGGTAAACGCTCGCCAAGTGCAATGAAAATCCTTTCGTTTCCGCTTTGAGATTTTATTTATTTGACTTTTTTCGCTTTTTTTGCCCCTCTTCCCTTTTTTTTATCTTTTTTCCTTTACCTAATTGTTGGCCAAGTCGTTAGCATTGTTAACAATCGATTTTATTTATTTGTACTCGATTTGCATTCGATGCGCTGCCAAATTGTGTTGGGCAAATATTACACATTACACATACGCCCCGTCTGCCGCTGAATGAGAGCGATTTATGGGGGGTTTCGGCGTTTCATCGGCGTTTTTCAGGGGATTTTCGGGCGGAGGGGGTTCTTTTTTTGCCAGGGGTCAAATACAAAATTGGCCAACTGATTGATTAAACAGGCGGCCAAAGGGGGCGGGCGGGGGTGGCAAATGAATCAATTGGAGGTCAATTGTTGAGCAATTTGTGGCGCAATTCGAATAAATCGAAAAAACAAAGGAAGCCCAACATTTCCTTGTCAATTAACATGGCTTGAAATGAACACAAACAAAGGCGTACAATGTAAATTTTAAAATCAATAAAATATGCAAGTATTTGTTGCATTTTATAAAGGTATTTTTCAATTCAAAATTAATGAATTCAAAAGGAGTTTTTTGATTAGATAAAAATATTAATAAAACATATGTAACTATATTTTTCAAATCCTTAACATATTTTGCAGATCAAAATTCAAATACATTGTTCGAAAAACCAGTGTAAAATTCTAAAAAAAAATACATTTTTAAATCCCAAAACTCACCACATTTGCTATCGTTGTCCCGCTCGCTCTTCACCTTCGCCGTATTACCGTTAACTCGCTTCCTATTTTCGGGCTCCAGTCACACACACGCACACATGCACACTCGAAAAGTTCGGCAAACTGTAAATGCAATTAAAAGAGCAAAAATAAATAAGAAGTCAAGAAAGTTTATTTGCGAAACGTCTTTGCCTTTGCGACGGCGCTTTTCCTTCGCCTTTCCTTCGTCTTTTTGGCCATGACGTCCAAAATGCAAACTTAAATAAAAAGTGAAATTCGAAAAACGAAGAACGAAAAACGCCTTCGGTGTTGGCTTGATTCGCATTGTTGTTGCTCTTGTTGTTGTTGCCACAATGACACTGGCATTGGCAATGGGCATGAAAAAGTTTGTATTTTTTTTCGTTTTTTTTGTACTTTTTCATAACCAGGAAAATGAGAGGGTCATATTGGCTGCAAACGACAGCGGACAGGCAAAAGCCGTAGGGCAAAATAAACAAGCTAATTAGTTAGTTCTGATATCATACACACAATCACAGCATAAATAAATAAAACGGAATTAAAGTAAGCCAAAAAACAGGAAAAAAGAACAAATTCCTCCGAGGGAGAAAGAGACGCGTGTAGTGAGTGTAGAAAGAGAGGGGGAATTGTTGCAAAAACTGACGCTGATATGTTTCAATTAAGCCATCACACACACACACAACTGCCAGCAAATCGTTGTTCGTGTGTGTGTGTGTATCAGATTTGCATGTTTTATCGTCCTGTTTTGGCACAGTGTGCAAAAAAGGGCGGGAAAAACGTTGAAATATTTAACAGAAATAGTTTTGAATTTGAGTTTTAAAAATTTGAATCCTTATTAGATTTCTTTGAGGAATAATGGATTTATAGGATATTTTTTATTAATATTTTATTAGTTTTAAATTTTAATATTTTCTTAACATGTAAATTATTAAATGGCCCAGTTTGTAGGAAAAATTATTCATACGCCATGCATACCAAATGATGATAAATAATGTTTGTTCGTTTTTATACTATATTCTTGATATTTATAATTGAAATGTGAACAATGTGAACCTATGCCAACTGTTTGTATATGCGACCACATTGCGTATGAGTAATGGCCTTATAAAAGAGCCCTGCAAAAGGGTAACTGATCTGTTTAATAATAAACTTGACTTGAAACTAGTAAAATTAATTGCTCTAAAGGTCCTTGAATTATTAAGTACCATAAATATCTTTTTTTGGTTTCGCAATATTATCATAATAATTGTCGACCCACTGTGCACGTCTTACATGTGTAAGCATATCAAAAGGCTAAACAAATAAGCTGCTCGAGCTTGTGGGCAGAATTACAACGACGACACAAACAGCAGTAAAAGAACATCAAAGCCTCAACTGAGGACAACTGAGGCAGGAAAATGGGGCTTGATTTAAGGAAATGGCAAGGAGTGGGCAGCTGGGCACAAAGCAAATCGTCATCGGTGACAGGGAATTTAAATGTAACAGTAACTCTGAATGACATTCGCCAATTTCCTTGTCGAGGACGAAGGAAAAAAGCGATGAGAAATTCTGTGCGAACAACATCTGCGGCATGAAAACGAAATATCACTACGTATAATTAGTGAGACCTTGAAAAAACAACAGGTGTTGCAGTAATTATCGAACTTATAACGATTAACAACAACTAACTAGAAATCGAAATCAAACAGCTAGTTGCGTACCTATAGAATTCGCGTTTTCGTACTTTAACGAATTTGTGCAAATGCCTTGGAGATATTTTAAAACTGATTTTTTCCTTGAACTCTCTATTCCCATCCAGGTCATCGAGGAGCGCATCACACACATTCCGTACGTGCCCGCTACGCCGGAGCCCCTCAATGCTCCGACCGGAAACGAGCTGAAACCTCGACCCGTTGGCGAGGAGAACGGCATCGTCGTGTTCAGTTACAGCCCGATTAGCGCCGTTAACTACGTGAGTATTTCTAAACCCTATACTCAGCATCATTTACACAGGATTAACTCGATTTCGATTTGAAAATCTAATTAAAATTAAAGTGAAAAAAAGGATGTTTCCGTAAAATTGATATAGCCATGTAAATTTCAGGTCATGCAAAACCCATATTGTTTTTACATGAAATACTCTTTTCGACCAAGTGAAATTTACCTGACCACATAACAAATTAAAATTGATCTTAAATAATGTAAAATCGATCTACGTTTCATATCGATTTTTTTTGTGTTTAGAGTTCAAATCGAAATCGAAAGTAATCAGTGAAACTAAGGGTATTACCGGCACCTTGCACCTGCACTAACCAAAACTGGGGGATTGTTTAAGGGGAAATAACAAATAACTAACCCGCTTTCGAGGCCAACTGAAAATGCGAAAAAAACTAAATGCGACGACCACACAGGAAAAGCCCAAGGCGAAGAAGGAGGAGGATGAGTCCAGCGACGAATCGGACTACTCCTCGGATTCCCGCCAGGATTCCACGCCTCCCAGCAGGGCCACGCCCATGCGTCTGGCGGGGGGCGGTGGGTGCGCCCGTGGCAAGCTGAACAGCGTGTCCAAGATGATCAACAACGTGGACAATCGGTCGACAAGTGCGTCCCTGGACGACAACGATGACTACTACGACGAGGAGTACGATACCTCCGGCGCAGGCTGCGGCGGCAGTGTGGAGGCCAAGGAGAAGGCCATCGTCAAGGATCTCATCGAGGCGAAGAAGAAGCGCTACCAGGAGGAGGCGGAACCAGCCGGCGGAACGGCACGAAACTCGAGGGCCGCCAGCCGTTCGGAGGCCGCCAGCAAGGAGCCCAGCGATATCGATGATATCTGGAAGAACAACACCAGCGAATACAAGCCCGCCTCGCCGCGCTATGTCCTCAGTCAGTTCGGGAAGAATGTGGCCAAGGCGATGATCGACAGGATCGTGGATCAGGATGATCCCGCGCTGCACCCGCCGCCGGGATCCCAAAAGGTATCGAACAAGTTCGCCGTAGCCCCCGTCAAGTTGCCAAAAACGAATATAGCCCGCTTGGAGGTGGCCTTCGAGCGAAGTGCCCGAAAGGATCGATCCGCTGCAGTGGCTCTGGCTCCCGAAAAGCGGGGCATTAGCTTTCCTCGCGGGGATAGTAGTGCCAGCTCCTCCGAGGAGACCAGCAGCTCGGGTCTGGGTGAGGAGGAGGATGAAGAGGAGCCATCTGACTCCGATACAGAGGATACGGAGGGCAGTGGAGATGGCTTGCGCCGAACTTTGAAGACCAATTCGGCCCGGCTCGCTGGTGGCGCCGAGAAGCGTCCGTGTCCCGGCTCCGGATCCGTTTCGGATACCGAAACTCTGGTGGGAGACGACAGCAGGAGCAGGCTGACTAGCTGTAAGCGAGGGGTTGATTAAAAGAGGGGCACTTGATTTGATTTTTTTGATTTTATCATGAAAGTTCTATTTGGAGTTGGGTAACATTTAGAATTTCACTTCACCTTTTATTTTATTTTTTTTATTATTTTTTATTTCCTGGTGCTAAATAATTCTTATAAATTAATGCACTAGACACCGTTTCAGTAGAAATGTTTTATATAGTTGATCAAAGGGGACACTTGATTTGTTTTTTTAATTTTGTCATGAAAATTCTGTTTGGAGGGACATGGATAGTTGGGTAATGCAGGTCTTGTCACATTTAGAATTTTACTTCACCGTTTTTTTTTATTTTTTTTATATTTTTTTTTTTATTTTTTTTCTTTTTTTATTTCCTGGTGCTACAAGGATTTCCTTATAAATTAATGCACTAGTCACCGTTTCAGTGGAAATGTTTTATAAAGTTAATCAAAGGGGGCACTTCTTGATTTGATTTTTTAATTGTACCTTGAAAGTTCTGTTTGAAGGGACATGGGTAGTTGGGTAATGCGGGTCTTAGCACATTTAAAAATTAACTTTACCAGTTAAGTATAAATATTTTATAAAGTCATTTATCAAAGTTCAAGTAGGCAATAAGATGAAATGGTCTTAACAGTCCCTCAAAAGAGCTTTCATTACATGGGTAACCTCCTCAATAACCCCATCCACCCCCCAGCTGGTCTGCAGCAGCAGGACCACGTTCGTTCCAGAAGCCGCCAGTCGCCTCGAGCGGTACCGCACACCCATGCGGCCACAGTGGCGGCGGCGGCGGCCTCAGCAGCGGCGCTCGCCAGAGGGCGCCACCGCGACAAGGACGGCTGTCTGGGCGGCAAGGACGAATTGGCCACCAGGGGCGGTTTAAGTAGCTTAGACAGAATGGGAGCGGGCACAAGCACTGGCACCTCCTCGATGGGCACTCGCACCTCCTCTCCCGTCGCGAACAACGTCTTCCGGCTGAGCAAGGATCAGCAGCTGAATTCAATGGCCAGCCAGGAGACGACCGGCACGCTGAACTCGTTTGCAAGTACTAACCAGACGACGACCGCAACCTCGTCGCAATCTTTCCTCTGCTCCGATTTAACCCAAGCGCAGTTCAGCCGCTCGGCCGTCGGCGGCGCCCGCTTCGTGACCAACTGCCATCCCATGAACCCCGAGGAGTACGACGGCCTGGAGTTCGAGTCGCGCTTCGAGAGCGGCAACCTGGCCAAGGCGGTCCAGATCACGCCCACCTACTACGAGCTCTACCTGCGACCCGATCTCTACACCAGCCGCTCGAAGCAGTGGTTCTACTTCCGGGTGCGTCGCACCCGGCGCAAGATGCTCTACCGCTTCTCGATCGTCAATCTGGTCAAGTCGGACAGCCTCTACAACGACGGCATGCAGCCGGTCATGTACTCCACGCTGGGCGCCAAGGAGAAGAGCGAGGGCTGGCGGAGATGCGGGGACAACATCTGCTACTACCGCAACGACGATGAGTGAGTAGACTTATCGCATTACCCTTACCAAAAACCTTATAAAGAATCTATTGCTTTAAGAAGGTTAAAAATAAATTGTTTTACAATCGATTAAACCTTTAAAAACATAAAAATAATTATATTTCTGCAATGGAACCAAGTTAATGCCTAACTAACCGACTTAAAATATTCCAAGGCAGATTCCTAAGGGAAAATGAGAAGTAGAAAATGTATCTGGATTCAAAACAAGATATTTATCCATCGAAGTTTTGAAAAATGATCACTATTACTCGATATTTAATATATGCTTTCCCTTAAAAACATCGATACTATATACAATACAATATTGTGAAAATATCGAAAATATCGATCACTTTTAAGCATTATTATCAAATCTCTAGATATTTTGATTTGTGAGGTATTTTCAACTGTATTATACACCGAAATTATCGAAGCGATATTGTGAAATATCGAAAATATCGATTTTTAAGCTTTAGTATCAAATCTCTAGATATTTTGATTTTTGAGGTATTTTCAACGGTATTATACATCGAAATTATCGAAGCAATATTGTGAAAATATCGATAATTTTTTAAGCTATAGTGTCAAATTTCTAGATATTTTGATCTTTGAGGTATTTTCAACTGTATTATGCATCCTTTCCCCCCAGAAGTGCCAGCAATAGCGCCAACGAGGACGACGAGGACAACTCGACGTACACGCTGACCTTCACCATCGAGTTCGAGCACGACGACGACACCGTGTTCTTCGCGCACAGCTACCCGTACACCTATAGCGACCTGCAGGACTACCTCATGGAGATCCAGCGGCATCCGGTCAAGTCAAAGTTCTGCAAGCTGCGCCTGCTCTGCCGCACTTTGGCGGGCAATAATGTCTACTACCTGACGGTGACGGCGCCCTCGTCCAACGAGGAGAACATGCGGGTGAGCTGGGTTCCTCTATATAAATAATACACATTTCTAAATTATTACTATTACTATTATAGCGAAAGAAATCGATTGTGGTGTCGGCGCGTGTGCATCCCAGTGAGACGCCCGCCTCGTGGATGATGAAGGGTCTGATGGACTTCATCACCGGCGATACCACGGTGGCCAAACGGCTGCGGCACAAGTTCATTTTCAAGCTGGTGCCGATGCTGAATCCGGACGGAGTCATTGTGGGCAACACCCGGAACTCGCTGACCGGCAAGGACCTCAACCGGCAGTATCGCACGGTCATCCGCGAGACATATCCATCCATTTGGTATACCAAAGCCATGATTAGAAGGTGGGTTCTTAAAGTGACTTGATTTATATCAATACAAACAATTTTATTCGATTTTTTCCAGACTGATTGAGGAATGCGGCGTGGCCATGTACTGTGATATGCACGCTCACTCACGAAAGCACAACATATTCATATATGGCTGTGAGAACAAACGCAACCCGGAGAAGAAGCTAACCGAGCAGGTCTTTCCGCTGATGTTGCACAAGAACAGTGCGGATCGGGTGAGTCTAGTATTAGAGCTTGAAAACTATCGATATTTTCGATAATTTCACAATGTCGTGTCAATAATATCGATGTTTTTAAGAAAAAACAGTCAAATACAGTGATAATATTATAAATTTATAGTATTAGAGCTTGAAAGCTATCGATATTTTCGATAATTTCACAATATCGTGTCGATAATGGCGATGTTTTCAAAAAGAAAGGATTAAAATCTAAAAATAAATTTATAAATTTATCGGTAGTATACAATTTTACTAATAATATTTAAATTTCCAAACTGTAGTTCTCCTTCGAGAGCTGCAAGTTCAAGATCCAGCGCAGCAAGGAGGGCACCGGGCGTATTGTGGTCTGGATGCTGGGCATCACCAACAGCTATACGATCGAGGCCTCCTTCGGCGGATCCTCGCTAGGATCGCGCAAGGGAACGCACTTCAATACGCAGGTGAGCTCCGGGTTAAAGCCAAACTCTCTCTCTAATCGATATTGTAATGCGAAATCTCAACGAATAACCTTTCAGGATTACGAGCACATGGGACGAGCATTTTGTGAGACACTTTTGGACTACTGCGATGAGAATCCGAACAAAGTAAAGCGGCACGCAAAGTTGTTTAAACAAATCAAAAAGATAAGAAAACGCGAGAAACGCGAACAGAAAGCATTGAAATTACAGAAAATGGCCGATCAGGGATGTATAATGAACGACAAACTGAAAGTGAAACGTTCTGTGGAGAAGAGTGTCTCCTAGGAATGTTCCATCCCCCCAAAAAAAAAAAAGAAACTCTCGATCTTAACCGATCCGAACCGATTCGATCCACACAAACCGAAACACACGCTCCTTTCTGTAAACGCAACTTGTGCCAGTTATCGTTAATCGTTATAATCGTGAATCGTAAAGCGTGTTTGTAATCGCAACTAGTCGCTGCCTGCGATCTGTCTAAAAAGCGCTGCTGTGCTGACCCAGAATTTAAATCCCCAAATCCCAATCAGAGTTCAAATCCATATCTCTACATATTATATTCTTCGTATATCCAAGACAAATTCAAAACCACAAACAACAATCACACAATCGGCCAGAGCCACAGAGGTTATATGACAGATATATCGGATATATCGTGTATATCTGGGCATATATCGTCTGCATGTGAATTCAATCGGGCATTGAACTTAATGCGGCATTGAATTGAATTAATTTTAATGCTGTCTATTTGCGCGTATCGCAGTTTTTCTAATGTTTTTGAGCACCCAGTTGCGTGGATAGAGCCCAAAATGGATATCCTATCCACGCGACGGGTACTTGAACTATCTATATATCTATCTATCTATATATACACCTGATCCACCTGATCCCGCACAAACGTACCGAGATAGTCAGTTAGTCACACCCAGCACAGCATCGCCAGGCACTCGAGCTCTATTTATTCTTATTTCCTAGTCGCGTTTCTTTCGATGTTGCTAGCCGTAAGCGTAACCGTATTATTATAACCGGAAAATATTATTTTTTGAAATAAATACCATATATCAACCATATGATTTATGTTCTCGTCTTTTGGTTAGCCCTAAGTTAATCGCTTTTCACATTAGCTTCTACTGCTTTTAGCGAACTGCTTGATTATCCCGCACTCACTCATATTTTTAATTTTTATTTATAACCTTGTTAACTTAACTGATTTATTTCATTTTCCTTTTCGCCAGTGTATGATTTTTCACTAATCCAAATGCATTAACATTTACAATAGATTTTAAATTTACTCAAACAACAGGACAGGCTACGATCCAAGATAATCGAAAGACTGATGCGAGAAGGCTCCAGTGCCGACGAGCCCTTGAATATCCCTCTGTCGGATTACTCCAGGTTGGTCTGGGGTGGGTCACTAGTGAATCGATTGGTTCCGTAACCACATACCAAACCCCCAGCGATTACTAACAAATTACTAACTACTAATCCCAACCCCTTAGCGACGAGGGCAACTGCAGCTCGAGTTCCGATAACGAGGGCAAGCACTCCATAACGGCTTCCGATCTGGAGGGACCCTGCTGTGCCCCCACCCGAGCACCGCCCAGTTCGCCGGAGGTCATCCACGAGATACGCAAGGTAAGTGGGGATCCATTTGGGTATCCTACCCCTTGCACTGCACTTTCACTTGCACTTTATCAACACCAAAATCCCAGTTCCGCATGCGACGCATGCGCAAGGTGATGCACGAGCTGGACAGGATCTACTTTACGCCGCTGTTTCAGCGCAAGTTCAAAACTCTGACCACCTTGAAGAGAAGGCGTCACAAAATGGGCGTGAAGACCGCTCCTCCAACTGGGAAACGTCTGCGAGGAGGAGGCGGAGGAGGAGGTACAACCGCCACTGGTGAAGGAGTATCATCAGCGATCACGGAGAATCCCAGCAGCAGGCAGTTGGCCAGAAAGCCAAATCCGCCCCCTGCACCAACAAGAGAGGTCAAGAGAGTTCAGCAGTCGGCTGGGCCACAGAGTTCCGATAGCACCGACAGCATGGATTCCTCGCAATCGGAATCGCTAAGGGATCCGGACTGCTCCAGTGCCAGCACCGGATTAAGTACTGCAATCGGAAGCGGAACCGGAAGCGGAAATGGAAATGGAAACGCTAAAGAGGTCGCACGCAAGGTCAAGCCTTCCGGCGGCGTCAAGAAAACGGGCAAAAAGAAAAAGTTCATGCCCACGGAGAAGCGGAAGCCGGTGGTCAATCAGAAATTGCACGTGGATCGAAACTTTCGCCTGTGGCTGGCCAACCGACGCATCTACATCTACCGCAGGAAGAAGGTATACGCCTATCCGCCTAAGGGAGTGAAAATTCCTCTATTTCCCCTTTCCATTTTCTCTATCGTAAAAAAAATTTCGCAGTTATTAATACTTGGGTAATCACAGAAATCAATTAGACTTTTAAAACACTTGTAATGGTGTCAAAAAGTAGGCAACAAAATATTTTGAGTACCAAGAGGAATAAGTAATTTCCAAATCCTAGAATTAAATTCAAATCGTGTCAAAAAGTATGCAACAATATATTTTAAATATCAATTTTGATTCATTCCGCAAGAATGAATTCACTGTATACTTTTAGACACCTTCATAAGTAATTTTAACTTCTTAGAATTACATTTTAAATTCCTCCTAAGCAAAGTAAGCAGAATATCAAGCCTATCTAAGCCTATCTATCTAATTTAATACTAAGGGAGTCTTTAAATCGATTTTCCCATGAGAGATCTTTAGATAAATTTTGCAAAAGAGAAATCGAAAGTAGTAGATAGTTTTCCAGGGCAGCAGCACCAGCACTTTGCACGACTAGTTTTATAATTCCCAATTCCCGCCCATATCTCCCGCCTCTAATCCGTTCAGTCCACGCAGGCGCGTCGCACCAAGGTTCGGGGCAAGCCGCCCAAGAAGCGCGGCGAGGTGGTGCGCACCACCCTGGACCTGCCCACCACGGATCCGGGCTCGGATCTGCACTTCTCCACCGACGACGAGGAGCACTCGCCGACGAGCGGCCAAAATGGCTACGGTGCGGTGGCCCCGCTGCGGCACACGCTGCTCCAGAGCGACCTGCAGCGGCGCTACATCGAGGAGATCGGCGACACGGTGGTCCAGAAGCCGAAGGCGGCCCACATGCCGCCAGAACTGATCGTGACCACGCCCTCGAAGAGCGGCGGCACTCCGGGCGGCGGCAAGAAGCTGGATGTCTACAAGCTGACTCCGCGCACAGCGCCCGAATTGGATGCGCTGATGCAGCGGCAGGCGGGCGGAACTGGCGCCTCCGCCAGGCGCACCTACTCGTGGCACAATCTCGACCAGCAGGAGATACCCAATGGTGGTCAGGGCAAGGCCAACTTCTACATGGGCGAATCGAAGCCGGCGATGAAGGCGATGACCAAGCCGCCGCCCAGAAGGTGCGTATTTTTCAAGACGCGAATTCTTCAGTAATTGATTTTCTCTTTCCTTTTTGGTTCCCTTTTAAGGAGCGTTCCGAGCAACTTCATTCCCCAGCGGCCTGCCAATGTCCAAACGGCGGATGACCTGCAGCTGAAGCTCTCGCTGAAGAAGAAGGTCTGGACGGGAGCGCACGGCGATGCGGATGGGCGTCCACTGGCCTGGTACAAGGGTCACTCGATGGGGGGCTCCCAAATGGCCAACGCCACGGCGGCCATACGAAGTGCAGGAGGAGCTAGTGCTGGCCAGAATCGAGCCATGTTCACTTCCAGCGGCAGGGAGCAGAATGGAATGGCCATGGGCATGCCACCCGCCTTTGTGGGAGCACCGCGCAAGCCCAGGAAGCTGGAGCAGGTGGATCTGTTCAAGTGAGTGTATGAGATAGTCAGGCAGTCAATATATCTAACGTTATTTTCCCCTGCAGTGCCTGCTCCCAGAAGCTGCTGCTGTGGCAGCAGCAGGAGGAGCACAAGCGCTCCCAGCCGCAGCAGGCGCAGCGCCTGATGAAGGTGGAGGATCCGAGGGAGCAGCAGGCCTTCAAGCCGATGCAGATGGCCAAGAAGGCGGCGGCGGGCCAGGCCAGGGCCATCCAGCAGCTGGTGGCGGGCGGTGGCGAATCGGCGGGCGGCAAGGTGAAGCGCAAGTCGAGCAGCATGATGAAGATAGCGGAGACCACGCAGCTGGTCACGCGGTTTGCCCGGAGTCGCAACAGCGCCGGTGGAGGGGCAGTGCAGCAGCAGCTGCAGCAGCAACAGCAACAGCAGCAGCACCAGCGGCTGATGTTCAAGGGTGGCGGCCAGGGTTCCGGATCCGTGGCCGCTCGGATGCACTCCGCCGGCGTGATGCAGGGAGGCAGCAACGGCGGCGGAGGAAGAGCTCCCAATAAATTCAAGACCGGCGGCCTGGTGATCACGGCCGTCCAGCAGCCGGCCAACATGCCAGGTGGCTCCTCCTCCTCCCGGCGGATGAGGAATGCGGCCGGAGGGCTGCAGGCGAAGAGCAGCACGGGCGTTATGGGCTCCTCGTCCTCCGGAATGCAGATGCAGTATCAGCGGAGCAGCGGCGGCAACGGCAACGGAGTCCAGGCCAACAACAAGTCCTCCGCGGGCATCTCGCTGGACACGGTGAATCTGGTGCGCAAGGTGAAGACCAAGCTGAAGAAGCGCAAGTCCCGCACTTTGGCCAATGGGGCACCGAAGTAGGATAGCTCCTCCAGTTGAGAAATCCGGGACTGAAACCCATTTTTCGTTCCAAATTCTAGTCGAATTAAATCAACCCGTCCATAGACTTTGTTGTTACGCAAAAGACGATAAGGAAGTGGATTAGCTAAATTGTCTAAATAATTGATATAACCTCCGTAGGCCTATCTGTACCCTATGCATATGTAATCTCGATCCCTGTACCTACAGTTAATCGCCTAAAATAATGTTGAAAGTCCTAGTGTCCTAGTGTGTGTGTTGTTTTTTTTTTCTCTCTTTTCGCTGGAAGTTTTTCTATTGAGATTTGCAATAAAACCAAAAAAAATTAACAAAATATGTAGGTGGTTTAGAGGGTTGAGAGGAGGGGGGTTTTTGGTAAATAAATAATGCTTGACCGCCGAACGAAAAATCAATTACGCACATGTCCGGCAATCGGAGGCCCAAACTTACGGACACAGCGCCGTCCGCAGGACGAGAAGGTACCTGCACCCACTACGTACCTCCGGCTAAACCACTGGCGTCCCTCGATCTCGATCCTTCGCACAATTCACGCCGCGACTCCTCCACTTGACCGCTCGAAGGGAAAACCACCGAAAAGTTTAAACGGGCGAAAGGTAAACAAATGCAATTGGACAATTCGTGACCTCTAGTGATGGCAGCGCCAGTCGATGGCGCCAGCTATCGATAGTGCGGGTGGTGGCGGTCACTGTCATCGATAGCGAACTATTCGGTTTTATTACAAATATATTTAAAGGAATTGCTTTTTCAAGCTTATTTTATTTACTCTTGCGTTATGGAAAATTGGAATTTTTCTTTATTGCTTTTTTTGCTGTAACTTGGCCAAAAATGGTCCTACATCAAAAATACATACTGTTTTGAACAGATAACAAAATTAGCAATAAATCCATAACACTTTCCGTGTGCTTTTGGAAAAATAAAATTTTCCCCAATTTTTATAAAGGGGTACCCCATGATTTTTTGCGAAATATTTAAAATAAATAAAATGTCAAGGCTTAAATACCAATCGTTAGGAAATTTAATAACGAGTTTAGAAAGGTATGACAATCTATATTTGGATCAATATTTCCAATGTTACGGTCAAAAAACAAATAATTTTTTGTGAAAAATTGGGATCTGGGTATTTGGTAAAAGAAGGCCAAAAAAGGCTTTACCTTGGCCAAAAATGGTCCAAACAATTTTTGAGTGGAGAAATATTTAAATTCTTATGAATTATTTATTTTTTCGAAAATAATAGTTGATGGAAATTAGTAATCTTTGCCCATTATAATAAAGAAATGTCTAAAATTGCATTCGATTTACATATATGTATTGTGGAATGCAGCGCCCTAGGCGCCATTATTTATTTGATTTAGTTTATTTGTTATATACCCAAGCCATTATGCTAGTTTAAACTACGTACACATGCAAGTGTGTGGTGTGTGTATACTGTATACTGGTTAAGTGTTGTGTCCTGGTGGCCTCCCTCCTCCTGCTCATCGTCGTAGCTCCTGCTCCGACCATCCTTATAAACCTGCTCTTTATCATCATCATCTTCATTAACATCGTGTTCCTGCGGGCGGGGAAGCTGCATTGATTTAACTAAATCTAGGTGACTACGAATAAATAGAGTAAACGCAAGCTAAAAACGATAAAACGAAACGCGGAAATTCAACTGAGACCGGCTTTAAACATTGACGGCATTCTGCAGAGCTGTCTTGTCGTCCACGATGATGTTGGCGGCCGTGGCGGTCGGATTTGAGCTGAGCAGCTGCTTGGTGGACGAGCTGGAGGAGTAACTGTCGCTGGAGCTGCGCGTCGAGGCCGAGTTGCCGCTGATCGGGCTGTCCAACATGTCTGGGGAAATGGTATTTGATTTAAGAATTAAATAATGAACGAAAAAACAGATTATCAACGCACCTGGAAGGGAGCTAACGTTGTTGGACTTCAAATCCACAACTGTGGCCACCGAACCGGAACCCACCATGTTGCCCACCGAGGTGGACTTCTTGTGCAGATTCTTCTTCACCGCACTGCTGAAGCCCACGAGCGGAACGGGTGCAGGTCCGCCCACGGATCCGGCGCTCCTGCCGTTGCCGAGGCTTCCGGCGCCCAGCGGATCACCGCTCTTGGCTCGCTCCGAGGGACAGAGTGGACTCAATATCGAGTTCTGAGTATCTTCCGGCGTGTAGTAGTCCGAATCCTCGGCTGTGGCCTCGGCGGGCGAAGGTGTGCCGCCGCCGCCGCTAAGTTCTGGCCTCGGTTTGGTGCGCTTCAGCGAGGAGCCCTTCTTCAGGCCGGACTCCTCAGCGGACCCCTCGCCAGCTGGCTTTTCCGCATCGTCTGCCTCCAGGCAAGCGACCACTTGCTTCAGCGACTTGCTGGACACGTTCTTGCTCTTGCTGCCGGGCGACAGGAGCGGCGACAGCTTCTCGTTCTCGCTGTCCTCGTCGTCGTCGGTGCCCGCAGAGCCATCGCCACCGGATCCGGCCGTGGATCTGGGATACTTTCGTTCGTTGACGATCTGCAGCTTGTCCTGCTTCGCTTCCGGCGACGTGGATGTGCCGCCCAGTGTGGGCGAAGTGCAGGTGGCCGTGCTGGACTTCTTCGGATCGCTTTCGATTTCCACGGAATGTGTGGACGAACCGTTTCCGTTGCCGCCCGACTGGTTGGTAATGGTGCCCACCTCGCTGGTGGACGTGCAGGTCGAGGCGTTCTTCTTGATCTTCGGCCGCCGCTGGCTGCTGGACTTGATGGGCGAAGTGGCCTTGATGTCGGCACTGGTCATTGTCGAGGCGGCCACTGTGGCGGCGGAGTCGGTGATGTCGTGCTCGCTGGTCCTGAAAGAGGAAGTAAATATAATGAGTACCCTCGGATTTTGCATATTTTTTCCATTTTTGGTCCGATTTTTAACAAAATTTCTAGGTAGGTGTCGTGTTTTTCAAATGTAATGAATTCGGATGCATATCGGAAATATGCGAAATATATGCAAAAGATATGTGCATAAAATATGCAATATGTATGCAAAAAATAATAAATAAATATAATAAGTAGGCCTCGGAATTTGCATATTTTTCCCGTTTTTGGTCCGATTTTTACCAAAATTTCTAGGTAGGTGTCATATTTTTCAAATGTAATAAATTCGGATGCATATCGGAAATATGCAAAATATATGCAAAAAATATATGCATAAAATAGGCAAAATATATGCAAAAAAATAATAAATAAATATAATAAGTAGACCTCGGATTTTGCATATTTTTCCCGTTTTTGGTCCGATTTTTACCAAAATTTCTAGGTAGGTGTCATATTTTTCAAATGTAATAAATTCGGATGCATATCGGAAATATGCAAAATATATGCAAAAAATATATGCATAAAATGGGCAAAATATATGCAAAAAATAATAAATAAATATAATAAGTAGACCTCGGATTTTGCATATTTTTCCCGTTTTTGGTCCGATTTTACCAAAATTTCTAGGTAGGTGTCATATTTTTCAAATGTAATAAATTCGGATGCGTATCGGAAATATGCAAAATATTTGCAAAAAATATATGAATAAAATATGCAAGATACATGCAAAAAATAATAAATAAATATATTATATTTTTTCCATTTTTGGTCCGATTTTTAACAAAATTTCTAGGTTGGTGTCATATAATATTTTTCAAATGTAATAAATTCGGATGCATATCGGAAATCTACAAAATATATACAAAAAATATATGCATAAAATATGCAAAATATATGCGAATTCTAAGGAACCTTTAGTAAACACGGCGAGCAATTTAAACGAGCAGTTTGGCCAACAACTATTCTTCGGGTAAATTAGGTTGGCTATGAAATGGTCAATCTTGAATAGTTGAGTTTATTTTATATTTTGCATATATTTTGCATACTTTATGCAAATATTCAAAAAATTTCAAATATGCAATTAATTTTAAACTATATTTTTATTCAAAACGAACTTTGGTGTTTTCGGATTTGATCAAACTTTTCTAATAATAAGGTTTTCCCCATTGAGAGGCACTCGACTCACCTGGCCCTGGCCACATATTGCGGCGGTCCGTTGAGCGCCTCGATCAGCGAGACTGGAATATAGCCAGGCGGCACATCCACGGGCGCAGGCTCCCCGCCCGTCGACGTGGGCGTGTTCTGGTGCAGCACATGCGTGCTAATCCCCTTCTGGACAGCCCGAATCTGCAGCAGCGCCCGGAAAGGAGCCCTGCAAATGGGACAGTTGTTGGCCTGGTAGCGCAACGAGTCGGCACACGAATTGCACAGGCAGAGATGGCGGCAGGGCAGGATCAGGGTGTCCCGGGTCTCACTCATGCAGATGACACACTCGCTGCCATGATCGTCGATCTCCTCGTCCAACGACGTCTTGTTCACCGCCTTGTTCTCGATGCCGTAGATCTCCTGCAGCAGATAGCACAGGCCATCCACGAAGATCTTCTGCTTGAGGGCGCGCAGCACATAGCTGCCGTTCTCCGGATGATGGTCGATCACACAGATGGTGGTGTGCGACTGGCGGCACTCGTCGCTGCCCTCCTCCACCACACAATGGATGGCCACGGGATATTGCTCGCGTCCCGGGCTGTAGCCCAGCTCATCCTCGGGCATCTGCTGCGGATTGAAGACGTGGCCCGGCTGCGAGAAGCACTGATTGATGCCCTTCTCGTAGTGGTACGTCTCCGAGGTGAGGCCCTCGCGCGGCACCAGCGTCACGCCGCTGGGACTGACGTCCTCGGAGCAGAAATAGTAGATGGTAATGGCGCACTTGGCGTCCGAGTCGAAGGTGAACTCGATGTTGTACGAGCAGGGCGGCGGTGGTGGAGCCAAGTCTGGATCTCCGCCACCCAGGCCCATGGAGCACAGGACATTGCCGTCCACATCCTCGATGGTCACATTGGATTTGTCCTTCTCCAGGTCCAAATCCCGATCGATGTCGATGTCCTTGATGGGCGTAGGCGTGGGCGTGGGCTTGGGCTTGGGCTTCTCGATGAGGCCCACCATCTTCTTGTCGTTCAGCGTCTTGACGAAGCGCACCGACTCCTTGCGAATGTTGACCAGACTCTTGAGGGTCTTGGTGGGTTCGTTGGCCTGCGGCGGGGGATACGGAAAGGCGGTGGGTCGGTTGCCCAGGAAATTGAGATCCGCATTCTCGCCAAACAGATAGGATTCCGGCTGCGGCGTGTCGAAGCGCTCGCCGCCCATGATGAAGTGCGTCCCAAAGAAGTTGCCCATTCTGGGTGGATATTTGTAGGCATTGTTCGTGCTCGGATCCGCCTCCTCCACCGCCGCGTTCTGCCTGCTCACAAAGTTGCCCATTTGGTCGGGAGATGCAGGTGTATCCCTATGTCGTATATCCGATCCTCTGGAGCCTCTGGTTTTGGTTTTCTCTGCTCTGGTTTATTATTCTATTTTCGATTTCCCCTATTTTCTTCCTTTCTCTTAGGCCATCGATGGCAAGTGCTATCGCGCATATCGATAGCAGCGACTTCTTTCGTCAATCGATTATTTAAACGGTCAAATGGTTGTACAAATGTCCCTAACTTCTTTGTACTTTTAAAAATCATTTTAACTAAAGCTTTCCAAAGTTTACATCTTTTAGTAGATTAGAATACTTTTTTTAGCTCTTTAAATACTTGAAATGTTTACAATATGTAAAAGAAAAATAATTATCTCTAACTACTAAAATGAAAACTAAATTTTAGAACAGCAAGTGAATAATTCAGTTCTTTGATATGCCCAATGGGTTTTTTATACAATATAATATTCTAGTACTTGCTACAAAATGTTTTACTAGGTCTGTTGTCTAGCACTTGTGTAATAATGTTTTATTAAGTAAATACAACTTCTTTATTTTGAGACCCAAATAATATTTTCGTAAATAATATATAAATAAATTTACATACAAATTCTATATTTTTAGTAATAATAATGGTAAGAAGTAAATACAACTTATTTATTTAGAGACCAAGATAATATTTTCGTAAATAATATACAAGCTAATAAATAACTATCAATACAAATATAAAAATAGTAAATACAACTTATTTATTTAGAGACCAAGATAATATTTTCGTAAATAATATACAAGAAAATACATAACTTTCTATACAAGTATAGAAATAGTAAAAAGTAAATACAATTTATTTATTTTGAGACCAAGATAATATTTTCAGGGGGATTCCCTAAACTGTTGAATTGCTGAATTGTTGAAAATTCAACAAAAAATTTCAGCAATTAAGGGAACGACCCAAAATGGTTCCTGTTGAATTTTCAAACAGCTGTTATTTGTTGAAAAATTTCACGGAATTTAAAGCATATAAAATTTGATTTATTATTGCTAGTTACTCTCTAAAAGTGTTACCAAGGTAAAAAGAACCACAAATATGCTTTCTAAGTTGATTTTAAAATAAATAATGTTTACTGGTGATACTAAAATATTACAGAGTTGCCACGACTTTTAAAAAAAGGTGACAACTCTGGCTTTTCAGCAATTCAAGAAAATTTTCATCAGCCCCGAGGCTGTTGAATTGCTGAAATTTCTGAAAGTTGACTTTGTATGGAACAGCTGATTAACAGCTGACCAAAATTCAACAATTCAGCAATTCAACAGTTTAGGGAATCCCCCTTTCGTAAATAATATGTAAGCAAATAAATAACAGATTTAGAAATAGTTACTGTAAATGTACCCATGGGTACCATCACCTGCGGCGTTGCCAGACAGCTCCGCCAGCCCGCGTTGCCAACTACCTCGAAGTCGGCGTTGCCAACGAATTCAAAGCAACAACAAACGGCGCCAAAATAGCGTTGCGAAAATGGCAAATAAATCCGGGAGCAGAGCACACGCCGCCACGATGAGCGTGAGCATGGACGAGTCCATCTGCGCGTACTTCGTGAACAACCTGAAGCCGGGCGCGGAGGCCCAGGAGGCGTCTGGCGAGGCGCTCCTGGAGCAGTTTGAGGCGTCGCTGGAGCTGCTATCGCAGCAGCTGGCGGAGACGCAAATCCGGCAGATAAAACCCAGCGAGGGATATCCTTTAATAGCCGCTGGGAACCTGACCAAGAAGGATGTCTTTGTGCTGGCCCACTTCGAGGGCGACTTCTTCGAGCAGCTGCAGCAGACGCGCGCCCTCATCCTGGGGCCACCCTGCCTGCTCAGCTGCCTGCGACGCAACGAACCCATTCCCGAGGGCGGCAGCAAGGCCATCTACACGACGGCCATGCGGGATCTGCAGGTCTCGGCCACCGGGATCACGCCCCAGAAGAAGGAGGAGCTCAGCCGGCTCATCCACTGGATGGGCGGCAGCTACTTCCAGAGCTTCGGCCACCGCACCACGCACCTCATCGCAAACACCATCAAATCCAGCAAGTACGAGCAGGCCACGCTGAACGGAGTGCCCGTGATGCACGTGGACTGGGTGCAGTACGTCTGGGAGCAGAGTCGCCGCAGTCAGGGTGACTCATTCAGGGCCACCGATCCGGATTGCGACAAGTACCGCCTGCCCATCTTCTTTGGAGCCAACATCACGTGCAGCGGCTTGGATGTCGCTCGCAAGGATCAGGTGATGCGGCTGGTCAACGAGAACGGCGGCATCTATCATCGCGCCTTTCGCTCCCAGGTGGTGGACATCGTCATCACCGAGCAATCGAAGACGGACACCGAGAAGTACAAGGCGGCCATACGCTACAAGAAGGATGTCTTGCTGCCCGAGTGGATCTTCGAGAGCTGCAATCGTGGTTATGCTTTGCCCACCAAGGACTACGAGGTGCGCGCCGGCAAGACAGCCGCCTCCACGCCCACAAAGAGCACACGTTCCGTTGCTGATCAGTCGCAGCTCTCGGATCTCTCGAGGATCAGCTTCGTCTCCGGCTCGCGGCGCATGTGCAGCGATCTGACCACGGTCAATGAATCCGTGAGCAGTGGCATGGGCTCCCCTGCCAAGGAGCTGCTCAAACAGGCCACTGCCTCCAGCAGAAACTACCAGCAGGTGCTGGCCGAGATTTGTCCGCGGCAGGCGAAGAAGGCGGGAGCTTTTCTAGACGGCTGCTGCGTCTATTTGAGTGGCTTTCGTTCGGAGGAGCGGGAGAAACTGAACAGAGTGCTAAATACCGGGGGAGCCACCCGCTACGACGAGGCCAACGAGGGCATCTCGCACATCATTGTGGGCCAACTGGACGACGCTGACTACCGCCAGTGGCAAAGCGACGGTCTCATGGGCTCCGTGCATGTGGTGCGCCTCGATTGGCTGCTGGAGAGCATACGAGCTGGCCGCCTGGTCAGCGAGCTAGTGCATCGCGTGTCGCTGCCGCAGAACCGCGAACCCGACGTTGCCTCGCCGGCCAGCAAGCGAACGCTGCGCTCCATGAACCACAGCTTCAAGCAGCCCACGCTGCCCATCAAGAAGAAGCTGTTCGATCAGGAGGCGGATCCTGTGCAGCAGGAGGAGGAGGAGCAGCCGGATCACACGCTGCTGGATCAGTACTCGCAGGATCAGGGAGCAGTGGCCCAGCTTCCCCCGGCGGATGTGAGTCTCCTGCAGCCGGCAGCCAGTTCCACGCAAATGGAGATACGTCTAAGGAACTCAATGGTTAATCCCAATCCCCCAGCTCCCCTCCAGCAAATACCCGATTTGAGTGCCAGCACTTTGTCCATTGACTTTGAGAAACTAGACTACTTTCAGGGCCACTCGGTCTACGTGCACAAGGATTGCTTCAATGCGGAGTTCTACCAACAAATGCTCACCGAATGCGAGACGGCCCAGGGTCTGCTGGTCCCCTCGAGCTTCGCCGACGAGGTGGACTACGCCATCGTCAGCTTCGAGGTGGCCTTCGATGCGCAGGAGCTGCCCGTGCGGGCCAGGAATATAGTCACCGAGCTGTATCTCGAGAGCTGCATGAAGAAGAACCAGCTGCTGCCGCTGGAATACTACCACCAGCATGTGCCCGCCGCTGCACTGCGTCAGCCCTTGAAGGGTATGACCATTGTGGTCTCTATTTATGCGGGATTGGAGAGGGATTTCATCAACTCCGCGGCCGAATTGCTGGGCGCCTCGGTCAACAAGACTTTTATCAAAAAGGAGAAGCCACTGCTCGTGTGTCCCACTGCCGAGGGCTCCAAGTACGAGGGCGCCATCAAGTGGCACTATCCCGTCGTCACCTCGGAGTGGCTGGTGCAGTGCGCCCGCACGGGCGAGAAGCTGCCCTATGTGGGTCACCTGGTGGGCCAGAGTCCCGAGGATTTCCCTATATCACCGCGTCTGCGGGAGAGTAATGCCAGGACGAACAGAACGCGACCGGAGGAGGCTACCCTGGTGGCTCCGCCGCCGCTGGAGGAGGAGGAGAATCAACCGGAACTAACACCGCTGCGCAATCGCAGGGTTTCCGAGCTGGCTGGAAATCCAGGGGGACGCCTTCGCAGCTCTGGCTCCTCACCCGACTCCCCCTGCACGCCGCTCAGCCAGGTGGGCGCCCAGAAGTACAACCTCGACTTCCTCGAGCAGTTCGTCCAGCGGCTGGACACCGACGAGGGCAAGGACTGTGTGCGCGAGATCATCCGCGAGATGCAGGCCAACCAGACGCCGGAACTAGAGCGAATTCGTCGGCAGGCCTGTACTCCGATCAGCAGGAAGCATCCTCGCCCTGCGCCTGGTATACCCGACTTTTGCCTCACTCCGGAGTTCCAGCAGCGCATGGCCGATGACTTCGAGCGGCGCTGGCGCCTGCCCACCCAGAAGATCAAGCCGGACACTCCGCTGGCCGTCATCAGGCAGCGGGTGATGAGGATTACCTGCGAGACTCTGGGCATTGAGTATGAGGAGAAGCAGGAGGAAAAGGAGAAGGAGAAGGAGCCACCAAGCACGCTGAAGAAGAAGCCGCCCACGAGAACCCAGGCCACCAAGCTCAACTTTGATAGATCCCCTAAAACACCCAAGCTTTCTGTAAGCAAGAAGACGCCGCTGAGGGCCAGCCAATCGCCCTTCCTGGTGGCCAACACACAGAGTCCAAGGGCAGCCGGAGCAGCTGCCTCCGCAGAGAGCGAGGAAGGCCAGAGCACCATTAACTTCGACAAGATCAGCTTCGAGGAGTCGGCTGCTCCGTTGGCGGCGCCGCCGGATGTCAAGCAGATCACCGACTACCTGAAGAACTGCGAGTCGCGGCGGAACAGTTTGAAGCGCAGCCACGACAGCGACTTGGTGGAGTGTCCAGAGAGCGAGGTGCAGTACGTCCAGCCCTTCGAATCGGAGGGCTTTGCTTTGCACACCGAGGACATGGTCGACTGGCGCGATCCGGCCGAGTTCAACGCGGCCAAGCGGCGATCCTCGGGCGGTGGTTCGCCCAAGATGCAGTACCGCGGCATTCCCTGCTTCACCATTTCGTGTGGCGACGATGAGGAGAAGCGCGAGGAGGTCATCCAAAGGATTGGCCAGCTGGGCGGTCGGTTGTGCGAGAATCTAATCAACTACGACGACAACTGCAGCCACCTGCTGTGCGAGCGCCCGAATCGCGGCGAGAAGATGCTGGCCTGCATAGCGGCGGGCAAGTGGATCCTCAACATGCAGTACATCGAGCAGTGTCACTCGCGGGGTTACTTTTTGGACGAGGCTCTGTACGAGTGGGGCAACCCGAAGGCCCTGAATCTGCCCGCTTTGGCGCCCGAGGAGGAGCCCATTGCGGCGGCCGTGCATCGTTGGCGCACCGAGCTGAGTGCCAGCGGCGGAGGAGCCTTCTCCCATCACCGGGTGATCCTCAGTCTGCACGAGCGGAGTGGAGCGCCCATTAGGAATGTTTTGCGCGCCGGCGGAGCCAGCATTGTGGAGGCGAAGTCACCATTTGCCGCGGATCCTTTGGCCTCCACCGCCACCCATTGCTTTGTGGACACCAGGAAGGCGCCGCTGACGCAAGAGGATTTGACGCATCTCCTGCAGAGCGGCGTCCAGGTGCTCAGCCAGATGGCCATCAACACCTACTTGATGAACGGCCGGGATGCCGATCTGGGGAAGTACGAGGTGAAGTGAAGTTCCAATCGCCTTTTTGTTCCTGTTCCAAATTGATATTTTCTTTTCTAGTTTATACAAAAGTTATAAATTTATAGCCTCAAGCGGCTTGAATTTAAATTAGTTTAATCATGAATTTTTTTGTTTTTGTACTGAAAGTCGATTTGTCTCCAAATTGAACATTTAACCAAGCATGATTTATAATTTACCACTGCTAAAAAGAATTTGTACAAGTCAACACATCTAATTTGCTGGCTTTCTTTTTGTTTCATTTCATAAAAATTTTTATTTTGAAAAAATAATCGAAAAATATTTCAAGGACAAATTGGCTTTCGGTTTTCTTTTCACTAAGTGTGTAATTTTTATTTCTTTCTATCCAAGAGATATTTATTTTTGTGCTATTACTTCATTCCGATTCTTTATTAAATAAATGAAATTATAAATTGAAAACCGAATTTGTATTCTTAACTTGAATTGAGAAGTCAATTTGCCAGATGAGATCTGGATGTTGAAAAAAAGCATCATTAGGAATCAATAGAAAAAATAAAGGAATAATTGTAATAAAACATGGTTATTAGGGATTTTTTCTATTTATAAATAAAAATCAGGAATAAAACTTATAGAATGATTCCTAAAATCTGGAATAAAAATGCAATATCTTTCAAATCACGAATAATATATAAAAAAAAAGGAAAACTAACTTTTGATCTTGGGATCAAAACTTTTCAAATGATATAATTCCTACCCAAAACTCAACGACCAATGAATATGTCCAACTGTAATGTACTTTTCATTTATTTAACGTTTATATATTTGTATGTATTTGTAGGTGTGTGTATGTGTGTGGGTTCTTGTATATAATATAGCATGTATGTACTATGTATGTATAATTTCACTTAGCTTCTGTTCCGTTTCCGTTTCTGTCTCAGTTGTTCAGTAATTATGGTATAGCAGTACTTTATATTTGATTCACATGGTTCACGTGTATACATACATATATAATTCGGGTTCTTTACAATCCATGCAGCTCAGTTAGCTCTATTCTGTGTGGGATTCATTATAAAATTCCATATTATATAACTATAGGTATATAATTGTCTGTGTTTTGTGGGTGTGTTTTTAGTGGAATCGCATGCTCTAGGCTACAAATTCATCAAAAATAGATAGTACACAGGAATCGATCGGCGTAGAATTATGATTTATAGTTGATCTGTTTTCTGTTTTCCGTTTGTTGCTTGTTTCTTTTTTTAAGCCGCAATTGGCAGACTGGCGGCATTTTACACTTTAAAATTACAGTTCTATATATTAATATTTATGTATACATATATACGGTTTATGTTGATTTAGTTTTCTTTTTTTTTTTTGTTAGCATTTAAATTTGTTCAATGTTTGTTATGTTTTTATATCGCAGCGATAATTTGTTAGGTTTTCTTTTCTATAGGAGGCAATTGTTTCAACTTGATGAAATTGGAAAGTCTGAAGCTCGCTTCGCTGCTCCCTTTTCTTTTTCAAATAAACGCGCAATGAATCGACACACGGGAAAAACAGAGGTTCCTCACAATCGTACATATTAATAATAATTATAATAGTGGAACTTGGAGCTTAGCAATTAAAAAATCTCTTTGCTGGGCGTTGAGATTCCCAGTGGCTGTTCGTAGTCGCTGGACGAAATGCCGGCGATTACGGATGCGGATGCAGAGTCGGAAGCCTTCTTCTCCTTGCGCTGCGACTTCTCCTTTTTATGCTTCTTCTTGTGCGCCTTGGAGGCCACCTGCTGCTCCACCTCCCCCTCCTCTTCCAGCACATTAAGGATGCCGCTTTCGGGCGCCGCTTCCCGCGACTTCTCCTTGTTCTTCTTCTTTTTGTGTTGCCTGGCGACATCGGCTGGAAGGAGGCTTGAAGTATTGTTGTTGTCGTTGCTGGGGGCGGAAGTGTGGCTGGGACTGGGAGTGGGCGTGTCGGCGTCGATGAGATCAATCACCGGCTGGGCGCTCCTTTCCCGCCTGCCCTCCCGATGCTTCTTCCGCTCCTTCTCCTTATCCTTGTCCTTTTTCCGATCCTTCTTGGAGCTGCTACTGCTGCCGGCCAGCTCAGCCGGCGCCTTGAGATTCTCTTTGCCCGTCGTCGACTTCTTGGAGGAGGAGGACCTCACGGCGGGCGCCTCGAAGTCCGTTCTGTGGAAGGAATCATAATAATATATCAATGTTTTGTATTGGGTTAGCTAATTCCATTTATCCTTACATATCCAGCTCAATGTCCAGCGCTCGATGCGGGTCATTCGGATCGTACTTGCCGTCCTTGTCCTCGCTGTCCGACAGGGAAACCCCCTCGGGCATGTCCAGCGTGGTGTTCACAATATGCAGGGGCTTCGGTTCTGCAAAGGTTAAGGTTTAGAGAAGGTGCTTCGAAATGGTTTACTCTGACTACCACCTCCTTCCGACTCGGAGCTGCTGTTGTATGCCACTTTGTTCTTAGCCTTTTTGCTCTTCTTGCCCTTTTTATGCTTCTTCTTGCCATCCTTGCCGCCCTGCGCCGCCGCCTGCTGCTCCTGCAGGTATTTATCCGATCGCTTGGTAACTAGAGAATAGTAGATTTATGATTAAATTCTAAGTAATAGCATTTAAAAAGATAACTTGAAAAAGCCCAAATTAAATTCAAAATCTAAATTCAAATAATAAATAGAAATGTATCTTGTTCAACACCTTGAAAAAGCCCAAATTTAATTCAAAATCTAAATTCAAATAATAAACACAAATGTATCTAGTTCGACACCTTGAAAAAGCCCAAATTAAGCTCAAAATGTAAATCCACAATTATAAATAAAAGCTGAAGGCCTTAGCTGCTAGAGCTCTTAATCTTAGTTAGCTTATAGCTGTAACTTTAAGTTTGCTTCATATAAATAAATAAATAAATAAGATAACTTACTGCCCACCCGCAGCGCAGCCACGCCCTCCATGTCCAGCGGCAGCTCCGTGATGGGAATGTCGTCGATATTGTCGTACTGATCCGCATTCGCCGACCCTCCGCTCGCCGTCGGCGTGGACTTGAGGTAGTGGGGATTGTTCGACTGCTCCATGAGACGCGCCATCCGCTGGCGCTCCAGTTGCTCGGGCGTCAGTTCCAGGCTCTGTCGCCGCTTGCCGCCACTTCCTCCGCCACCGCCGCCTCCCTCCACGCCCGCGCCGCCTTGCGAGGCGCTGACGAAGAGCTCGTCCTTGTCGTGCTCCGAGGACGAACTGCTCGCCGCATCCTCCGGCGGCGGTGCGTTGATCCACTCGTCCAAATCCAGGCCATCCGGCAGCGGCACCTTCCTTTGCGCCTTGGGCGCCACCGGTATCAGCTCGCCAGCGAACAGCAGCGTCATCTCCTGGACAATCTCAATGGCCAGTGGCGGAATGCAGCCCGTGTCCATGGCATCGTCCGTCGTGGCCAGTTGGTTGCGCAGCATCTCGATCAGCATGCAAGCCGAGTTGGCTCGCTCCTGCACCTCAATGTCGCTGGAGCCATTGAAGTGTTGCAGTTTATCGAGTACATGATCGCAGAGCTAGAGAAAGGAAATCAAGTATTAATACAGGAAAATTATCTGGGGAAAAAGAGAACCCTTACCCTCACTAATCCCGGCAAATCCTGAACCTCCAGACATGTGGTGGCCAGGCGGGCAAACAGCTTGATCACGTTCTGCACGTAGACACCCTGGATGTGACCGGGCAGCTGCCGCGGACGCAGCAGGATGTTGAGCGTCTTCTCCGCATCCTCCAGCTCGCCGGCAAACTCGCCCACAATCCAGGCGGCCGCGTAGAGCACCTCGTACATGGAGTTGCTCTGCGCCGAGACGGTGAACGTGTCCAGCAGGTTGGTCATCTCGTTGACGGCGAATTGCCGCACCACTGGCACGCGAATGGCCACGTCCAGGAGTTGCTCGGCAATCAGGCGGCCGTGCCGTGAGCCAGCCTCCAGCTGAATGAGCTCCACGAGCACGGTGAGATACCACTCGAAGTTGGTCACGTACAGGTAGGAACTCTGGGCGCAGATCTCGATCACCTTGTAGAGCAATTCGTCCCGGTAGGCCGAGCCCTCCGCCCGCTCCATGTGGCCGAGCAGACGCTTAACGATCTCCATGAGGTTCTTCTTCGAGACCATGCCGTACAGCAGGTCGAGGGCGCGCAGTCGGATCGACTCGTCCTTGTCGTCCAGGCACGCGAGAATTAGGTCCTTGTGCGCCTGCACGCTCTTCGGGTGCGTCTTCAGGATCTTCGACATGGCCAACAGTCCAAGGTATTTCACTGAAAGCGGAAAAATAATCATTAATATATATTTTATTTTGAAGAAATAATATAGTAAAGTTGTATTCAAATTACATATAACACCTAAATTTAAAACGCGAATTCTTTAGTTGGTAATTGTCCATAATATTGGTTGATTCTAATTTATGAATCTATATACAATTTTTATCTATGACTATTTATTATTAGGTCAAATATACTGGAAATCACCTTTCATGGCTAAATTGTTAAAACGCGAATTCTTGAGTCGAATCAAAAATCAACCAAACTATTCTTGAGATAATATAACCCAAACAAAAATACAAAAAATCTTTCCGCGAATTCTTTAGTTAAATAAAAATAAAAATATTGTTTGAATCTCAAACTTAGGTACATTATTTATATTATATAGAATATCATTCTTATTTTTAAGGAAAGAACTTTTCTTAGCTAAATTTTTAAACGGGAATTCTTGATTTTTTGGTAAATTGTTAACGGACTGAATTATTTAGGTAAAAACTGTCAAAACTGTCTATACATATGGTGTTTTTTTTTTAAGAAACAGATTTGGTTCATTGCGAAAATGTTTTAGCGCGAATTCTTCATGTTTTGAGTAAAGGTTAACGGACTGAGAATAGAAAATACTCACGGTTCTGGTCGGAATCCTCGATAAGGATGCGGAGCTTCTGCACGCAGAGCTGGATGGAGGCACTGTGGTTGGGCATGCCGCTGCTGATGCTGATTAGCACCGCGATCACCGTGTTGATGCACTCGTACAGGAGACTCATCGCCGAGGTGCTGTTGGTGAGTTGGGTTTGGTTTTGGTTCGTTTTTGTTTTGGTTTTTTGTTCGTGGTTTGGTTGGTTGTTTTTTTTTTTTTTTTTTGTGGTTGGTATAAGTTTGAGAAAAAAAGGAACTTGTATTAAGAGTAAGCAGCGGTAAAGCGACAAACATTGCACTACAACAATAGCAATTGGCAATGGCAACAACAACAACAACAACGGCAATATGGATAGCAGTATAGTGGTTTAGTATAGCGATAACAATTAGCGATTATAGCGATAGACATTAGAAAAACACAAGATTGCGAAGCAACGCATCAAAGGCAACCAAAAAAGAAAAAACCAACAACAGCAACAACAACAACAACTGCAACAGCTCGATTTTTTTGTTCCGCTTTTTTTTTCGATTTTACTTGTTTTATAACTTTTGTTCTCAATGAGTGTGCTCGATAAGCAAAATATCGATAGGCAAACGACATAACTAAAACGAATACAAACTAAAGCTGGATGGCGACAGTCAAAAGTTGAGAGAGATAGAGAGACATAAGAAGCTAGAAGATTTGTACAATTAAATAAAAATAATGAAAACTAATATATTCATAATATTCAGTCGCACAATCATCGAGCAGCTTCAATTATCAATCGATCGATTTGAATCGGCCATTAATCGGTCTCATTTTGATTACGATTTCGATTCTTTGCTTTCGCCTTGCTTTGTTGCAATCGTTTTCCACACACTTTCGGGGAAACGCATGTATTTCTTATTGTATTTTCCGTTAATTTTTTGTTTTGTTTTTGTTTGTTTTGCAATGATTCAAGACTTGCCTATGAATTAGATTTGTGAGTGGTTCTATTAATTTCTTTCCTAGCCGGGGTTCTAAGGGGGTTAAAGCGCCAAACTGCAAATGCAAAGAGAAAAAGAAACAAGCAACAAATTATAATTTACACACAATCGAAATCATCAACGTCCTTATCCACAACTAAAACTAAAACTAACACTAAAACTAAAGCTAAAACCGAAAACTAAACTTAAAGTAAAATGGTAAAAAAAACTTAAAAAGAGTAAAGAACATTTCTCTCCCTATTAAACTGGCTGTGAGTTTGGTTTAATCGTTCTTCGTTTTTGACTCTTGTTGTGGTCCTTCCTGCCGGATCGTATCTCATGGTGATATGTCTATATATTTGGAGTTTCTCAGGGTCTTGGATGTTAGCCTTCTTTTTTTTGTAGCGAAATAAAAGTTGTACATTTTGATTGGTATACATTTGATGGCTTAAAGTTTGCTTTTGTTTCATCAAATCAAGCGAATTAAGCAGTTTTTCAACACAAAAAAGCCAAAGGAGTACGACGTGGTGAAATTGAGGTGGTGAAGGTGAATGGACAAAAGCTTATAGAAGTTTTTGAAAATATCGTATAATAAATATTGTAAATTATTGACTTTAAAGATTATTTATTATCCAAAGTTTGCTTAAAAAGATTTAAATAGTTTAGAAACGATTTCTACTTTTGATTTATTAATGTATAATGATAATATATTTTTTGTTTTAAAATATATTATTTTTAGACAGGTTCCATTCTTATTTTTCATAAGCTTTTATGCATTGTAAAGGATATGTAACATCATGTGCATCAACATGTGTGTAAAAAAATTGTGTGTCATTGAAATTGCAAAGTCAATTTGGGTAATTTCAATACGATTATAATCAATTACGACGCTCATGTGTTCTTTTGGGTGTGTGATGGGGTTCAAGTTCAAGGTGTGATGTAAATGTGATGTGGAACCGTGGATAAATCAAATGAAATTCGGGAAATAAACACTAAAGTATACAATATCTGTGTGTTGCTTCCATTTAAACAATTAGGATACCAAAGTATATACTCCAACGAAATGAAACGAAACAATAAGGGTTGTTCAATAACTAAAAGGTAAGTAGTAAAATGCTTTAGAGTAAATCAAAGCGCGTGCTGGTTTTGAATTAAGTTCTGGATTGGATTTTTCGTTTGTCTGATTAAAGAAAAGCGCGCCGATAAAAACCTGGAAATAATTTCAATTAGGGGCTGAGTCAATTTGCGTCCCAGCGCCGGTTCGATTGTCGTGAGGCTCGCGAACTAAAATTCATTCGATTTATATTTTTATTTGTATTTGGCATTTCATTCGGTTTTTTCATTAGTATTTTTTAAATATTTTTTTTTTTGTTTGGAGCGGGAGCAGAGGGAGGAGAGGGGGAGGAGTAGTTGTAGTGTTAATTAACTTTTTGTTAGACAAAGAATTCATTGTCTTATATAAAATATAGTATACGTATACGTAATAATATACATATACAGCAAACGAAATTTATGTTTGTCCGCGGACAAACGAAAACGAAAAGAATACATACTTAAAAACGGAACTTAAGAGTAAAGTAATCATTGTGAATATTTTTTTTTGGATGGCCCAAGGATGTGGTTCGGCACTCACCAGCTTGATGATCTTGATCAGCATCCAGTTGTTGGTCGATGTGGTCATGAGCTTGAAGAAGATCGGCGCCAGGGGCAGGTAATTTTTAGGATTTTTACGCGCTAACTCGCAAATAACATTAACGGCAGCCGATTGAACACCTAAAATAGGAGAAAAGAATATAAAAACATATGGTAATTCCATTTCAATAGCTCTAATAGGTTATATTCTCAGTTAAACCTGGATCTGGGTCCTCCAGTTTCTCCTTGAGTTTGGGAAATGCAGGTCTCAATGCTTCGGGATAGCGTAAAAATACTTTATACATCATAAGGACGGCTTTCATGCGCAGATACGGTTTTGTTGAGCTCATCTGAGAGGTGTTTGTAGTTAGATAAGTGAAAACGTTGATTACAAAACTATAGGATTGCCCAATACCAGTGTCATAATATCGTTGGCCAAATCGCGGGACAGATCGGGTGATATGAAGCAGCTTAGTCCACTCAACGCCACACCCGCATCGTATTGGTTCTGTGAGTTGAGATCCTTGCGTATCATATTGGTGGTCAGCATGAGGAGCTGTTGGTTAAGATAAATAAATATAAATAAGCTAGCACATCTCGGTTTGAAGATCAATTACCTCACTATCCGGATGGAAGCATTGACTGGCCGCCAGGTAGCCAATTCGCTTGCAGGTGAATCTGGATGAGCTCATCACCTCGATGATGTTGAAGCCTGCCCAGGAGATGTCGTAGCCCAGCATTTGTATCTGTCGAGAACGAGAATGAAAATCAAATCGAATCAATAAATATTAACATTTTCTGCTGATTTTGTGCAAACGAATTGGGGTGTCAAGGGTCTCGGCGAATGTGTGTGTGTGTGTGCCTGTTAAATATGTGTGCAGGATAGGCCCAAGGACTCAAGGACTCGTTAGCATTGAAATCCGCTTAGCTGCATCTCGTTTCCACACCTCACGCCCATGGGCAAAATAATGGTTATAAAGAATTTGGCAAGTCTTTATGTCAATTATACAAGAATAAGTAAAATAAAATTTAAAATATTATATATTATGTAAAAAATAAGGTAAGTTATATAAAACGAGAACATTTTACAGCATTTTATACAAAAAAATCGCAAAAGAAGAAATTTAATTAAAACTAATATAATTTTTTTGGGCACTTTGAAATTGTACTAATTCATTCTTAAAACGTTGTTCGATATATTTCCTAATTTCGGTTTTGATTTTTAGATTTTTATCTCCCACCGTTTTTGCTCCCTGTTCAACCTCCCGTTTTTAAGGGGCACTATTTTATTATTACTATGACTGCTATGCTATTGTTTCCTTCACAACTGTAATAACTATACATAATATATGTATGCTCTTGATGGCATCTTTCGTTTGGTGGGTGGCGGAGGTCTTTGTTTTTGGTCCTGCCCCTTGTTACCGCCGAGATTCAGTTGTTATTTTTATGGCTGTTGCTGTTTTTGTCCTTATTGTCACACTTGCCTACAAGGGCCCCATGCCACAGGCAATTTGCATCAAGTGCAGCCAGGCACTTTGCCGACTTTGAATGGCTGCCACCAGATTCCGGGGCATGCACGTCGCATCTGAATTTCCTAATCTAATGCTAAGCCGTCGTCTTCGAGGGAATTTCAATGTGAATCTTCTTTGGGTTGTCGGTGCATATTATTTAGGTTTATTTCGAAAATTCACAAGGGATTTTCTAATGTTCCAAAGGTTTTTCAAATTTCAGAATTTTTAATCTTTAATTTTTTAGTAAATTAGTTAAATAAAAATTAGTTAATTTAGTAACATATTTTATAAAATATTCCTTTATTTTCGTAAAATTTATTAAATGAGGGATTCTGAGGTTTATTAAGATCTTACTTTTTAGTAAATAATTTTATAAATTATTCCTATATTTCTTAGGTCTAGATTACACTTACGTAGGTCAGCTTGGCCACTGCATTGCACTTGACACTGATATTGTCCTGTCGCAGCTCCTGTTTGATCTCCTCGATGCACGTCGATATGTATTTGGCCTGCGGAGAAAGTGGATGTCAATCAATTCTATATATACTAGGTTCGTAAAGTTGAAATGCGAAATGTGCAACGGCAGCACATCATAAAACAACAAACATATCTGAGAATCGTCGAGGGGCTATCAGTTTTATACCCCCCACATACAAAGAGCAACAGAAGCAAAATAAAGTAAACACAAATTCCAAATCATACAGTTGCAACCAAAATAATAGTGATGTTAATTTCGAAACAAAAAACTTTTTAATTAAATATAAGATATTTGGATAATAATTGTAAAGAATATTGCAAAAGTACTTCAGTGAACCTCATAGAAACCACCGATGAGTAACTTGTATTCATGATTAAGCTACAAAATAAAAGCCCTTTAGGGTACTCCCACACTTAATATTTTGCTATTTCCCATTCAATAAGATAGATAGCCGCATAAAAGTGCTGCTATTAATTTAAATACAGCTGTAAATCAGTGTTTAGAAGAGCACTCAGAGAGAAAAAGTGTAGATAGCAATAATATACGTTTTAATCCTATACAAAAAATTTTGTTACGTGGATAAATATTTTAAGTTAAGTTACGTTTATTTTATTATTAAATCCCATCATATTTTGCTAAAAAAAAAATCTTATTCCACGTTAAATCATGAAAAGAATTTTTAAATATGGAAATGATTTTCAAATCATGGAAATGATCTTCAAATCATGCACATTTCTTTCTCAGTGTGCCAAAAAGAGAGAGGGAGAGTACCGTTAGTCGATCCTGCCAAACATTCCGAGTAGGACCAACCAAAAAAAAAAGCCAATCAGTGGGGGAATTTACATGGGTAAATATTTGATAAAAGCACTTGCTAATTAAGTGGGTGAGTGAGTGCGTTGGGAAAACTCCGCGTTGTGTTCTGCGTGTGGCTCTTTTTCAGCTTTTCCTGCTTTTCCTTGTTTTTTGCATTGTTGGCAGATGCCGACGCACACACACACACGTCCACTTTCACCCACACACACTCGCACACGAGCTCACCAAACTCTAATAAGATTCCCTTAATGCAAACGAAATTTGTCAGCCAATTAGCGAGTTCTAATTGAACGCACAGCTGTGCCGCAGGGGGCGTGGCTGTTGGGGGCGGCAGTTTTGGGGGGGCGGCTGGTGGTCGGTGGGAGGGGCCGTTCGTCCTGGACACGCTTACCTCATTATCCTTGTTGTTCCGAATGCCGCGCACCAAATCGGTGAGGTTTTTATCAAACATACGCTCGAAAAAGTTACCCTTCACTTTCTTCAGTGCCATGTTTGCTCTAGCTGTTGGTTCTGTTTTTCCTTGCGACGCTCTGCAATCGGTATCTCTCGCTCTCGAGGACTTTGACTATTTTGGCGAGGCGATCTCAGCACAGCACCGGCGGCAGCAGAAAGGCACTCACTTCCGTCTTTTTCCGATTTGTTTTCGTTTTCTTTAATTTAACACCAGCAGTGGTGGTGGCACAAAAATTGCACATTAATCGATACTGTCGAGAATCGATGTTTTCCCACGGGTGGCTAACTTGGCTAAGCATGGGTTCGTGCATTCGCTAGCTATCGATAACTCACCTTTGAAATAGAGCGAGAGGGCGATAGTATAAAGTGAACTTTAAATTTAAAATCAAAGATCACACAAATTCAATGCATACATTTATTTCGAGCTCGCATTACGGTTTAAAACTGTTCAAAACATGTTCACTAACTTCTTTAAAATACGCAACATTTGCTTAGGCTTACTTTATAATCACCATTAGGCAATTGACAAACGCACTTAGGTAAACGACGAGTTTTAACTAAGCTTCGATGTACAAAATTAGGGCATTAACAAAAAAAAAAAAGAACAATGTGCGCCTTTCGACAAACGAACCTCCTTTTTAATACTTTCGATTACCAACTACTCAACGAATTTGAATAAATGAGACATAAACATTCGAGATATCTGTGAAAATGCTTGAGATAGCTTAGTAAATAGTTGGATTAGTTTGCTTGATTGCTTTTGGTTGCTTAAGGGTATATCTCAAATATTTAGCCGCAGTTGAACTGGCTGTAACGATGATGAGGCCTGATGATTCGCATATTGGCACTGAGATTTAATGTGACGACTGAATGCTATTCCTTGATGGCCGCCGGCGAAGGCGCATTGATGATGAACCGACTATTCGGGTTCAGGCTAAACACATTGCTCATGCGCATGTGCTCAAAGGTCAGCGGCTTGCTCAGATTGGTGTCCCTGTTCTTGTAGTACTCGTTGAAGTCGAGCCGCGTGCCAAAGAGCTGCAGATTCGGATCGTGGCTGGAGTTCAAAGCCATCAGGAAGCTGCTCACGGCCTTCTCGTAGTTGTAGGCAATCACCTCCAGGCCGCGATAGGCGGTGTCCACCTTTTCGGCAAAGATCTTGCTCTCCTGGTCGCGCTGCAGCTTCAGCTCGTTGGTCAGCCCGAAGACGCCCTGCTGCTCCGACCGGGCCACCTCCTTGGCCAACTCCTGGCGGGCGTTGAGCTCCTGGAAGCATTCCGCGTAGAAGTTCGACTGCCAGTTCTCCAGACTGATTATGTTCTCGTACACCGTCTCCAGCGGATGCTCCACATCCGTTTTATTGGTCACAAAGCAGCCCACCTTGATCGTCTGCAGGAACTTCTCGTGCGCATCCAGGATGTCGTCGAGCGCCGTCGCCTGCTGCATCTTCGTCTGCAGCTCCACCCAGTTGCACTCGATCACCTCGAAGAGCACGTAGTACTGCATCTGGTGGATGAAGTGCATGATCTCCGACGTGAAGAGGTTCAGCCGGTGCGACGCCTTGCCGATCTCGGCGTTCATCGGCCGGAGGCTCTGAAAGAAATGTATTTTGATTAATATTTAATACATTTCTATGCTTTTCTACTACCAGTAAAAATTCAATAATAAAAATCAAATATTTTGTACCTTAAACATTTAGAAATTGAAAGAAATAGCTTGAAAAATTCAAAAGCCAATTTTAGCAGGCGCATATAGAAAATTAAATGATATTTTGATTAATATTTAATACATTTCTATGCTTTTCTACTACCACTAAAAATTCAATAATAATAATCAAATATTTTGTACCTTAAACATTTAGAAACAACGAAATAATTAATTAAACATAGCGTTTAGCTTGAAAAATTCAAAAGCCAATTTTAGCAGGCGCGAAGAAAAAAATAAATGATTATTGGCTGTTTTATAGAGATTTTATCTTTTGAAATATGTAAAACGAAATTATTTTTAAGTATTCATTTTTAAGTTTTTAAAATTTGAATAAGAAAATCTAGTGGCAACGCTGTAACTATAGCGATAGACCGACTGCCCGGTTAAGTCGATAAGTGCGACTATCGATTTCCCGCATTGTTTACATTCGTGATTCGTCGCCTTTCAGCTTACAGATTTGCCTTTATCATCCCTTATCAGCATCGCAGAGTCACGTTGTCAGCGCGATGGCCCTCTCAATCTTCAAAGACCTGCCGGCGGAGCATCCCCGCCACCTGATTCCCTCGCTCTGCAGGCAGTTCTACCACCTGGGCTGGGTCACCGGCACAGGAGGCGGCATGAGCATCAAGCACAAGTGAGTGGGGATCGGAAATCTAATAAATAAAACCTTTAATCCAACCCCTAATCCCATCCAGCGATGAGATCTACATAGCACCGTCGGGCGTCCAGAAGGAGCGCATGCAGCCGGAGGATCTGTTCGTGCAGGACATAACCGGCAGGGATCTGCAGCTGCCGCCGGAGATCAGGGGCCTGAAGAAGAGCCAGTGCACGCCGCTCTTCATGCTGGCCTACCAGCACCGCCAGGCGGGCGCCGTCATCCACACCCACTCGCAGCACGCCGTCATGGCCACGCTCCTCTGGCCGGGCAAGACCTTCCGCTGCACCCATCTGGAGATGATCAAGGGCGTCTACGACGAGGCGGATAAGCGGTATCTGCGCTACGACGAGGAGCTGGTCGTACCCATCATCGAGAATACACCCTTTGAACGCGACCTGGCCGACAGCATGTACGCCGCCATGATGGAGCATCCCGGCTGCAGTGCCATCCTCGTCCGGCGGCACGGCGTCTACGTTTGGGGACAGAACTGGGAGAAGGCCAAGACCATGTGGGTTATCTCTTTTCATATTCTTTTTACAATCCCCATTTAACTCTATGATTTATGCCTGAAAAACAGGTCGGAATGCTATGACTATCTCTTCTCCATTGCCGTGGAAATGAAAAAGGCCGGAATCGATCCGGAGAAGTTCGAAAGCTCCTAAGGAAATGGAGCTGATAAAAAAAACCCACACGTTGTTTAACCCTATGTAAGCCTTATATACTGCATTTACTATCAGAGATATTCTGATATGCAAGGCAATGGTACTGAAAAAATATATGCGATTTAAACAGCTTAATTGACTGAATGTAAACCAGTTTATGAAAATTATATGGTTTTTATATATCCTTGTTTTGGGTAGAAATAACTGCTAGGATGCTAATTCAGAAAAATATCTTTATATTGTTCCAAAGTTTTCCTTTAATATAATTTATAAAAAAGTTGTATTAATTGAAAATGGAAAGATAATAAAGTAAAAAGCCTTAAACGTAATATTTCTAAAACGACTTTCGGGATTTTACAAATATTTTTTTTTGTTAGTTAACAGAGGGTTACAAATTTTTTCTTGAATGAGCTCGTGAGGTGGCACATTTTTCTGAATAATCTAAAGACTCTTGAAGCCTTATCGCCGTTTTATGGGCATTTCAAACTGAGCACTGCGCACTTTGCACTAAAACTTGGACTAAGGAGCGTGGTAACAGCCATGGACAACAGCTGATAACCGCTGTTAAGGGGTCCATATGTTAAGCTCTGCCATGTTAATGTTAAAGTCTAAACTCCACACCTGCCACAGTGGTTTGCAGTTGGTTAAAAAGGTAATTTAAATAAAAGTTTCTAAAAATATTTTAAGAACTGTTTAACAGTATAATCCATAAACCCTAATATATTAAATACTTTTAATTAAAGCTAGAAAAGAAGGGAAAACCTAGTTTTTCTTTTTCTTTATGATTATTAAAATGTTATTTTAAATTTTCCTTTTAATTTGGACTCTTTTTTTAATACCACTTTCGTTTAGTTTGTGCCCACTGTGCATCAGCTGGCTAACAGTTTTGCAAGAGCCAAAGAGCGAGAGAGCGTGAGAGCAGGCAGCGCATACATTTAATGAGAGCCCCAAGGGTGCGAGTGAGTGCGGCATATCTGACCGGCTCCCCGCAGTATGGCCATCTCGCTCCCCCGCGACAAGGGGAGTGAAGCGACCAAAAAGCGACAATAAAATCGCCTCTTGCACGCCGTCTGCTCATTATTTCGCGTTCTCCGCTCAAAGCGTAAGCATTTTTTTTCAACGGCGCACTAGCGAACGAATTTTCATTTGATTTCTTTTCGGAAAAACACACAGAAATACACACACCACACACAACAACCATGTCTCTGCAGTCGGACGCCGTTTTCCAGAAGATCATCGATGGACTGAAGGAGAACGAGGCCAAGGCCAAGGCGGTCAACGGAGTGTTCCTGTACAAAATCACCAAGGACGGCAAGGTGGCCAAGGAGTGGAGTAAGTACTAATCGCCGATAAAACCCCCACTCCCCTCACCGGAAAAAGGCACACCCTCCCATTTACAGGGACGGAGTTGGGGTAAAATTTAGGGGGGTTACTTTTTGTCTAAATAATTAAATCATGTAATTACATTTTATTGTTATTACATTGGGAATTTTTAAATCTTTTTTTTTTTAAAGGCGGTTTATTTTTTTACCCCTAGTTCACTAGTTCCTCCCCTGCCTTTGCAAGTACGTGGTCTTTGTGAGTGTTTTCTTTTTCTGTTTTTTTCGCATTTTCTAGTAGTCACAGTTCAAAGTGCACCGCGTTTTGTACTTCGGCACCAGCTGTTGGCATTAAATTAAATTATATTATATTGGTTCGATCAGGAAAATGCAATACAGGGTGACGATAATGAAAACACACACTTGTTGCACAAAAGAAAAAAAAATTTTGTAGGATGTTTAAAAAAAAAATTTTTAAATAGAAAGAGATTTTTAAAGGCATTTTTAAATATGTAATTTTATATTATTCGTTTTAATATATTATCGCCAAGAAAAATTACCGGTATACCTTAAAATTTTAAGGGGGTAGAATTCAACCTATCAAAATAAACAACCTATTCATATACACTATTTAACTTTCAGCTCTCGACTGCAAGAACGCCAAGGCCTACGAGGGACCCGCCCAGGGCATCAAGGTGGACACCACCTTGACCGTCGCCGACGAGGACATGGTTGACATCGCCCTGGGCAAGCTGAACCCCCAGGCTGCCTTCATGAAGGGCAAGCTGAAGATCGCCGGCAACATCATGCTCACCCAGAAGTTGGCGCCGCTCCTGAAGACCGACGCCAAGTTGTAAAAAGGATCCCCGCCGGACTAGCCTGCACATTCCTTCTTTAGCTCCTTTTTTTTTCTACGTGTGTAATGTGTATTCGTGTTTTTGTTTCACCTAATTCACATAATTAATGTTATTTTTGTACGGGAAATCGTCTACAAAACTAGAAAATAATACATAAGGCGAAAGCGACAAGCGACAAACGATCAACTCTTGTGCACTTTGATACTCTGGATGGTTTATCGGTAAGTGGGTAATCGCAGCGGATTAGATTACAGGGGGCAATCTAATCAAGGTGCTATAGGCGATTTCTTGGCTGAAACCTTTCGAACTTCGACTTCCTTTCGGCACAAAAATAGATTTCTCACCTCTTGGTTTCATTAATCTGTTGATTTGACAACGAATTTGACTCCGATAAGCCTTATTTTAGGTCAATTGGGTTAATAGGGTGTCAAAGACCTCATTTAGAATGAATAAAGGCAAAAGCATCTTGAAAATAGATATTAAAATTGCATAAAAATAAATATTAGCAAAGTTTGGCGTTTTGGAACTCTTTCTTTTACAAATTCCATTGCCAAATTGAAAAATAAAAGCATTTACCAAGTTCCCGACCATTAAAATCAGTAAATTACTCCCCACATGTGCACTCCGAGTGACGGCCGCCCATCGAAATGTGTGCCTGCACTCGAGATAGCGATAAGAAATGGCCAAAGAGCCGAACTCACCTTGGCATTGCCCATCTGCTCCTTCCAGATCTTCATGGAGAGCACGAACTCCATGTGTTTCATGCGCCAGAGGGGCTTGAATAGCAGCTTGTACGTGGGCATAGTGGGCTCCAGCATGGTGGCCAGTGGTCCCTGGACGATGTACTGCAGCGAGATGATGTCCCAGCCGATGTCGCCGATGAACGGACGCTGTACGATCACATCGAGATGGTTGAGTATGTCGGGATCATCGTACTGGGCATTTGTGCAGCGCAGAGCGGCGTCCAGCATTGAGGAGAGATCGTGGGCATAGATATCGCCGCCCCCGCGCTCCAGTTCGTCCCTGAAAAATAATGTGTTATCATTGCTATTTGATTTGCCTCCTTAAAAACCTCGAAACCCACTTCATATTCTCAATGAGAATGCTGACAAAGTCGCCCTGGCCCAGCAGCAAGTAGCGGCGCATGGCGTGCAGATGATCCAGCAGCTTGTGTGGACCCACCATAATGTCCAAAACATGTTTGGAGGTCTGCTGGTAGCAGGTTTCCACGGCCGCATGCCAGCTGGTGTCTGGAACATATGCAAAGAACTGGGCAACTGCAAGAGGAATAATTTAATTAGAATAATAAATAGTTAGCCCATCAATTCCTCACCATTGTTGTCCATCACCTTCTTGAGCTCCTCGCGCTCCTTCATCAGCCCCTGCATCTCGCAGATTTCCCTCAGAAAGTTGATGCACTTGCCCGTCTTCAAAATCTTATCGGCCAGCTCCATGGGCACAAACTTGGGCAGCATGTTCAGCCGCAGCCGGAACTTGTCGTGCCACAGCCGATCGGCGCCCACATCGTTGAGCGACTCCACAAAGAACTCGCTGTACAGATCGTTGATGCCGCCCTCCAGCATCCACCGGGATATCATGCGCACCAGGGGCCCACAGATGGCGGTGAGTATGTCCTCCACCAAGGCATCCACCATCGAATGACCGTTGTCCAGATAATCATAGACGGTCGAGGCCAATTCGCCGCCCTTCTTCAGCTGGCAGGCGTCGGCGATCTTGGTGAGCCACTGCAGCCGGTGCAGCGGCTTTATGTACCAGGCGAGCAGCTTCAGTAGCGTTAGTTCCTCACTCCCCCTCTGCGCCTTCCGCTGGCCATCCAGTTCGTCGTGCAGCACGGCCACCTGGCCGTGAAAGGCGGCCAGCTCCTCCTTGAGCTTGGATATCAGCGCCTGGCCCATGCAGCCCATCGCATTGAAGCCCGTCGAGATGTCCGCGAACTTGGCCACGCGATCGTGGTAGTAGCCCAGCTCCGAGAGCCGCAGCAGCATGCCCGCCTCGCCCATGTTGAGGGCTTTCATGTTCAGCGGATCCAGCTTGAAGCGTCCGGTGACCACGTCCTTCTTCAGATACTTCCCCTGGACGCCGGTGAAGGAGTAGATGGCATTTATCACTATCTCCTGACCTATATCTTCGTTCGCATCCTTTGCCTCCAGCTTCTTTGCGTAGTCGGGCAGGGTTTGCTGGCCCAAACCCAGGCTGGATTGCGTGGGATCGTAGCTAAAGGCTTCTCCTTCTCCGTTCGACAATCCATTGCCGTTGTGGCTGCTCCGGTTGGAGGACGATCGACTGCGCAGGGCCAGACTGAGGTTATCCGATCGAGCGGAGAGGCAGGGATCTCCGCCGGCATCTCCGCCGTTCGCCTGCTTGTCGGCCATCGTCAGCAGAAAGCCCATCACCGTGTGCCTTACGTACGGATCGATTTTGAGCAGCAGCAGCTTCCTGTAGAGCTCGTGGAAGTGCTCCGCCGAGTCCGTGCCAGCCACCTCCTTGCGGGCCTTCAGGATCTTCACCGTCTTCAGGACGCATTCGCGTTCGGTGAGGGGAATCGAATTGCCCACGGGTCCCGAGCCAGAAGTGGCCGACACGCACTTGGCCACCCGGGCCAGGGTTTCGTCTGTGGAGGGGGAATAAATTCATTTTACAAAATTGGTATCAATAAGCTTAAATATAAACTATGATTTAGGACAATGTTACAAAAATTTACTTGGTAGAACTTTTATTATTCTGGATTTTTTACTACAAAATAAACTAAATTCAACCTTTGAATATAGCATTAATACTTTTATTCTATATATTAAAACTTTATAACTATAAAGTATTATTACAAATATATGGTAAATATATTTTGTTCTTTTATAGGATTTTTTAATTTTATTATACGAAATATTAAATATTTTATTAAGACTATTCATCCTAGGCAAAATACCATATAATATGATCAGTTTTAAGGTATTTTTCTATGTACTATATCTTGGAATTGGAACCCTACTCCGATCCCACTTTCAGATATTCTTTGTAGGAATTTTAAGTTTTATTATAATAAATATTAAATATTTTATAAAGACTCCTTACCCTATGCAAAATACCATATAATGGTCAGTTTCTAAGGTATTTTTCTAAATATTTACATATTTGTATCTTAAAATTGGAACCCCAATCCAATCAGATTCCCAGATTCTGATGTTCTGTGTAGAATTTTTAGTTTTATAACAATAAATATTTAGTACTTTATAAAGACTCCTTATCCTAAGCAAAATACCATATAATATGGTCAGTTCTTAAGGTAGTTTCCTATGTAAATCCTCAATTTGGAAACCCAATCCAATCCAAGATTCAGATGTTTTTTGTAGAATTTTCAGTTTTATAATAAAAAATATTTAATACTTTATAGAGACTCCTCATCCCAAGCAAAATACCATATAATACAGTCAGTTCCTAAGGTATTTTCCCATGTAAATCCCGAACTTGGAACCCCAATCCAATCCCAAAATCTCACCATGAACTTCGGGCGGCTGTTTGCCCTCTATGCAGACGCACAACTCCGAGAGGATTTCGGCCAATCTGGAGGTCATGCCGGCCACGTCGGCTCCCAGCTTATCCTGCGACATCCTGGTGGGCAGAGATCGACGGCGCAGCCAGTCGCTCCAATATTCATAAATCCAAATAAATCCAATCGAGGGGCGCGCGACGAGGACGACCGAAATGGCTTGGGAGCAACAACTGGTGGCCAATTACACACGCGCTCCTCTCTGCCGGACTAAAGCGGGCATAAAACCACCTTCAATTGGTCCGCTTGGCCGAAAGTTGCGGTGGTTTGAGCCAAAAAGCGAACAATTGGCGCGTACTTTGTTAAAAATTTAATAAAATAATTCAATGCAGTAGTACCGTATTTGGCAAGCGGGTCAATACCAAAAGCGGAGTTTTAACTGATGGTTTGGGTGTGTGCACACTGGCCCGTTTGGCGGTCTGGCAACTCTAGTTGTTTTTTAAATTTAAATAAGAAAATATAACGAATAGTATTCAGAAGAGAAATTGTTATACCAGTAAAAGTAATAATACAAAAAACCTTTATATTTTTTTTGTTTGACATAAAAGTGAATCAAAATATTTAATTAAAATAAAATTCGGAAATTAGTGAATTTTTAAAAATCGGACTTCATATATATATGTATGATAATTATGGCTTTGGCAAAGTAAAAGTTCTTTTTTGTTTTTATTTGTAATTCAGTTGCTACATTTTACCATAATTCTAAATTTAAATGTAATTCAATTTTGGCGCCAGAAAACTGGAATAAAAAGGTGCACAGGGTGATTCGGAGCGGAGTCACACAACTGTTATACAGGGTGTACTACAAAACGCAGTGTGACCAGGTGCAGTTCACCGAAATACCCCTGAGTGGCTCGACCAGCCAGGTAAACAAACCACAAAAATCGCCAGTTAAGTGAATTAATTAATTTTAAGCCGAATTTTCGCGAAATTATGGGTGTGACTGTCCTGCAACCGTACCCCCTGCCCGAGGGCAAGTCGGGGGCGCACATCATCGACCAGCTGAGCAAGCGGCTGCTCGCTCTGGGGGCCACACACGCCGGCCAATTCCTCGTCGACTGCGAGACGTTCATCTCGACGCCGCAGCCGCACAACGGAGCCCCAGGACGCGCGGTCCACGTCCTGCACAACTCGGAGTACCCCGCCTCCACGTTCTCGATCATCGACAACGGCACCGGCAAGCAGGTGGCCCTCGTCGCCGACAACATCTTCGATCTGCTCATGCTCAAGATGACCAACACCTTCACCTCCAAGAAGCAGACGAAGATCGAGTCCCGCGGCGCCCGCTTCGAGTACGGCGACTTCGTCATCAAGCTGGGATCCGTCACCATGATGGAGCACTTCAAGGTATGCTTGGTGCAGCCACAGGCCCAGGGAACTAATCTGCATATGAATAGTAAAGGAAATAATAGCCCAAATTTGAAATACCTTGTTATACTTGTAGATTAATTCTGAACAGATTTACGTTCAAATCTGCACATTTTAATTTTTTGCCATATTTTGCAAAAAAAATTATAAAAAATGCGAGAATTGGTAAAAATTAAATTTTCCCAAAAGTGATGATAAATATTCAGTTTTTTTGCCGAAACAAAGGAAATAATAGCCCAAATTCGGAATGCTATACCTTGTTGAACTCGTAGCTTAATTCTGAATCGATTAGCCATTAAATCTGGACATTTTAATTTTTTCCCATTTATTGCAAAAAAGTCATGATGGTAGTACCCTTTATCAAAAATGGGAAAATTGGTAAAAATTACATTTTCCCAAAAGTGATGATAAATATTCAGTTTTTTTTTGCCGAAACAAAGAAAATAATAGCCCAAATTTGAACTCGTAGCTAAATTCTAAATCGATTTGCGATTAAATCTGGACATTTTAATTTTTTGCCATTTTAAGCAGAAAATTTTGATAGTACCCCTTATCAAAAATGCAAAAATTGTTGAAAAACTAAATTTTCCCAAAAGTGATCATGAAATACCATTTTAATCAGAAGTTTGTAAAAGTTTCTTACAGAAATAGAGCTTATCGATATTTTCGATTTTTTGACAATATTGATTCGATAATAACGATGTTTTGAAGGGAAAACACAAATTATATTTCGAGAAATAGCATATATTCAATATATGTTTTATTTTTTCAAGCTCTATACAAAAATCTCTAAATATCCCAAAAAACAAACACATAAATATTAAATTAAAAAATATATATAGTATTCAATCACTTCTGTTATATTACTTAAAAGTTTTGTTTTATATCCCACAGAAATCTCTAAACATTCGCTTGAAAAAAGTTCCTAAAAAACAATTACCAGAATTTCAGAACTTCAATTTTTTTGGCATGATGTTAGCAAACATTTTGATTTGGCTTTTAAAATATTTACAAATATTATTTAATTCCTTTATTTATCACTCACTAAACCGTGTATTTTACAACTCCCATTCCAGGGCATCCTCATCGAGGTCGAGTACAAGTCGTGCGTGATCCTGGCCTACTGCTGGGAGATGATACGCGAGGTGCTGCAGGGCTTCCTGGGCATCGGCGTGGGCAAGGACTTTCCCTCGTACTTCGCCCCGCAGACGATAATGACGGCGATGGGCCAGCAGCAGCTGCACGCGAAGCACAACGACATCTACGAGCCGATGGACACGGTGAAGCAGTACCTGGAGCAGTTCACCAACTACCGCAAGCACGTGGCCCTGCTCGGCGGGATGGGCAGCGGTCCGGTTGGGCCGCAAGTGGGTCCGCCCGTGCACATGTCGCCCGGGGTGGTGGGCCTGAATCGACCCTGATCCGCCGACGTCAAGCTGGAGCCACCGGATGGACCAGTAGCCGATTAAGTAGGATGTTCTTTTTGTGTTTTGTATTTAAGTGAAGATAAAATAGAATAGATAAAATATAATACAAAATACCATGTCACAAAAACCTCCAGTATGCAAGGCAAAATTTAATTCTGGTACAATAATACTTACTCATTACTAATCGGTTTACCATATCCAAAGTTATACGTATTTGCTTTGCCTATCTGGAGATTTCTGTAACAACTGAATAAAAGAAAATATTTTGGACAACTTCGTATTAAAAATATCTTAGATTTGTATATGTACGAGACTATAGGATTAAAAAAGTAAATAAATCACTATTTTATTCATCATTTAATGTAAATATTTGTATTTGTTTTGAATTTCAATAAAAACAACCCGTTTTTTTTTTGTTTTAAATTTTATTTTTTATGTATATTTTCTGCTTTTAACACAATAGTTTATATATATATATGTAGATATATATATTTAATATATAGATGCGTTGGTGTAAGAATATGTCGAATTTTTGTTTCTTCATGAAATGTAAACAATTAAAAATATAAGTGGGGGGCGAAAACAAAAAGTCTTTTTCTTATCTTATAAAATGCAACGTTTATTCAATCCAAACAATCAAAAAAAAAAAAGATATAGCAGCGGGAAAGAGATGAATCCGTTGGTAAACGTACGTAATATGTAAAATTAAGCTTAACTATGTTAGTCTTCTAACACACAGTTACAAAAAATTAAGGAAAGAAATCATGACGATGCGCTTAGGAAGTAATTAAAATGGGTTTTTTTTTGTTTTGCTGAATTTCAAATCAATAAATCAATGGAATTTGTGTGCTGTTTTGGCTGCATAACAGTGGTGGTTAAACATAAATTTCATACAACTTTTCAACCAATTTCTCAGGGGTGTACGAGTGTGTCGTGTGTAACAGTTTCGTATAAGTAATATGCTTTGCTTTCAAGTGGCATGCGCAGCGTGCTAAGTACGCTGCTGTTCTGGTTCTCCAACCATCCTTCGTCATATGCGATGCGATGATCCCAACTCAAAAGAAAACCCACAACAAATGCTGCATCGTTGCTCATTAGTATCCTGATCCTCATTCTGGATTCTCTTGGTTTGTGATCTTATTTTTTTTTCACTCATCTCGTTTTTACAAATCTTTAAAATATACTTTCGCTTTACGTTTTTAGTTTTACATGTAGGTTAGATATACGTTGTAGGTGTTTATGTAGGTTTTATAATTATGAATATAGTTTAAACGGAGATCAAATTCCGATTGATTGTTTGTTTTTTGTGTGTGTGTGACCGTTGAGGGTAGGTTCTTTCTATCAAGATTTGCGACAAATTCTCCATTTCGTCTTTTCTTATCAATTGTTTTTGTATTCTTTGCATTTTCTCCTTTTTTTTTTGTAATTTGGTGTTTTGTTGTTGTTGTGGTTCCTCTGTTGTTGCTTCTTTCGGTGTCCTTGGGGAGAGTTGGAGTCGTTATATAAGCATATGAAGCATATAAGGGCCCCGTAATCCCGATTTAATCGCGCATGGGCAAGGTAGCTGGCTTCACATGACCGCCATCGCCCTCCGAAACGAAACGCTTGCGCCCGCTGCAAATATATAGAAAATCGGAGAAATTTATCAGAAATTTGTTAATCAATATTACGAGGGGTTGGGTACAAATAGTAGCTAGGTAAACATATTACAGAAATTACCATTAACTCATTAACCAAACATTCGTTGTACTTTACATAAATTTTAGGCAAAATGACTCAAACAGTCATTCTATTTTGATGTCACTTTAAAAATATAATAAAAAAAAAATTCAAAAAAGTAAGTTATGATAACATTGTTGCAACAATTTAATTTAATAATGCTTCAAATTGAATTTTAAAAACACAATATGAACTTTTTCAGATGCCAACCTACTAAACTAATTTACATACGGACAATATTATATTTTCGAATATTATTACGTAAAATGTACATAAATATATTATAGATTTTAAGAAATGATTTCAACTGGTGTTTAGATCACAAATATAAAAAAAAAATCGATTTAAATACATATTTATGTATAAACATATATGTAAACATTGTTCTGCAATCCAAAAAGATAGCAGCAAGCAAGTAACGTAACAAAGAAATAAATGCATTTTAAATGCAACTGCATAATATTATCATCTCTCTTTCTCACTCTGCTGTACGCACTTTGTAATTATACAATTATGCAATGCAATGCCGCAAAAAAAAAACAAAAACAAAAAAACAAAGAACAAGGAAACAAAGAGGAAAAAACAAAAAACAAGTTGCAAAATGCTTGGCGCAAATTCGGCAACAACAACAACAATTTGCACAAAAGTTCATTCACCGTTGACCCTTTTTCGCTCTCCCTCTCTCTGTCTCTCTCTGTCGTTGGAGGTTCTCTCTCCCCCTTTTGCTCTCTTTTTTTCTTGCAACAGCTGTGCAAAAGTAGCGGGTGAATACAATTTAGAGGGGAGGGGGAAATTAAAACTAGTTTTATTTGAGAGGAACTGACCGACCAATCAAAGGATTCTAATAATAAAAAAATATATATATTTAAAAAAAAAAGAAAAACCAGCTGGAGTCTTAATTGTTGAATCTATAAATATGTGACCAAGTGGGGGCCGAAATGCACAAATAAACACATAAATACATATGTATATATGTATGGGAATCAACTAAAATTGCGGCAAGATAAGCCCACGACCACAAACATAAAAACACGAGTCAAAACAAAAAAAAAAATTTTTAAAAATAAAAAGAAAAAAGCATAACAGAGCGGAGCCCCCAGCGAAGCCAGCTGCATGTCAGTGCTGATAGCTTAGCTTGTTTATAGCTAAGAGAATAATAGCTAAGAATAAGAATTGCTTCCGCTTGAAAGGTAACATTAGGTTTTTTAAATTTTCCAAATTATTTTCCTTAAAAACAAAGCATAGGTTAAATTTGCACTTCCAATTAATTCCCTTTTTCCAATTTCCTTTTAATTATTTTGAAATTCAAAACAAATAAAAATCTCTAGAAATCCCAGCTTGAAAAAAGCCAAGCTTTTTGCCAACGCTAAGCCTCATCAACCGTTATGTCTGAGTGTCTTGGCATTGAGTTCAGCTTAAAAAAACTTTTTTTTGCAAGCTCTTTTTTGCATCTGTAGATGTTGCGTTGGCGTCACATATAGTTTTCTTGTTGTTATTGTTGTTGGTGGTGTAAAGTGAATGGTGTTGGTGGTGTTGTTGCTTTTGTGGCTGCTGCAGTCGCTGATTTTATTATGGTTGTTGTTGTTGCTTTTGTGGCTGTCGCGTAGTGTTGTTGTTGTTACTGCGCTAAAAGTGGCAAAGTGCAATAGCCGCTGTCAAGGCAAAATGCAAATGCAAATGCAGTTATAGTAGCAGAAACAACAACAACGAAAGTGGGAGTGGCAAGCAGGTCGATAACAGCAACTTGGCCGCCATGTTTACCTTCGCACAAACACTAGCAAACAAAACAACATCGCACAAACACTAAAGAAAACGCCAAGACGATCTTGAGCCACATGCAGGTTGTTGCACCAACAAACAACAACACAAGTAATACTAAAAAAAAATTAAATCAATTCAGTAATGCAAAGTTTGGCGCGATAAAAACCAATCGATAAGAGACGTCCGCCCACATTACCCCCAACCTCCCACACCCACCCCCACTTCATCACACACATTTATCGATAACAGCCACTTCTTTTGCACAAACAATAAAAAAATTGAAAGAAATCCGACATTTTTATACCCTTACATTTCTTATAATTACAATTTTATTGCTGGCACGATATTAACTTATCTTTTGAAGGAAAAGGAATTTCTCAAAATTGTTTACTGATTAAAATAAAATAAGTTTTTATTGGATTTATTAATACTATTTCCTCCAGTATCAAAACTATTTATAAGATACTTTAGAAATCTTAAAAAAAATCAAAATGATTTAAAAATATAAAAAAAGAATCACTAAATCCAGTTAAATAGTTAGTTTTAACTGATACTTCCAAAACCGGTCAACAAAATCATCATTTCCCATCGACTCTTTCAACAGAAACGGAAAGTAGGAAAATAAAGAAGCTGATCGCAAAGAATGGGAGCCAAGAACTCGATATGTACATATAAAAATAAATATAACTAGCCGGCACCTGATAAACCGGCACAACAACAACAGCAATAATACAACAACAGGGCTGAAATGGCAAGAAAAACAAAATAAACAGCGTGAAAAAAAAGACTGCCTCAACGGATGACGCGTCGTACGTCAAGTTAATTCCAAAATGCGAAACTAAACTGCGCAATAGAAATTTCATAAACAAACATATACACACGTAGAGACAAACACTCTGGCCACAAACAAAACACGTCTATATGCATGTACTATCCGTCTATATAAGAAACTGAGCCAAAAGCGAAAAAAGAAGAAAAACAAAAAATAGGAGAATAATAAACAAGTCGAAGCCGGCAAAAGCAAAAAAAAAAAGCACGTACAAAAAATACATATCTAAGCACAGCAGCGGGTAAAATATTAGCGTTACAAATATTAATCTATAAAAAAAATATTTCAACAGATTAATTTATTTTTTTGAATAATCAAATTAAAAAAAAAAAATCTTTCAAAAATACCTAATCAAGTTTATTAATCCCTTAGTCATGATTAATTTTTTTGCCCTATGCTGTTTGCACTAATAGGCCGAAAATTGGAACAAACAAATGGCCTCCATAAATCTTGGGCTAGTTTACCCTTCGCCATAAATAGAATTATCAACAAAATCATATTATAATCGACATTTAGTTAATTTTTCGCTATCAAACTAAACGACGAGTGGTTATCGCCAATTAACCCCTAGCTCTTTATAGCTGACGATCTGATCGATGGGCCCTGTTTCAGTATGGATAGTATACAAATAATTGTAAACAACAATGTATAAACCCTCTTTATGGGGGGGCACACCACCACTTTGGGGGCGTGTTGTCTTTATGGCTGCTAGGATTACGTAAACACGTCTCGCTCTCATTGCTAACGGAGTGAATAAGTTTCTTGACTGTAGCTATTGTATATTTGTAGATTCTTATAAACAGGTGGGCTCATCGTTGGCAGTTCTATTGTCTTATCAATTCATATTTCTTAAATACATTTGATACTCCGCATAAACACATGATTAAATTAGAGAAACATAAACTATAATTTAATATACTATTATATTATATTAAACTAATGGTTTTATGACCAATTTGACTTTAATATACTATTATATTATATTATATTATTTTTGTAAACTTACCGCGATGGCACATTGTTAATAATCTTGTCGGTAAGGAATCCGGCGCGATTGCAGCGTTCGACAAAGCGATCGAGTATTATATAGGCCAGGGGCACATCCAGAACGATGTCCGCCATGTCATCGAAGACGCGCATGAAACCCTGTCGAAAGAAAAGCAAGGATCCATATGGATTATAAGATTTTTCCCATCACTGGCAAATTATTAAACATCTACTGAAACATTTATAAAATATAATAAGCAACTCAACCCACCTGCTCCATGCCCGCGGGCAGCACCAGGCAGGTGAGATCTAGCTGCTTGAGCAGCTCGCACATGGCCTCCTCGGTGGTCTGGCTGAGTGACTCCAGGGTCATGACGATCGCCTCGTAGACGAGCTCGTGATGATAGTGCGGCACCTCGAGGGCGCGCAGGCAGCGCTGGGCCTCGGCCACGTCCCGCGAGGATATGTACTCCTTGAGCAGCAGCTCCATCTGCTTGGTGATCGTCTTCACGGGACGCAAGGGGCCACCCATGCCCCAGACGTTGTCCAGATGGGCCCACACCTGCTTGTGGAGCAGCGAGTCGGCGCGACGGAGGGCCTGCTCGGCATGCTCGCCCAGCTCGAGGCTCCGGAGCTCCTCCTCTGCCTTCACCACAAACTTGGGCGGAATGCAGTCGTCGGCCACCGCACGGGCCATAAAGTTGCCCAGCATGGTGGGCGCCTCTGGAGTGTCAAGGATGAGATCCGGCAGATTGGCCAGCAGCATGTTGAAGCCCTTCTCGATGTCCTTGCCGGTGATAACCCGTCCGTACAGATCCGAGATCAGCACCGAGGTCATCTCCCGCTGCGAATCCTTGTGATCCATGGCGATCTCCACGAGAATACTGGTTATGTGTTCACGCAGCGGACCCTGGAGGATCTCATCGAAGCTCAGGGCCACCTCGTGCGGATCCCCGTGCTCGTAGTACTCCAGGACAATGGGCTCCGCCAGCTTGAAGAACTCCTCGGGCGTAATCTCCGTGATCACCTCGCGCAGCTCGACATTCCGATCGTTGCACTCGCTGTCGTAGTTGGGATCGTTCTCGTCCTCGTACACCTCGGCCAGAGCCTCCGAGCCGGGCAATCCCCAGACGCCCTTGCCACCGGCTCCGCCCTTCTTGGGCAATCCCCGGCCTCGGGCGAGATTCCTCGATCGCCGGCTGTTCTTCCAGCGACGATGGGGCACCACATAGCCGCCGGGCGAGGGCAGGATGCCGTTGATGGCCAGCGGCGGGGCAGCAGCTCCAGCAGCCGCGGCAGCCACTCCATTGCCATTCGTTTGATTGGGACTGCCGCCGGAGCCACTGTTCTGTCTTTGGATGAGCCGCTTGGCCTTGCGCTTGATCCGGCCATCCTCCACGGGCAGCGGCTTCTTGATATGCCCGTTCGAGTGGCCACTGCCGTTCAGCTCCACCGCCTGAATCTCTCCGTTCAGCTCCCGCTCCACGGAACTCTCCTTGGAATCGGATCCCGCCGGCGAATGGGAGGAGTGACGGGCGCCGTTGGTGGAGCGCTTATTATTCGATTCCACTTCCATAGTGACAATGATGATGTCTCACTCCCTACGATATCCCCTTGGAATGCACAGCAAGGATTTTGTGGATGGGTTTTTGGGTTTTGTACTCTTGCACCAGGTGCGTCCTCTTTGTTTTTTATCTATAATTAGATGGCAACAAGTTGGGGGGTGTAATTAACATAACATTAAAATAGAGAGATTAATACTTCTTCTTGAAAATCTTTGAAATCATATCTCTATCATATCTCAGTACTTTTCCATTGAATTGTAATTCCAAACCCTATTTACACATTTGAATTTGCTGATGCAAGATACAATCCCTTGAAGGTATAGTTTTCGGTGCAATTATCGAACTTGACTCTTAGAAAATCATGAGAAAAACGATATAGGGGTGCTTAGTGGAACTTTTCTGTGGACTCGCTTTCATTTGCTTGGGGGCGGTTTAATTTACATGTCTCGCCCTAAAGCCGGAATGCTTTCGAAGGTCTTGTTTGTTATTGTGCGTTGTGTTTGTGGAATTTTCATGGCACTAAAACAACAACTACACATAATGTCTGGCACGTAGCCGACAATCCCCCCTTAAAAACCCCTTCTTTCCAAGTTCCCATTTCTATTCGCATTCTCTTGTTTCTGGCTAAAAATAACATAAGCTTTTTGGCCTGCATGTAATATCTTTTATGCTTACACAATTAAGAGAATAATAAATACAAAGTAGTTTTAAGCTATTGCCTGCAGAACAAAAACAATTTTTATAGTTTTTTTAAAAACAATTTTTGGGTTAATAAAAATTTACAAAAAAAACCCTCGAGAATTTGGCCAATAAATCATTATCAAAAATACAGTTTCTTTAATGTGATCTGTAATAAAAAGAATATGATATTTTCGCATCTTCGGCTTTAATATTTTGACCGCATCTGTATATAACGGTACTGCGTCTTGGAAATCGCAAATGTTTGTCAATGGGCGTGGGTGTGACAGAGATAGCGATAGGGACATGTATCGAAACTCCCCTATAGTCAAAATTCAAGGTCACGCAACAACAACAACACCAAAGCCAAAAGGGACTACATAATTGTGATACCGTTAAAGCTTTGCAACCCCCACAAGCATTATAGGCATCTCTTTCGCACCAACTCCTGAATTGAAAGTTCCTTTCGTATGAGTGTGTGTTTGTTTGTGTGTGATTGTTTTTGTTTTACATAAATGCCTATTTAACTTAACTTGGCAGCTGCTTTTTGAGTTCTTTTTTTACTTTTTAACAAAAAATCCAGACTATACTTAAGATTTATGATAAAAAAATTTATTTCTATAAAAAGATTTATATTTTAACATGGCAAACAGAATTTCATATAAAAAAAATCAAGATAAGAAATTTCAACTTTCATAAAATTCTAGCTAACGATCTTAACTTAATGTTGGGTTGTATATATATTATGTACGTATGTTTGTAATAAATTCTTTGAATAATTATCGCAATTTTCGGTTGTAAAATATCAAATTTCCACACTTCTATTCTGCTTCTTCCACCCATGTAAAGCATAATAAGAATAAAAACAAAGGCAACGTGCAAAAAAAAAGCCGCATGTCCATGTTGTTTTTGTGTTGTTATTTTGTTGTTTGGGTTGCGTTTGATTTCGCATACATATTTACATATGAATGTATGTTGTGTGCTTTATATTGCGCCGTTTTCCTTTCTCCTCTTCTTTAACCGCTGCTTCTTATGTACTCCCCTCCTGTAAATATATTGTACATATGCTTATGTACATGCTGTAACCGGTTTTATGTTTGTTTTGCCCGGTTTAACCTTGAAAATTTAGTGCGCCTTACGAATTTCTATGTTTTTATTGCCGTCTCCTTCCTTTCTCTTCTTCTTCTTTCGCACTTGTTGTGCCCCCTTTTTCTGATAACAACAAAAACAGAAACAACAAAATAAACATTTTCGGCTGCTGTTGTTCCCGTCTCTTTTTCCCCTTGGCTTTTTGTTGATGCGTGTCCGAAATAATTTTTTAACCCCGAAATCAGGAAAAGGTATGAAGGGTGGGGAGAAAGAGGGAGAGAGCGGAGGATAAAAGAGGCGGGGGAAAAGCATAAAAATGACGCTGCCGAAATTGCGTCGCAAAAATTTCGCAAAAAGCCAGCAATGCCCAATAAAAAGAAGAAGAACAAGAAAAAGAAGCAACATTGTATGCTGTTTCTTAACAGAAGAGGTCAAATTATTAGAAGCACTAAATATTTGTTAAATTTTTAGATATTATAATTCATAATATCTTTGCCCATTATATTATTTTTAAGAAGAGATATAGGAATGTATTTACGTCTGTGAAATCTAAACTAAAAGTGATAATTGTTTAGCATTGGGTAAGAAGAGAAATTGGAATTTGTTTATGATTGATTCTGAAACCAGACCTTTTGTGGCGAAACCCTAAAAAGAATAGCTATTCAGATTTCCACAAGATTATTTTTCCAAGCCCTATAATTTCAACCGCCACTGTAATTTGGCCGTACAAAAACACTTCTTTTAATGGACAAATATGGAAAAATAAAATTGGATGACATGGAAACATTGGAGAATGCAAATAAACGTCGAGCCTCGAGACGACGAAAATAAACAAAAAAAAATTATAAGAAACAAGTTCGGCAGGCAGAAAAAGAAAACAAATTCACCAAACATCCCCCCACCCCCTGGGGGCAGCTGTTTTTCGTTTTCGGCTTTCCTCGTTTTTGTTTTTCTCGTTTTTTTCGGGTGCGTGCGTGCGTGCCGGTCGAGTTTATCACGTACACCAAAAACCCCCAGTTTTCCAATTGGAGCAAACATCAAAACATTCATAATTTAACACTTGATTTTGTGTGAAAACATTATTTTTTGACCGCGACTGTATTTTTTTGTTTTGCATTTTTTGCTTTTGTATTCGCATTCGCCGGCAGTTTTTCGTATTTACTTTTAAACGGTCTTCGCGAAGATCGATGTGTTGCCTTTTTTTGTATTTTACTTTTTTTTGCCACTTACCTAAGTGCTTTTCTGTCTCTCCTGCTGTCTTGCGCTATCTGGCTCTCCCTCTCTCTGATGCTGCAGCAAGAACAAGAACAACAACAACAAACGACGCGACTGCAACAACGTTGGCCCACTGCAGTCGACGTCGACGTCGGCTGCGCTGCCTTTATTCACTGGGGAGCCTGAGCCTGTTTGATAGTTGTAGTTGTTGTTTCTTTTCCGTGGGCTCCTTTCCTCGCTCTTTCGCTTCTTTCTCTTATTGGCGTGGGGGGCAAAGCAATAGCAAAGCAAGTGGGCAAAAATGCAAAATGCACTAAAATCTTGTGGCTCACAGAAAAAAAAGGCTCCTTCACACACGCACACACACTCGCACACCCACAACCATTCAGTTGTGCGTGTTGGGGAGCTGTTGCTGCTATTGTTGTTGTTGTGTTGCCTGCTCTGCTCCTTTCCCTCTCTTTCGCCTTGCTGTTTCTGTTGTTGCTGTTGCTGCTTTGCGCTGAGCCGTGTGAACTTTTGTGTTTTATTTTTTTTTTATGTTGGAACGAAAAGGATGAAGACCGCTGAATTCTGATTCGAATGGTCGAATGGCAAAAATGGCACACACAAACTCTAGAGGTGGAGAAACATCGATGAAAACATTGATGCATCGATATCTTAAAATTTTCTAGAAACATCGATGTTTTTTGCCACAATCGGTGTTTTTAAGCGCGCTTTTTAAAAACTTGGAAAGCTTAAGTTCCAGATTGCGAACCTTTTTTTTTAGAAAGTATTACCTGTACTATTTATTATTAGCCAGCTAATTAAGAAATAAAACGCCAAGTTTAAGAAATCTGAATTGTTTTAGTTGATTTCATTCAACAGAGTGGCATCCCTGCAATTGGCGGAAAAAAACAATTTGAAACGAAAAACATTTTTATTGTGAATAATTTGTATCGTCATACATATATTTGAGATTGAACAGTATTAATTTTGATCAATTGTAAATGAAACGACTTACATATATTTATATTTAAATTATAGTGACGACGACAGCATAACGGTTATTTTAAAAATGGCGGCAAAGAGCAAACGATGAAATATTAGAAAACAAAAATTACAATTTAAGCAATATCGAATTTATCGAAATATGTATTTATTTTACTGTTTCCCATAAGAGCGGCTTTTTTCAACACAAAAAAACGAATGATAAACTTAAAAATGGCTGATTTGGTAAAAAGAAAACCGACAAATCAACAGTTCTTCTTAGAAATGTATTAAATTACATGGGTATATACAAATGTATTTATGTATGTTTCAAAAACTTTAAACGATAGCTGCGAAAGCAATATGCCAATATTGCATCAGTTTAAAAATATGTATCGTGAATATAGAAATTAAGAACTGATTGTTTTTCTTAAATAGTTTGTGTTTGCTTTCGCGAGCTCCCTGGGGATTAGAGATTATGAATTCCTTATCGCAATGTAACTGGCGGCTCGGAGGTTTCAACCATAATATCACATGTTCGCGGTTCCATGGAAATATATCAAAGTTCTGATCAGACATTTTTACTCTATTTTTTTTGTTTTAGTTTTTATTAATACGTTATACTAATTTTTTGCCGTGCTCGACAACCCTGAAGCGCGCTGCCAGACAGTTTTAGCCTATCGATAGCCGATAGCCCGCCGATTGTTGTTGTTTACCTCTTTCAACGCACGTGCGTCTCGTAATTTGTGTGATTTTCTAGTTAATTTGGAGGATCTAAGAACTCCACGATGCCGCCCGTTGCCCAGGAGGGCAATTGCCTGATCTACCGCGGCAGCAACTTTCTCAAGCAGCGCCTAATCCTGGCCTGCCTGTCCGGCAAGCCGGTGAAGATCAACCAAATCCGCTCGGAGGACGAGGCGGCACCGGGTCTGCGGGAATACGAGATCAGTTTGATCCGTCTGCTGGACAAGATCACCAACGGCACCAAGATCGAACTGAATCCCGCCGGCACGAGTGTCATGTTCTCGCCGGGATTGCTGCACGGCGGTCAGATCCATCACGATTGCTGTGTGCAGCGTGGCATTGGTTATTACTTGGACGCCCTGATTGCTTTGGGTCCCTTCTGCAAGAATCCGCTGCACTGCAGCCTGCGCGGCGTGACCAACAGCAGGGATTCGCCATCGGTGGACCACATCAAGGGTGCAGCCCTCTCGCTGCTCAAGCGCTTCCTTCTGGTCGACGAGGGCCTGGAACTGAAGGTCATACGGCGTGGAGTGGCTCCTTTGGGCGGCGGCGAGATCACCTTTCGCTGCCCGGTGCGCAAGAGCCTGCGCGCCCTGCAGTTCCAGGCGCAGGGCATGGTCAAGCGCATCCGGGGCACCGTCTACGCCTGCAAGGTCTCGCCCGCCCTGGCCAATCGCACCGTGGAGGCGGCCAAGGGCTGCATGCTCAAGTTCCTGCCCGATGTCTATATCTACACCGATCAGAACAAGGGCAAGATGTCTGGGAATTCACCTGGCTTCGGCATCTGCCTGATTGCGGAGACCACGGACGGCGTTTGCTACGCCGCCGACTGCAATTCCAACACAAGGGAGGAGTCGGTTAGTTGTGATGGTTTTCCTTAACTCTTTAATGAACTAATAGCTTTGATTTCCCCCCAGGACACCCCCTCCATACCCGAGGATCTGGGCCAGGAGGTGGCCATGCGTCTGCTCGACGAGATCTACCGCGGTGGCTGCGTGGATTCCACCTACCAATGGCTGGCGGCACTTTATATAGCATTGGGACAGAAGCACGTCTCCAAATTCCTGACCGGCGCTCTGTCCACCTACACTGTTCACTTCCTGCAACATCTGCGCGACTTCTTCTCGATCACCTTCAAGCTGGAGAATCCCGAGGCGGAGGATGAGGACGAGGATGTGCGGGGTGCCCAGAAGGTCCTGATGGCCTGTGTCGGGATTGGCTACACGAACATCAATAAGCGCGTTACCTAAACTGTTCTCTTGGCTAAAAATTGTAGGAATAAATGTATTTTTTTTATCACTTAGTATGCATATAACATTTTTATCACTGGGATAAAATATAAAACAATGCTTTTTTACTTAATTTATTTATTTTCAATTTTTTATTTAGTTCGCCTTTTTTATGTAATACAATTTTATGCAATTTCGGCTAAAGCATTTTTGTTGAGCTGGTCATAATATTTTGTTTACCTAAACCGAAAGTTTATTTATACTTTGTAACCGCCCGAAAATCATAAAAACAAACCAGATTTTGACTTAAAGAGGGATGATGCCTTCAAACTTACAATATATGTATTCAAAATAGCATTATAATATTCATTGATTCGAATTTGGACGGGTTCCAATCTCGCTGGAGGTCAAAGCTGGGTCACATCTCTCATTTGACGCAGGTGTTGCAAGTTTGTTGCCAGGTCAAGTCTAATCGAGGGATCTGTACACGTTTTTTAATCAATCAGGCTATATTACAAACTATGTGCAGTGAAAAAAAATATTAAAAGGATTAATATGGCATTGAAAAGTGTTTAAACCTGTGAATATTGTAATTGGTATTTATGATGATGGTATAAAAACCTCCAGAGATTTTATATGCTACAAAATAAAGCCTGTAAGTAAGGGCTTTTGCAATTTTATGAATGGGTTATATTTTACAAATTTTTTGCCAAGTGTCTAGAGGTTCAAAAACCTTTTTGTGATAACAAAACGGTTGGCAAACACATGCGAAATAAATCGGTTTTTGCAATAATTCCGATTTTGCACTTGCAATTCCGGCGACGGATCAGCAGAAAAAAAAAAACTAAAAGTCAGACAGCCGACAAAGCAGAAATTAGTTCGAAATCGGAGCTATATAAACCACTTGGCCGGCTGGAAGAGGCCATCAAACGTCGTTCAACGTTTGGCCCGATCTGATCTGATCTGATCTGAAAAAACCCGGTTCCCCTCAGCAAAATGATGAGTCTCCGCCTCTGCCTGCTGGCCACCTGCCTCCTGGTGGCGGCCCATGCCTCCAAGGATGGCGCCAACATGCAGCTGAAGCCCACCAAGTGGCTGACCGCCTCCGATCTGGAGAGCGTGCCCTCCCTCAACGACATCACCTGGGAGCGTTTGGAGAACCAGCCTTTGGAGCAGGGAGCCAAGCTGATCGAGAAGATCTGTGAGTAGAAAAAATAAATCTATCTATATTTTGATATTTTTTAAATTTCAAATTAAAAAGTATATATTTGTTTCATATTTAACAAATATTTATTGGAGTAGAAAAAATAAATCTATTGGTTTTTTCATATTTTTTAAAGTTAAAATTAACAAGAAAGGAAGCTACCTTCGGCCAGCCGAAGCTTATATACCCTTGTAGATAAAAGAATACTCACTCGGTGCAGTTCCAGGGATTCCAGATTCAGCGTTTCGATTTATTTCAATTTTGTTTTTAAGTAGTCAAGAATCAAAACGCCTACTTCCTACAAAGTTACAATGAATTTTCTTATATTTGATTGGGAGCCTTAAGATATAGTGGTCCGATCCGGCTGGCTCCGACATATGTACTACCTGCAATAGAAAGAAGACCTTCGGGAAAGTTTCATCGCGATAGCTTTAAAACTGAGAGACTAGTTCGCATAGAAACGGACAGACGGACAGACGGACAGACGGACAGACGGACAGACGGACATGGCTAGATAGACTCGGCTATTGGTGCTGATCAAGAATATATATACTTTATGTGGTCGGAAACGTCTCCTTCACTGCGTTGCAAACATCTGACTGAAATTATAATACCCTCTACAAGGGTATAAAAATAATACATTTTTTTTCACATTTAACAATTATTAAAAGTATTACTCTTAAAAAGGTGTCTAAAAGTATGCTCGTGATATTTTTCAATCGTGTAAATATATTATAGCATACTTTTAGTCACGGTATTAAAAGATTTTTAAATCTCTAGAGGTTTTTACTTAATGAAATTAAATATTCCCTTTCCAATTCCCAGACCACGTTGGCCAAATCAAGCACGATCTGACCCCCAGCTTTGTGCCCAGCCCAAGCAACGTGCCCGTCTGGATCGTCAAGTCCAACGGCCAGAAGGTCGAGTGCAAGCTGAACAACTACGTGGAGACCGCCAAGGCCCAGCCCGGTTTCGGTGAGGATGAGGTCACCATCGTCCTGACCGGCCTGCCCCAGAACAGCAACGCCCAGAAGAAGGCCATGCGCAAGCTGGTCCAGGCCTACGTCCAGAAGTACAACCTCCAGCAGCTGCAGAAGAACGCCCAGGAGCAGCAGCAGCAGCAGAAGAGCAGCGACTACGACTACACCAGCAGCGAGGAGGCCGCCGATCAGTGGAAATCGGCCAAGGCCGCCAGCGGCGATTTGATCGTGAGTAGAAAATTAATTCTAAAAAAAATATTCCTTTAAAAGAAGAACCACTCCTAAATCAAGAGCATTTTTTCCTTTGCTCTGCCGGCGCTCTGCCAACACACAACCAGTGTTCAAATCCCTTTCAAAAAAAGAAACACTTCCCAATCATCAGTTGATCAAACGATAAAGGGATTATGTCCCACTTTTTTAGAGGCTCTGCCAACACACACACAGTGTACAAAACCCTTTCGAAAAAAGAAAAACTCCCCCATCATCACTGATGATTCATCAGTAATCTTTTAATAAAGGAATAATCTCCCACTCTTTTAGAGGCTCTGCCGGCGCTCTGCCAACACACACACTGTATACAAAACCCTTTCGAAAAAAGAAACACTTCCCCATCATCACTGATGATTCATCAGTATTAGTTTGATAAAGGGATAATCTCCCACTTTTTTAGGGGCTCTGCCGGAGCTCTGCCTACCCACACACAGTGTAAATATGCCTTTCAAAAAAAGAAACACTCCCAAATCATCACTGAAGATTCATCAGTATAAAGGGATAATCTCGCACTTCTTTAGAGACTCTACCGGCGCTCTGCCTACCCACACACAGTGTACAAATTTTGCATCACACCTTAATCTATTTAATTTGAATTTTCCAGATCATCGACCTCGGCTCCACCCTGACCAACTTCAAGCGCTACGCCATGCTGGATGTGCAGAACACCGGCGCCATGATCGGCCAGACCCTGATCGAGCTGACCAACAAGGGAGTGCCCCAGGAGATCATCCATCTGATCGGCCAGGGAATCAGCGCCCATGTGGCCGGAGCTGCCGGCAACAAGTTCACCGCCCAAACGGGCCACAAGCTGCGCCGCATCACCGGTCTGGACCCCGCCAAGGTGCTGTCCAAGCGTCCCCAGACCCTCGGCGGTCTGTCCCGCGGCGATGCCGACTTCGTTGATGCCATCCACACCTCGACCTTCGCCATGGGCACCCCCATCCGTTGCGGCGACGTGGACTTCTACCCGAATGGACCCTCGACGGCGGTTCCCGGCGCTGAGAATGTGATCGAGGCTGTGGCCCGTGCCACCCGCTACTTTGCCGAGTCCGTGCGTCCCGGCAGCGAGCGCAACTTCCCCGCCGTGCCGGCCAACTCCCTGAAGCAGTACAAGGAGCAGGATGGCTTCGGCAAGCGCGCCTACATGGGTCTGCAGACCGACTTCGATCTGCGCGGCGACTACATCCTCGAGGTCAACCCCAAGAGCCCCTTCGGCCAGCGCAGCCCCGCCCACAAGCAGGCCGCCTACCACGGCGTCCACCAGGCCCGCAACTAGGGATCCACGTCCCCCGATGGTTGGATGGAACCCGTGCAGCTCCTGATACTCAGAGAAATCCGCAAAACGTAGGCTAGCTTAGAAAATCCATAAAACAAACGAAAAAACAAAAAATACTTCAAAAACTCCATAAAAATAAAAGCTGCAAATTAACTAAAAATAAAACTTTTTCTTTAAGTCAGGGATTTGTGGATATCCTGTTGGGATGTACATTAGGGTGGCCCAGATGTTTTCACCCTTTTATATAGTATTCGATTGTCATACCTTTCTGAGCTGGTTATTAAATTTCCAATCGATTGACATTTAAACCCGGAAATTTTATTTTTTGACCATTTTTCGCAAAAAATCATGATCAAAAACCAAAAACTCAGATCCCAATTTTTCATGAAATCTTATGTTTGGAAAATTGGAGCTTAAGTCCTAACTTTAGTTTAACATGCGGAGGATAAAACAGTTCTAAGTAACGTACTTACGGATACATACGTATTAATGTAGAAATATAGTATAAATAGAGTGGGATGAAGTGAGAGTGAGGCAACTAGTGGCAGTTGAAGTGCACTCAATTAAATGTTGCATTTAGCTTACCGTTAGCGCTTACACGTTCAAACAACGCTCGCCGACCTGTGCAAACTCAATTGTTCCTCTATTTTTGGGGCATGCGCGGTGTAAATGTCAAAGTTGAACTCTATCACATGCAATAGACAAGCGACTAGGAAAATGGCCAAGCAAAAGCTGGAGATGAAGATGGAGAGATAGTAGCTCTAGCTTTTGAAGATGGAGTGACAGGAGCGGAATGACAGGAGTTGGCGTCTTCTGTTTGTGCATGTCGTGACATGTTTGCTCTGAAGCGGAATTCTGCGAATACGTCGTAATAGCCAAAGCTTATCGCCAAAACCGTACACCTTAGAAATGAGAAATGCTTTCTCGCTCTCACTCCCCCGCAAAGCTTGCTGCCTGCTCTCTCTCGTCTTACTCCCGAAAAGAGAGCGCACAAGGACGCCGGGACGTTGGCATTTCGTGGGGACCTCCAAGTTTCTTGCAGGAATTACACTTGTATTATTCATTGGCCGATATGCATAAATCCAATTTACGGAACCCCCTTTCTGGCGTCCCCGCCAAAATGAGAGAAAGGCAGAGCGCGCATTTCCATATCTTTGGCATTTTCTCGCGCGCTTTTGGTGCGCACAATTTTGAAAGATGGGGTGTTCCGCAAGACGTAAGGTGTTTTCGTCTGAAACCTACTTTAAAGTATAATAATTTTTGAATAGAAGATACTAGGTAAGTTAAAAACATAAAATAAATATACGAACATTTGTACATATGTAAATGTGTTTATATGTATAGAATCTTTTTTTATAAATTTTAAAATTTTTTTTAAACACTTTTCTTTATAATCCTTAGAAATAATATAACATGGATTTTGAACTTTTAATCTTTGTAGTTTCATAATTTGTTTATAATGAGCCCAATTCTTTATCTCTATGAAAGGTAAAACATCGAATATCAGTATTTTTTATATACTTTTGAAAACATGGGCGATTTGATAACCCTAGAGATTTCTCACCCAAATCTATTTTCGGAACGCCCTCTCTGGCGCTCTCTCCGCTCTTTCTCTCTTGGCTTTTCTCAGCTGCTTTAGCTTCGTTTGCCTTTCAGCGTTCGTTGGGTTTTTGGCGTTCAGTAAATTTCAGTATTTCAGAGTATTTCAGAGTACTTCAGTTCAGCAGTTCAGAATCGAACGCGAGCGAGCCGAGTCGCAATTCGCCGCCGCGCAGCGCGTGCTGTTTTTTTTCAGTGTGTACGTTTTGATTGCAAGAAGAAATAAGCAGAGGAAAACGCTGAAAACATTTCTCATCTGCGGCCTGGAAAAGCGCCCCGAAGAAAATGAATAGATAAATTGTGTTAATCGCCCCATCGAGCCAGCAGATATTCACTGTATATTTATATTTTGTTGTTGTGCGTACGATTTCTGTTGCGTTTGGGCATTACTCTTTTGTTGTTAATTGTGCAGCTGCCCGCCTGCGAATGATAAAAATGTGAGTTTTGGCCCCCCGAAAAGTTTGTGCGAAGGGGAAAACCCTGTTTTTTTGTTTGTTTCTTCCAAAAACAAATAGTTTAAGAAAAATGCGCAAAATTAAGTTAAGGATAACGGTGTTTGTGAGTGTGTGTGGGTGGCAGCTGCGTAAATGCGTAAGCTGCGTTGCGTATGTCTGTGTGTGTGTGTTGGCTGTGGCCAGGTCTCAAGGTCCCGTTAGCTCTCTCCCACCTCTCTTCCGCCTCACTTTTGCTCTCCTCTCCAAACAACAACAAGTCTGCGATAAGAATTTTCCATGCGTAATTTTCACGTAAAGCTTTGTTTTGTTTTGTTTGGGTTTTAGGCTTTGAGTGGATTATTTAAAGGTTGTTGAAATGAATTCTTCTTTGTAAAATGTTTTTTAAGTAAAAACAAAATTAATCGCTGTCTCAAAGGTTTTATAAAGTAATACAAACATATGGATTACATTTTATCATATTTTTATAATATTTTTATTTAATATATTTTCCATAACCTATCCAAATTACATTTTTCAACTAATAAATTCAATTGTATCTGTTTTTTTTTTATTAAATTAATGATATGAAACAAGTATAGTAATATTATTACCCTATCTTTAAAATGATTTCAAACATTTTGAAAAAGTATAACAGTTATTTTTTGGTATCTTTTTTTTTGGGATTTGTATTTTATGTGCTATAATAACTGGATAATTAATATGATATATTATGATGAATAACAAAGCTAAAGTCTTGTTCCGACTGTACATTTAACTGGCTTCTTTCTCAGAAAATTAACAGGAAGAAGAGTTAAAAATAGATGTATGGGTCGGCTCGTTTTATTCCTAATCCTGCGTGCGTTTTTTATGTTTTTATTTCGCTGGCTGTTGTATTTATAAATTATTAATAGGCACAAAAAGCGTGCCACAGGTGTGCACAAAGGAGTGAGAGGAGCGGAGAGAGTGGGGGAGAGAGCCAGAGAGAGCGTGACCTTTTTTATTTTGCTCTTTTCCGTCTAATTTAGCTCACTAAACTTGAGACTCGGATTTAATAGGCTTTTTTTTCAACCTTTGCTCTCTTTACATCCCCACTATTTTCGTCTCTGTCCCACACTTTCAGCTATTTCCGCTTGAGTGCCTCTTTTTTTTTGTTTTTGTTTATTGTTTTTCTTTTTTATTACCGTTTTTTGCGCTTTTTTCTACACCTTTATTTATTGTATTGTATTTCTTGGTCAATTACCATGGCAATTTATTTATCAGCTTGGCATTGTTGTTTGCCACAATTGCGCAAGTTTATTTCCCCTATTTTTGTCATTTTTTATTTGTGCACTATTTGAGTTACGTTTGCCGGACTTAATAATAAAAAGGTTTCTTGTATAAAAAATTGGGAATTTACATAGAAAAAAAATTTAACTATCAGATTAAAAATACATTCATGTTTCGATAAAACATTACATATTAAATTTTGTTAATTTTTTAAAAATAATTTTTATTAGATGTCTCGCCTTTTTTTCACGTGTTTACCCTTGTCTTACCCTTTGGTCACATCATAAAAAAAATTGCTAAGCTAAATGACAAAATTCATCATAAGCACAACCACATTGAAGGCTACGTGCACTTTGGCCAGCTCTTTTATAGCCCACAGATGTGTGTGTTTGTAATTTGTTTATTGATGCACAGTGGGTCGATTGTTACTATTTTCTTAAAGAAAGAATGATTCCTATAAAGTGTAGAATTTTTTTTTTTACCACCCCTTTTAAACAGCTTAAATTTAATCACAAAGAATAAATATTTTTTTATTATCCCCATAACGTAGTAAATCTTATCACTGCAAAGACTTTTCTCATCATGATTATTCAGATTGCTTATCTTTTGAAACTCTGAATATTAATTTTTATATTACTTGGTTTGTTTGTTGAGATATAATATAAAGATAAAGAAGCTAATTTAACTGACGTACAAGTGTTTTCTTCTACGAACCTTTTATATTAATTTAATAACGTAAAAATCAAAATTAAAAGAGATATCTTTATTTATTTGGAATATTAAATAAATTCCCATCTATCGGATTTCTTAGACTCTTTTTTAAAGATGTTCCCATTTCAATAACCTTTGACTCAGGGTAGCAAAGAAAATCTGTCGGCGCATTTTCTGTGTCACAAAATGTAATTATGCTAAGGAGGCAGACGAGGGGCGGGGAAAGCTGGCCTGAAAAGGGGGCGTGGCGGGGCGAAAAGAAAGCGGTTGCCATATTGTTGGGGCTTACGATTGTGTTACGGCCTGCCATGTAACTGCCATGACATAAACATGTGCATGTCTGTGCTCGTACTTTTCTCCTCCTCCTCCTCCTCCTCCTCCCCTCTTCTCGCTGTGCCCAATAATTATTGATTGACTGCCTTGTTGTAGCATCGCCTCTCCCACTTTCCCTACAATAAAAATATGTTACAATATAAAATATATTTATAATATGTAATCAAGCAATATGCTAAAAAAGTATTGTATTTCTAAGTTCCTTGATAAAATAAATATTTTCTATTATAATAATATCCATTATTATAAAGAAATAAAGTCAAAAAATCCATTTCCAACTGAGTGCCCTGCATAACACAATTTCCATCAATTTAGAATTTTTCCCCATACCCATCCGCAATTTCCCGACCGTCACACAATAAGCACCAATTAAAAAGAAAGCTCTTCTGGGATCCATAAATTGGAAGAGGGAAATACAATAACATTTAATGAGTAGCTAGACAAATTTGTGGTCGAGATAAAAGCAAGATAAGATCTAAACAGATTAGGAGTCTAATGAAGGTCATTAGCGCCGGGAGTTGACAGTTTGTAAGGCACAGTGGGGATTAAATGCGAAAAGTTTGCGTGCAAAATAGGAAAAAAACGAGGCAATTGGGAGCACTATTAAATTCCTTATAAAATTCGCTAAAATAAAATCAGAATTAAAAGCTCTATTAAAAAAACCCATTGTATTTTTAGGTTTCTTTAAGGTAGAAAGGAACAAAGAAGTCGTAAGATTAGATTACATTAAAACAAAGAACTGATTGGTAATCACGTAAAATAATAAATAACTTTCCATGGGTTAGGGAATTTTATTTTCAAAAAAAACGTATAAATTTATGAAATGAAATATCAGAATTTTTTCTCCCAAAAATTCCTTTTTAAGATATAAGAAATATGTATCTTTTTTCTTATTTCATTTTTAACCAATATTCACTGTAATTACTGCCACCTATATTAATGGAAACCTAATTAATTTGGGAATCCATCACTTCATTATCGGCCATAATGATAATTTCCCTATCGCTGTTTGTATTCATACAGCACTCGACTTTAACACGTGTTTGTCCGCCATTCCCATTCGCCACCCCCTAAATTGGCCACCCACCCAACCGCCCACCCAGCAAGCGAACTCCCCTCCAGTTTTTGTCACATTCCGATAGGTCAAAATGCGATGCAAATGCGTCAGACGATATCCTATGTACATCTATCTTCCCCTCCCACCTCCCCCTTTGGCCCATGTGTTGGTATTGCTGTTGTCAGCAGTCAACAATAAATCCAATTAGCAAAAAAGATAGGAAAGGTAGAAAAATGGTTCAAGGTAAGAACAGCAACCAGCAACGAAATTATGCACGATAAACTGAATTTTAGCTTAGTTCTAGTCAGTGCTGGCATTTTTTCTACAAGATTTTAGATTTTATGGAGATTATACGATAATAAATATATTATTTTAGTCTGATCCTTAAGGTTTTGTATGGAGATATCATGATAGGAAATATTTTTATAATATTTTAATAAAAAAGATCAAAGAAAAAGCTAAAATAATGGGGGAAAAGCGAAACTTGGCAGCATTGGTTGGTTGTTGTTGTGAAATGCGATACTGTGCTTGACCTTATCGGACACTCACTTCTTGTTGTTGCCATTTAATTGACAGTGACCCTCGTCCCGCTACCAAGCAAACCCCTAAGAGCCCTCAAGCCACATCCGATTATCTGGAGTGCCTGTCAAAGACTTTCCCCTCCCTCGTTCTTTCCCTGCTCCCATTTTGCTGTCACTCGGAATCAATAAATAAAATGGTAATTTACATTTTAGAACTCACGCATTAGTAATACCCATTTGGCACGAGCATTTTTCAGCAACAGGGCTATTATTGTTAATTTGTTTAAAAAATTCTACTTGAAGATTGTTCAACAATAAATAGCTTTAGAATGTTTGTATTTTTTAATTGCGTATGGAAAACCATTTTGCTTTTCAGTTCGCTTATAGCTAATTAATTTCGGAATTATTACCCGATTTTTCATTTGGTTCCGAGAATTTTTTTAAATTTTGCACTATTTAGTAAACAGCTAAGAATAGAATATAAATAAAAACACGATCAAATAACGCTATTATTTATAAGTGCGATGAATCTGAGAGCTTTAGAACTGTTTTTTTTTTTTTAAATAATAATAATAAATAAATGTGGTAATTTTTTTTTAATTCTAAGGAATAGTTTTACACCCTAAAAGTTACTTCACATTTTTAGGCTTTCAGGCTGCTCGTTCAGTTAAATGTCACATACACAGGCAGAAGCCATAGCAACTAGCACACCTACATCTCTAGACCTGTACAAAACCCGCCCCACTGCCCCCGGAAAAATATCTACAGACCGCTGACTAACCTCGCCTCGTTTTCCGTTTTCCATTTTCCGATTTCCTCATTCCGTCCAGGTCATAGACGACGCCTCGCCCCGCACCCAAGCACCCCGAAAGTGTCGGACGACAGCGTCGCCTCCACGTCATCCAGCCATGACCAGCGGCAATCGATGATTGCCATTCCCTCAGCCAACGAGAGCCAATAGAGGCAGCCGGAAAGGAGCGGATCCGTCGGAAGAGCCCGCCACTCGCCACTCGCCATTCGAACGAACCCATCAACAGCCGCAGGAGGGGCCTTCGCTTCCCTGCTTCAACTGCCCTTTGAAAGCCAAGGACTAAAGTCACACGGTCACGGGTCAACATGCTGATCAAGGAGTACCGCATTCCACTGCCCCTCACCGTGGAGGAGTACCGCATCGCCCAGCTCTACATGATAGCGGTAAGATTTTGTACCTAAATAGGTTCTAAGAAAAGTTATGATAATTACCGATACTTTTTACGCAAATAATTAGGTTCCTTTAATCGAAATATAGAATATTTTAATGGCTCCTCTGATTAACTACTGATTTTAACCCTCTTCTGCCTATCTATCTATCTATAGCAATAAAAGAGTACTCATAAAAATCTGGAGGACTCTCCAAAAAAAACCTAAATTCACAAATATTTAATAATAAAGCTTAAAGTAACATTTAATCAATAATTAACTTGCCAAAGTCAAATGCGGCATAAAACGAAAGAAAATGTACAAAGTTTAAAAATAGTTTTCAAAGGCAGATTACGGTTGATTGGTTTCAGTTGAAAAACAGTCGCGTATAGTAATATCAATATGTTTGTCTGAAAAGTTTCCGGTGTAAAAGCTCAACAATTTTCAAATATAATCTTTGATCTTTGTTACAAAATTTACACAGTGTCCAGAATTGTTTATACGACTTTCCGCATTCGATTTATTTACAAATATTTTCTATAGTCAATATTTATTGCAAACGTTTGCACCGGAAATTCATTCAAAGTTCCTCAATAGACCATAATAAACTTGTAAAATGGTTTTTCTTTTCCATCCACAGAAAAAGAGTCGCGAGGAGAGTCATGGCGAGGGCAGTGGGGTTGAGATTATCATCAATGAGCCCTATAAGGACGGTCCCGGGGGAAATGGTCAGTACACGAAGAAGATCTACCATGTGGGCAATCATCTGCCAGGCTGGATCAAGAGTGAGTTGTATTATTATTTATGATAGTAATATATATTTTGTAATAAATATAATTATTCCTCTTACTTTTCAAAGGTCTTTTGCCCAAGAGCGCTTTAACCGTGGAGGAGGAGGCCTGGAATGCCTATCCCTATACCAGGACTCGCTACACCTGCCCATTTGTGGAGAAGTTCTCGCTGGACATTGAGACATACTATTACCCGGATAATGGCTACCAGGATAATGTCTTTCAGTTGTCCGGAAGCGATCTGCGTAACCGCATCGTGGGTTAGTTAATATATTATGATAAATAAAATTATATATATAATACATATAATTTATTTATAATAAATGTCCCTTTGAATCTATTTTAATACTAATTAATTTTTCCCTACAGATGTAATTGACATTGTGAAGGACCAGCTGTGGGGCGGCGATTATGTCAAGGAGGAGGATCCCAAGCACTTCGTGTCGGACAAGACGGGCCGCGGACCTCTGGGCGAGGACTGGCTGGAGGAGTACTGGCGCGAGGTGAAGGGCAAGAAGCAGCCGACGCCCCGCAACATGTCCCTGATGACCGCCTACAAGATCTGCCGCGTGGAGTTCCGCTACTGGGGCATGCAGACGAAGCTGGAAAAGTTCATCCACGACGTGGCGCTGCGCAAGATGATGCTGCGCGCCCATCGGCAGGCGTGGGCGTGGCAGGACGAGTGGTTCGGCCTGACCATCGAGGATATCCGCGAGCTGGAGCGCCAGACCCAACTGGCCCTGGCCAAGAAAATGGGCGGTGGCGAGGAGTGCAGCGACGGTCAGTCCGATGTGGCCACCTCAAGCATCTTGGCATCCACCTCAATCTCACCACACACCCTTGCCAAATTGTAAACGTATTAATTTGCATAAAAATCGAAGAGATTCTGATGAAAGGTTAATAGGATTGGGTGAATTTATGTTGTTTAGTAACAGGGTAGAAAGCTGTAGATTGAAGATGATTTAAAAAATGATATCTTAAATTTCAAGAATTAATAATCTACTGGAAATTCAAAGAAAAAGTTTTCGAGATAAAAGATTCTTTCTACAAAGAGATCAAAATGTAATATTTTACTATTGAAAATAGGATGAACCAGTTTTTAAAAAATATAGATAATTATGTAGAACATTTTTGCATCATTAATTAATTGATTTAAAGAAAAAGATTTTGAGATAAAAAATTCTTTCACCAAAGAGATCAAAATGTAATATTTTAATATTGAAAATAGAATGAAAAACTTTTTAAAAAATATAGATAATTATGTAGAACATTTTTGTATTATTAATCAATTGTGTAAATGATTTAAGATGCTTAGAATTTTTTATAAAAAACCGAAAAGAATTAGAAAATGTTAGGTTAACATTAAAGTTGTAGATTTTATTATCCAAAAGCTAGTCCCATTCATATGCACATATCATTTCATTGTTTAAACCCCTTATCTTTTGATGGATCTGTAAAAAACCGTTTATTTCCCCATTCCAGATAGCACTTCGGAACCCTATGTGAGCACGGCGGTCACCGCCGCCTCCACAACGGGCAGCGAACGGAAGAAATCCGCTCCGGCCGTGCCGCCCATCGTAACCCAACAGCCGCCCAGCGCGGAGGCCAGTTCGGATGAGGAGGAGGGCGAGGAGGAGGACGACGACGAGGACGAGAACGATGCCATTGGCACGGGCGTCGATCTGTCCGCCAATCAAGGTGGATCCGCCCAAAGGTCCCGATCCCAGAGCATCCAGATGGCGCAGAAGGGCAAATTCGGGTCCAAGGGGGCCCTCCATTCGCCCGTGGGATCTGCCCACAGCTTTGATCTCCAGGTGAGCATGGTTAGAACTCCGGCTACTGTTCTTTGTTCTCTGTTTTCTGTCCAGTGTCCAGTTTTTTCTCTATCTCGATGTCGATTTCAACTGTTTTACTGTAGGAATTGTTTCTTTTCTGTGTGTTTCCTTAGATTATTACTGACATTTGACTGTAGAGTCAGTGATTTTCGCTCTATAAATGGAAATATTTTATTCTGTTTTATAGAGACAAATTTAACTAAAATTTACTGCAAATTATTATATTAAACTATTTAAAAGACTAAAAAGTGCACTTCTTTTTGTGCACTTTTATCTAAATGATATATTTGAATATTTTTTAAGAAAAAACCATCTATTCTATCCATATGTTCGATTTTCTGTGTATTGTGTGTCGCTTTGTCCTTTAAATGTGCTGCGTCTTACCAAATAATCTTTGATTTACCTTCCATCCAACACGATCCACCGACAACAACTACAACACAATCAATTTAAATACCAAAATCAATCAAACATGAAACATAAAACAAAACCAAACCAACAAATGAACCCACAAAAAAATCAAAAAACAAACCAAAATCAGTCCAAAAAGCCGCATGCAAAGACAGCGCCACGCAGACATGTAAGTTCCTCCTGCCCTCTCTGTCACACCCAAATGCCCTGTCTCGCTCTTTTTCATTTCTATAGTAATTTGCCCCTAGCTCTATCCCGTCATTATAATTATTAAAAGTATTGAATATCCAATGGCCACCTTATAAAACTCCTCCTTGCTTTCCTTTAGTAATTCGCTTAGTCGCAGTTTTTGATTAGCCAAGTTCCATTAGCTTAGCTTACTGCCTCTCTATATAGCGTTCCCCTTAGAAAAAAAGAGTCCAATAAATATATATACAATATGAATAAATAAACAATGAGAACTTCTGTTGTTAATGCATAAACACATGTATTAAATCAATTTACGTTCACCGCAGGTGGCAAACTGGCGCATGGAGCGATTGGAAGTGGACTCCAAATCCAATTCGGATGAAGAATTCTTCGACTGTTTGGGTGAGAATAAAAATATTATCTAAAATTAGCTATGTGTAAAAATCCTAAAGAATTTGCGTTATCGAATTAAATTCCTAAAGAATTCGCGAATAAGCTCTTTAAACCAATTGAAGATATTTACTAGAATTCAATATGGCATTATATGAAAGGCTTTGTGTAAAATTCCCAAAGAATTCGCGTCATCAAAAATTGCATTTAAGATCATTAAAGTAATGGAATATATTTACTAGAATTTAACCCGGAGTTATATGTTAAGTCATGAGTAAAATACCTAAAGAATTCGCGTGATTGCTCTAAGCCGCGAATTCTTTAGGACACATAAAATACCTAAAAATAAAGAACTAATCGTATGCCATTTCCCTTTTTCTTTCAAAAGACACCAATGAGACGAACTCGCTGGCCAAGTGGAGCTCCCTGGAGCTGCTGGGCGAGGGCGACGACAGTCCGCCGCCGCATGGCGGACCCTCCAGCGCTGCCTCCGTGGGCGGACGAGGCAGCTCGCGGCAGGAGGACAGCATCTTCAACCAGGACTTCCTGATGCGCGTGGCCTCGGAGCGTGGGAACAAGCGGCAATTGCGCTCCTCGGCCAGCGTGGATCGCAGCCACGACTCGTCGCCGCCGGGCTCGCCGAGCACACCGTCATGCCCCACAACCATCCTGATCCTGGTGGTCCATGCGGGCAGTGTTTTGGATGCGGCCAGCGAGCTGACGGCCAAGAAATCGGATGTCACCACCTTTCGCGGCTCCTTCGAGGCGGTGATGCGTCAGCACTACCCGAGCCTGCTCACCCATGTGACCATCAAGATGGTGCCGTGTCCCTCGATCTGCACCGACGCCCTGGGCATCCTCTCCAGCCTGAGTCCGTACTCCTTCGATGCCTCCCCCTCGGCGGCGGATATACCGAATATAGCCGACGTTCCGATCGGTGCGATACCTCTCCTCTCAGTTGCTTCGCCGGAATTCCATGAGACGGTCAACAAGACGGTGGCCGCTGCGAATATAGTGTACCACGAATTCTTGAAGTCGGAGGAGGGCCACGGATTCTCCGGACAGATTGTGATGCTGGGCGATTCGATGGGCTCGCTGCTGGCCTACGAGGCGCTCTGCCGATCGAATGGCAGCCAGCCGGGCACAGCCTCGAATTCCGGCGGAGATGCGGCGGCCAGCAATGTGAATACCCACAATCCGCTGGGCGCTCGCCATTCGCGTTTGGACGACGACGAGCGGTTCATCGAGGCCGATCTGGATGCCAAGCGGCTGCTGGTGGCCCCGTCGCCGCGTCGTCGCCGTTCCAGCTCCTCGAGCGACTCGCGGGCCAGCAAACTGGACTTTGAGGTCTGCGACTTCTTCATGTTCGGCTCGCCGCTGTCGGTGGTGCTGGCGGCGCGGAAACTGCACGATGCCAAGGCCGCTCTGGCCCGGCCGAACTGCCATCAGGTGTACAATCTGTTCCATCCAACCGATCCGATTGCCTCGCGTCTGGAGCCGCTGCTCAGCGCGAGATTCTCCATTTTGGCGCCGGTTAATGTGCCCCGGTATGCCAAGTATCCGCTGGGAAATGGTCAGCCATTGCATTTATGTGAGTGGAATTGATAGAAATTACAAATTACCCGTTACTCAGCTAAAGGGAGTGCGAGGGAGATGAAGATAGCAGACTTTGATCGGGCATAACTTCTTAACGAATTTTCCGATTTAAAAAATTTCTACTACATCTCGATAGGTATTGATAAACACCATAAAACTGCATTTTTATACCCGTTACTCGTAGAGTAAAAGGGTATATTAGATTCGTGCAAAAGTATGTAACAAGTAGAAGGAAGCGTTTCCGACCCTATAAACTATATATATTCTTGATCAGGATCACTAGCCGAGTCGATCTAGCCATGTCCGTCTGTCCGTCTGTCCGTCTGTCTGTCCGTCTGTCTGTCTGTATGAACGCTGAGATCTCGGAAACTATAAAAGCTAGAAGATTGACATTTTGCATGCAGATTCTAGGAGTTCCTACGCAGCGCAAGTTTGTTTCAAAATGGTGCCACGCCCCCTCTAACGCCCACAATCGCTAATATACGATTTTAAAAATTTCAATATTTTGGAAAAGTAAAAATGCAGTTTTATTGTATTTATCAATACCTATCGAAATGTAGAAGAAATTTTTTAAATCGGACCATTCGTTAAAAAGTTACGGCGGATCAAAGTTTTTCTCCATCTCCTTCGCACTCCCTTTTGCTGAGTAACGGGTATCTGATAGTCGGGGCACCCGACTATAGCGTTCTCTCTTGTTACTTTTCTGAAATCTTGAAAGACACCTTTTAAAATCCTTTGTGGGCGATGTGGGCGTTAGAGGGGGCGTGGCCCTCGGCTGAAATAAACTTGCGCTGCGTAGGAAGCCCAAGAATATGTGTGGGAAATCTCAATCTTCTAGCTTTTGTAGTTCCCGAGATCTCAGCGACAATATACCCTTTCACTCTACGAGTAACGGGTATAATAATAATATAATAATCTGTTCATTTTCCCCTTTTCAGTGGAGGTGATTCAGTCGCATCCGCAGCACTTTAACGATGGCAACAACCTGTTGGCCGGAAGACGACTCTCGGATGCCTCGATGCAGAGCACGATATCGGGTCTGATTGAGAATGTCTCGCTTAGTACGATCCATGCCCGTAAGAGAAGCTCGTTGGCCGCTAGAAGAAGCTATATTATATAGATAAAAATATATATAAATATTCCTAACCATCAAATTTCTCCTCCACAGTTCAAAACAAATGGTGGGGCACCAAGCGCTTGGACTACGCCCTCTATTGCCCCGAGGGACTGAGCAACTTTCCGGCCCACGCCTTGCCGCATCTCTTCCACGCCAGCTACTGGGAGAGCCCGGATGTGATTGCGTTCATCCTGCGGCAGATTGGCAAATTCGAGGGCATACCCTTTGTGGGCTCCAATGACGACAAGGACAACGCCTCCTTTCACCCAGGACAGCCGCGCGAGAAGTGGATCAAGAAGCGCACCTCGGTGAAGCTGAAAAATGTTGCGGCCAATCATCGGGCCAACGATGTGATCGTCCAGGAGGGCAGGGAGCAGCGGCTGAATGCCCGCTTCATGTACGGACCCCTCGACATGATCACGCTGCACGGCGAGAAGGTGGATGTGCACATCATGAAGGATCCGCCGGCGGGCGAATGGACATTCCTCAGCACCGAGGTGACGGACAAGAACGGTCGCATCTCGTACAGCATTCCGGATCAGTTGTCCCTCGGCTATGGCATCTATCCGGTCAAGATGGTCGTCCGCGGCGATCACACCTCGGTGGATTGCTACATGGCGGTGGTGCCGCCTTTGACCGAGTGCGTGGTCTTCAGCATCGATGGCTCCTTCACCGCCTCGATGTCGGTGACGGGCAGGGATCCCAAAGTTCGGGCCGGCGCCGTCGACGTCTGCCGGCACTGGCAGGAGCTGGGCTACCTGCTGATCTACATCACCGGACGACCCGACATGCAGCAGCAGCGCGTCGTCTCCTGGCTGAGCCAGCACAACTTCCCCCACGGCCTCATCTCGTTCGCCGACGGCCTGTCCACCGATCCGCTGGGCCACAAGACGGCCTATCTCAACAACCTGGTGCAGAACCACGGAATCTCAATCACCGCCGCCTACGGCAGCAGCAAGGACATCAGTGTCTACACGAATGTGGGCATGCGAACCGATCAGATCTTCATCGTGGGCAAGGTGAGGGATTAAGCGGGTTGTAAATGGTGCAGCGGTTATATAATTATATAATTATAGGTAGATAGATGATTCGAGTGTCATAATTTAATATAATTTGTTTATATAAATGTAAAAATACTATGCAATAACGTTTTAAGTGAGTGCTGAAAGGTGGCCGCTGCATCGTATAAAACAACTTTCTTTTTTTGATTAATAATCAAAAGAAGGTTTAGTAAACACTGCATTGGTTGTAGGGTTTGTTTATTGGTTTATTAAATTATAAATATTAAAGTAATTATTATATTTTTTTACAAAAAAGTGAGTGCTCAAATGTTGCCGCTGCATCGTATACAAGAGCTTACTTTTTTTTATTAATATTCAAAAGAAGGTTCAGTAAACGGTGCATCGGTTGTAACGACATTTATTTGTTTATTAAATTATAAATATTATAGAAATTATTATATTTTGTTATAAATAAGTGAGTGCTGAAACGTTTGCCGCTGCATCGTGTACAACGAGCTTTAGTAAATTACATTCTAAAAACGATTTATCTTCTTCCAACAGGTCGGCAAGAAACTGCAGTCCAATGCCACTGTGCTGAGCGATGGCTACGCCGCCCACTTGGCCGGTTTGCAGGCGGTGGGTGGTTCGCGTCCAGCCAAGGGCAATGCCCGCATGGTCATCCCCCGCGGATGCTTCAATCTTCCCGGCCAGACGGCGAATCCGCGACGCAGAAGGTAAGACGCGGATGCCACTAGCCAGTGGCGCTGCTTGAGACGATCCACTGTACAGAGCGCACCCACTGTAACGCCCGATCCTCGCCGTATATGTACATATGTATCTGTGTTTGTGTTTAGTGTAAATAGGCCAACGCATTCGTGTATGTCAATGTTATATGTTTTGTGTACAGTGTAATGCCTTTAGCTGGTTGAAGAAGTCAATTCAGGGATTTAGGTATATTTATAACTATTTAGAATAGGTAGAAAGCTATTTATAAGAAATGTAGCTGATTAACATGTAGTAACCAAGGTTAAAGATACAAAAATCAACCAATCCTATAAAAAAACTTCCATTTCTAGCATAAACAGCAATTTTTTATATATTAAATATACCAAAGGAAAGAAACAGGGTTAATTTATCATGAAACTTACGATATACACAAGAATAATAATATCAAAAAATAATTTTGAAATTTATAAAACAATTTTTTAAAAACCCAGATATTTCTTAAAGTTACTTTAATTGATCAGCTTTAGGCATTGTACTTGTATTCCATTGGAAACCGCTTTGTTGGTGTATACATATATTTTGTGTGACTTTATGTTTATGTTATGTTATGTTTTTGGGTCGCATGCCCGTTTATTTTGTCAGCCAGCCCTTGTTTGCTTTACAATGATAACCATAACCCATCCGGCATTTCCATACCACTAAACGTTGTTGTAAACGCCTTCTTCGGGCGGGGAAAAGCCCCGTCCGGAATGAAAAGTCTCTTGCCAAAATGCGAATCTCCAGTTCCAACCGCCACCTAATCACGCCCTCTTCCCTTGCCAATCGCCAGCAACGCTTTCGAGCTGCAATTGGCCAACATCAGTCCCTGCAGCAGCAACATCAACAGTCCCGGCAGCAGCAACCACATCCTACTGGCCCAGCTGATTGAGAATGCCATTGAAAAGGACACCCCAGCTGCCTAGGAGAACTAGATGAAGATGCTTACATATTTCTTGTTTTGATTTTAAGTTAATAGTCTCATCCATCCTCTCAAAACTAGTCCGCCACGAATCGTATTGTATTGTATTTTATTCTATTTTAAAGTCTTAAGTTTCCTAAGTTTCACGTAGAACAAATGCCGTATTATTTATGATATAAGTTATTACTATTATGATTATTATTATTATTGTAATTATTACCGCCTTTATGTACTATCCTTATTTGTATTTGTATGATATTATTTTGATTGCGAACAAAAGCCAAAATGCAACAAAACATAAGAAATACGTACGCCAGTATGTAGTACCAAATAAACAAAAGCAGTACAGTAAATGGGCCTGTTGAAAATATATATATCTTATATAGTATATATTTGATTTATAATGTTTCGATTACGATTTTTATCTTTTCTTTGTTTGTTCCTTGATTTACGGATAACCAATACAAAAAAAAAATAATAATATAAATATTACAAACGCTTTACGCTTCACGGCCTCGAAACCCACCACGCTGTTCAAAACCCACCACGCCGACAATTACACCTCACACAAAATACACCATCAGGCTGCATGAACAAGCAACGAATGAAAATTAAATTGCAAGTTAAACAAACAATAAAAAATTGTTTAGAGCCATAAAACCACAACAATAAAAGCATCTTGTAAACATATAGAAGCAAAAAAAAACACCAAAACAATACAGACAATTGATGTTAGTTTTAGTGTTCTAGAATATTCCCCATACTCCCCACACCTTTTTTTGAGTTCCTTTGTTAAGTATTTTGAAGCATACCTAGCTGAGCATTTTATTGATTGATTGATTGGTGTTGTGAAGAAAAAGAAACCAAATTTATAAGAAAAACCACCCATAATAGAGGTGCTGAAACGTCGATAAATATCGATCCTAGAAAGTTATCCACCTCTAAACCACACTTAGAGCCAAAATTCAACTCTTTCTCAACGTGTTAACTCTGTCTCTCTTTTTCCAAAACCAAAAAAAATTGCTTGACAAAAAAATACACCACACACACCATACACACACGCACACACTGCCATCGACCTTGTTATCGATAAACAGCAACGAGACGGGACTTTCATCACCCATACGCAGTGGTTACCTGAAGCGCAAGACCTACCTGAGCCACCACTAGAGCAACAGAGATGCAGCTACTTAGATTGATCCATCAGACAAAATGAAATCAAATCAAATCAAATATCCCCCAAGAACCCAAATAGAACTCCCTTCGAAATAGAAAACAGAAATATAGCCAGAGGACTACAGCATCGATGCCTCCATATGCCACATCTGTGTATATACCATATATATCTATATATATTTATATACTATGCGCGATATATTGAAAGTTCAATGGTGTAATATATATCAAAAACAAAAACCAAATTTGCAAATGAGAAAAAACAATTGTACAACATTTAACCAAAGTCAAATGTGTCACGCGGTGAGTATGCATATAAGCACAAAATCTAATACTTATAATCCTAAATATATTCAAGAATCAATTAGTTTTAGAGGGAATTTATTACTGAACTTCTGGGGAAATCGATAAATAGATAGAAATTTATTCAAAATACTTTTAGGGTGCTATGAAAATCTCTATTTATTCAAAATCACTTTAAAATGTGCCTTAAAGTATGCAATATATTTGCTAAGAGAGATTTCCATAGCACCCATGTATTTACACATTACTCAATGATTTCCTCCGAATTTGTATTAAAATTTTTAGATTATTAAAATGTATCCCACATTTTTATTCCCTTAGGTACCTGGAAAGAAAGACTGTTTCCTCCTGTTGTTTGATGGTTTTTCAAACCACTTAAAGCATAAAAAAACATTGAAAACTACACGAAACAAAAGCCGATTGTAAAGCTATATACTAAATACAATTATAAAAAAGATATATACAAGGATATATTCAGAATATAGAACCGTTTAACATATGCAAGCGAACAAAGTTCAAGAAACCACGTGAGGTACAACAACTGAAGGACAAACTAATGGAACCGAAGATCTCCCGATCGATAAGGATACAACTAAGACAAGGACGAGCGGAAAGCGTTGCAAAATCAAAAGGCAAATTTAATGCATTTCTTGACAAAACAACCACAACAAACTCTTACGAAAAGTATAAATTAACGGCTTCCGTAAACCAAACAAAAACCTAAAACTAAAAATATATATCTATATGTATGCGTGTAAAATTGACAAAAAAACGGTTCTTAAGAAGAAACTAAAATCTTCATGAAATTGAATACAATCTATTACCTGGCCCCAGAAATTTGAAATCTCCATAATTGTGATAGTCTTTCGCTACCAAAAGTTAATTTAAAAAGAAAAGGAAAAACAGCAAAATATATATTTATCTCTACTAAAATTGTTATTCGAAAAGAAACTATTGGATATTGTGTAAAAAATGTATAACAAAAAACCAAAAAACCCGATTTTGTGATACCAAAACTAAAACCGAAACTGAAACCAAATTTGAGTTCGAGATGAGATCAAGCCGAAAGCTCCTCGTGTTAGAAACCTATACAAACAACTCAAGGCGACCTGAAGATGTAACGGGCATGGAATCTGACCCATATATTACTATATATATATATATGCATAACCCAGTTATGTGCTGTCCACACAAGTTAACTAAAAACTCTCACACAACTCGAAAGCAAAATAAATCTCAGCTATAAACCAGATAACACTGAATTAGAGGTACAAAAGGGACCTTAAAACGAGAAAAATATATATGTAATCTGTTCGATCTGTTTAGGTTTACCTAAGCCAAAGTTGGTTAACTATCGAGTAGTCGAGATACGCCAGTAAGATACTTCCTAAACTGAAATATAAACGCAAATTGAAGAGTTTAAACCGATAGTTGTAACGAGAACAGAGTAATTGTATGTAAAGATAAAGATATATATATATATACCTACACTATATACTGTATATTTATCTAGCGCAACTACATTAAGGACTTTTGAAGCTTGCTAACTGACAAAAAGTGTTCCGATCAAAGTATTGTCCGGCTATACGTTCCTCTCTCCTCCATTTGAGTCGACTTTCAACTCTCTTTTATTTTCCTGTAGCGAGTATTCAACTAAAAACCGATGGAAGATCCACTAGAATTTAAGATCAATCTCTGCCTAAGAAGAGTTTATCCTATATAAGTACGTAGCAAGTTGGTTCAGCGTGAGGTATTAAGGTATTAAATAACACTCCAGATACTCGTAGAGTCCAAAGGTTTATGTCTGTCTAATTAGTTGGTAAATTAATGGCATTTCTGTATTATTATTTTATACTGTTCTTGGAAACTTTTGAATCTCTTCCCCACCAAAAAATATGAAAACTTTTCTTTCTTCAGGGTCAGAAGTTTAAGACTTTACACAATGGGTTATACTTGATTGTTCTATGGAATCCTAAAATTTCATATTAATCCATTGATTTGTTCCTGATTTATCGTAGCAATTTGTACACTTCCACATCCTACAGTTCCATTTATCTCCAAAGTAAGAACTACCAAAGCCAATAAAAAGTTGAGCTAAATTGTATTGATATTTTGAGAACCCACCATTTAGATTAAGCTAAAGTCCCCACTAATGCAGAGAATATAATCAAAGAACAAAACACTCTAAGCAAAAACAATGAAAAGGTTTAAAATACTACAAGCAAATAGGTAAATATATGTCCGTGTGGCTATGTATTCTAATTGTTAAGTGCAAAAGTCCAGGAATAACGAATACGAATTCAGATGGTAAACAATTATAAAGAGAGCGAGGCGAACAAAATATGGAATTATTTATTGACAACAAAATCTACAAGTCGAAGAACTAAAAAACAAAAATGAGGAGCAAGCCAAATGCAATCTATTTACAAAATCCTACAAAAACCTAAGGCGAGGCAGAAATGACAAACAGAAGAGTTAAAGATAGCTGATCCGACAAAAATAAAGATATATATATATGTATATGAACACCAGAGATTTTTAAGCCAATTGTTGAAATTGGACTATGACAAATAACAAAAGTAAACAAATTGAAATATGGCAGTAACAGATATTTTTCGATGTAAGCTGTTTGTTAGAAAATGATCGAGTTTCAGCGAAATGATATGTGGCCAAAACCAGTTAATCATTTCACAGAAAATCGAAAACAAAGCGGTTCATGAAAAGATAACAAAAAAAAAAAACCTAAACAAAAACAAATGTTCTATTTGATGTTGCAAATGAGAAAAATAAATAAAACATGTTATGTGAAAAAAGTGATTTGTGTACTCAATTAATGGATATTGATGGGTGTCAAAATAGGCGGAGAAATCGATCCCCGGGGATCGACAGATGGTGTTGGAAATTATGGGCAGATCATACAATATTTACTTATAAAGATAACGAAATATATATATATTTAGCATCCCCCTTGGTTTGTCACATAATAAAATGTTTAATTTTTCAATAAATATTAATATTAGGCCGCAAAATTTCGCCCCATATGACGTATTCGAGCAAACCGTACTCATCGTATGATTAATCCAATGAAATGCTAATCATATTTCAACTCAATGCTGTTTGCATTCTAAAAAACAACAAAGCGCTCGGGTGATTGACAGCTAATCCATTTAAATGCATAGTATAGAGAGGCGAATTGATCAAGGCACATAGTTACTATTATCATTATAATTCTCATACAAAATACAGAAAGCCACAGTGGAAATTCCTCAACTTCAACGGGATAACCGCAATTTTTAAATAATTATAAATAATTATTATTCCCAAATAGTCGGGTTATTTCTAACACATTAGCAAAAAATCCAAATGACTTATCTATTTAGATCCTAACTTTTTCTAGTTAAAGAGGCCACTCTGTACCGAGTTCAGTAAGCCGAAGACCATCAGTTCCACAGTCATGTACAATACTTTATTATCAATCAGGTTTTGTTGTTTACATTAACTACAAACGTCATTTGCGAACGCGAACGGGAATGGAAATAAGAGGAGGCGATAGAAAATAGAGGGTTGATATATCAGCCAGCGGCCTTCCGCCATACACATCATCATAATCATCATACAAATACATCCTACAGCTTGGGCAGACCCGCCGAAATGGAGCTCTCGATGCCGCAGTGATCCTGGCCACGCAGGATGCGGAAGAAGCCATGATCGCCCCAGTCGGTGTTCCACGAGTTGCCGATGAGCCAGTAGGGGATCTTCTCATCGCCCCAAACGCCCCAGCCGAGGATGCGAATGGCATGGCCGCCCAGCTCCTTGCCGTGCTCATGCTGATAGACTCCATCCTTGTACAAAATGAGATCCTCGTAGACGGTGAAGGCACCCTCGACGGGTCCATTCGTCATGATCTCCTCCTGGATCTCGCGCACATTGCGCTTCACCGAATACGACTTGGAGCCGAAGTGCTTGTCCTTGGCATAGTCCACCGTGTAGCTGCTCTGGCAGACGTGCTGGCACTTGGGCGTTCCACCGCCATGGGCGCAGGGCGGACGGGTTCCGTTCACGTGGTGCTCGCAGGGCGAAATCTCGTACGGACGGCAGCCCTTTAATAAAAAAACGTTTAAATTAGACTGGATTTGCTCTGTTTTGGAGGGTGTTTTCAGTGTTTTGCAGTGGAAAGTTTCTATCTTGAGGCTTCCCAAGTAGCAATTATTTTATAATATAAATGCATTCTTTATGGGCTCCTGTTAAACTATTTAACAAACAATTGTTGAAAGTATGTTTATTTTCAAGGATAAGGATTTCTCACCAAATATTTTTGACAAACGATTATTGCAAACTGAAAATGCATCCAAAAAGTATATAAATATATGCATTTATATGCCGAGATAAATACAAAGCCACTTTCTAGCGATATCAGTCTTTTGTCTAAAATAACTTTATGGCCTCGTAAACTTTGTTGCTAACTTCTAGCAAACAAAGAAAAAATTGAAGTATCTTTGAAGCAATTTTTGCGTAGCAATGACCCAGTAAATTATTGATTTAAAATTATTGTATTCAAAAATTGTTAAAGAATAAATTTTGAACTTTTAAATTCAAATAAAAACATATAACTCAAAAATTCTAGAATATAATGCGTTTTTATAAGTCAAAAATTAGAAACAAAATTTTTTCCGAAATTAAAATGTTGGTTTTAAAGAAAAAAGAAAAATTAAAACCATTTTAAAAGACAGGAAAATTTTTTTTTTTAATTTTTAGGAATTTGCTTTTTAATAGTCTATTTACACTGGGGTGGAGTTATGGAGTTATGGGGTTATTGACATAACCCTGTTTTTTTTACATAGGATGTGTATAGGCAACTAGATGTGGGCAAAAGTGGGGTACTTTTAGGGTCTTTGGTATTTCGGAGTATTTTTTTGTATATTTCAGTATATTTTGTATTTATTTCCTATCGTTGAAGGTTCATCCCTAGTCAAATGAACAACACAAACAACAAACACTAGATGTTATTACTCGATATTTGGAGTTAACCAAGTGGAAACACTTTTTTGGAGTAATCGGGTTATTGGCTCACTCGATAGGTTACCCCACACAGTGTGACTAGACTATAAAACTACCAAGAAATATAAACAGGGTTCTATTTCGATACAAAAAGATATCGATAAAATTGTTTTTCAAAAACCCCTTGAAATGCTCTTTAAATGGATGATAAAAGACTTCAGGAGACCACCAACCTGATTGGATCCGTAGGGTCCTCCGCTGACGATGCCCTTGCGCGTCCAGTAGCTCCAGGCGGCGCCGGGGAAGCCGCCGTTGCAGCCGAAGCCGCAGGTGTGGCAGCAGGACACCAGATCGTCGGCCGAGAAGTGGAAGTTCACCTTGCCGCCGGAATGGATGCACACCTGTGCGTGGCGAAATCAGCAGAAAACAATGAAATCATTTAATAAAGAAGAAATATATATCTATCAGCTGTTTAAACAAAGAATCGATAGTCCACAAAATCGATAAGATAACAGATAACGCACCCGATCGGACATGGCTTCCACGGCTCCGAAGGCCCAGCAGGAGCCGCAGGATCCCTGGTCGCGGATCTCGCCGATGGTCGGGCAGTTTGGCCACTGCTTCCGGGCGTCGAACTCCTCGGGAAGATCCCCATCCACGGCGGTATAGAGCTCGCCCAGAACCTCTCGCTTTTCGGCCAACGCGAACTTGTGCGCATCCGGATGGACGCCCATCAGGCGGCGGATGTGCTCCTCCGTCACGGAGGCATCGAAATTGCGCCCAACCTGGGTGGTTAGAGTACGGAAAATGCAATTTTCTTGTCACGTCAGCAGGGGGAAAACAAAGGAATTGATAATCTCGCTTACCGTCCAGGTTTTGGCCTTACTGCGCACCACCTCGATGAACTCATCGGATAGCAGCGACGGTTCTCCGGCGCAGAGTGCCGCCACGGAGGCCGCGGTGGCCACCAGGAGCAGCAGCTTCATCTTGCAATTGAAATTTATTCAGCTGACACAGCAGAAATCACACGAATCACTCAAATAAAATGGTGGAAAATGACGCCTCGGATTATGTGGCTTCTGTTCTGGTTCTTTTTTTTCTGTTCTCTGCTCCGTCGTTGTTTTCGTACTGCCAGTGAAAAGCGGACGGAGAACGCTCTTTATTTCTCTTGTTTTCCTACAAAAAAAAATGGTTGGCGCCCGCTGATTACGCGGCCAGTGTGTGCACACCAATGTGGCCTATCGGGAGTAGAGATGAGACGATATATATCGTAAGGAATACAAATATTTAATAAAAATAACATAGTGGCTATAAATATTTTAGTTAATGTAATATATAAATATTTTAATTTATCTGAAAATTGTTTTGAAAATATTTATTTAACTTGCATTTTTAATAAAAATTCTTATATTGTGAAACATTTGAAAAGATCTTAGACCAACCTATATTTTAACAATATGTTATATCAAATAAAAACACCTCTTAACGAGGTAAAAAACTAGTGACGACCGCACCTTCAACATACAAAAGTTCTGATATCAACATTTGTGACGAAAAATTATTACACTCGTCATTAAATAGACTTTCTAATATTTTCTCATTCGGCCCGCCCTAGCAAACTATTCCAACCTTTTTCCCTTCACAGGCATTTTCTATTGCAGCGTGCCGAATGAGAAAATATTAGAAAGTCTATTTAATGACGAGTGTAATAATTTTTCGTCACAAATGTTGATATCAGAACTTTTGTATGTTGAAGGTGCGGTCGTCACTAGTTTTTTACCTCGTTAAGAGGTGTTTTTATTTGATATCAGAAGTTTTTGTTTGTTTACTTTTGCTCTCATAGGAGCTAATATATACATTTAAATTTAAATTGGTCAATCATAATTTTTAAACTATTGTATTTTAACAAATTGAGTTAAAAAGGCGTTGAAGTATTTCAAAATACCTTTTAAACGAGGTATAGCACATGTCTGTACCTTTAGTAGTGTAGAACTTACAAACTAACGAAATTTAGCTATTTTTAGCTCTTTCCCGCTAAAGCAGCGGCTTTTTCCAAAAGTCGTAGAACAAAAGATTCCTATATGGAACTCTTAAGTGCAAATTTACTGATTCCATGACCCTAAAATACAGTTCGGATACCCTCCCACAAAATTCAATACTCAGGGAGCGTTAATTGTTCGAGCTGGCAACAGTGGCTATTTTCGTATAAAAATAACTATTAAACGTGACTTTTTACAGTAATGTGTTATATACCAAAATTTAAGGAATCTCAAGGGCTATACAGTTTAAGGTTTTAAAGAAAATCGTTAGAGCCGTTTTTGAGAAAAATAAAAAAAGCTAAAAAAAAAGTTTTAAAAAATTGTCTTTTGTTCATATTTTTTTAACTATTACATTTACACAAATTGCATATAGAAGGCGTTTATAGCATTTCAAAATACCTTTCAAACGAGATGCAGCACAAGTCTGTAGCTTTAGTAGTATAGAAGTTACGGCTTTCCGAATTTTAGCTATTTATAGCTGTTTTCCCGCTAAACTAGCGAGTTTTTCCAAAAGTGGTAGAACAAAAGTTTTTTATATCGATGTGATGAACGTCATATCAAATTTTCAGAACTTAAAAAACATGTTTTGGACAAGTGGACAAGTGGACAAGTGGACAAGTGGACAAGTGGACAAACAGAATTAAATTTTCATTTTGGGAAGAAGAAGAAAATCTTATTTTGGCTATAACTTTTGAACGGAGCGTCGGATTTTGACAAATGACCCCTCATTCGACGGGTATTTTCAAAAGGAATACAAGTAAATCATTGCGAGGGGGCATTTATCCCCACCGGCCCCAACAGCTCCAAATTTCTAAATTTTTACTTTTTCACTTTCACCGCTCTCTCTCCCAATCCAATTGATTTTCTTAAAGTCTTGGTATGCAATCCTTTAAGTTTTTGCAATACCTTTCGATTGGTGTATTACTCATTACGATCTGACTATCACAGCAGATTTTCATTTCTTCGTGTATATATAGTAGTCGCCTTCGCACACTCTCCTGGTGCGCTTCGTCACTACATGGACTGCCGTCCATAGTGATCAATCTACTGTTTTTTTATAAAAGTAAATTTAAATAAATATCAATATTAATTATAATTTTCTTCTTTCAAGTGCGATATATTTATTTGCATTGCTAACAGAAAATCCAAACTATCATCCATCTGCTATCAAAGATAACAGCGCGCTGTTAACAAAGCGAGGGTGTGGCTACACTGGCTGGCAATATTTTGATTCGGAGCTCGCAAAGATGCGTATTTTCTACGGATTTCTGGCGTTCCTGGTGGCCACCAATTCCCGCGCCCTGGCCATCCAGGCGCGCAGCGACAAGGAGCAGCCGCAGACGGTGGTTTCCGGCACGGCGGTGCAATCGGTGGTGCCCGTGCAGGCGCAACTTGGCTCCGGCCTGGGAGCCTCCTCCTCCTCGTCGTCATCGGGGTCCTCCTCCTCCGCCGGCGGATCCGGGAACTCCGCCTTTCATCCACTGGGGCCGTATGTGAACTGCTCCTTCCTGCCGCGCGACTTCCTCGAGTGCAAGGAGCCCGTGGACCGCCAGGAGAATGCGACGGCGAAGAACGGCCGGCCGATCGGTTGCTCCAAGTGGGGCGGATCCACCTACGAGGACGTGGAGCACACCGAGGTGTCGTGCACCGTGTTCTCGGACATCGAGTGCTTCGGCAACCGCACCTTCCTGCGCGCCGGGGTGCCCTGCATCCGGTACACGGACCACTACTTCGTCACCACCCTCATCTACAGCATGCTCCTCGGCTTCCTCGGGATGGACCGCTTCTGCCTCGGCCAGACGGGCACCGCCGTCGGCAAGCTGCTGACCATGGGCGGCGTGGGCGTCTGGTGGATCATCGACGTCATCCTGCTGATCACCAACAATCTGCTGCCCGAGGACGGCAGCAACTGGAATCCCTACGTGTGATATGCCTCTGTGTGTTAGCCCTAAGTAGTTCTAAGATCGGTTAGTAAACAAAAGCCAAATTCTGGGTACTCGAATGTTCGATTTTTAATTCCAGTGGTATATTAGACTGTATTATATGCATTTAAACTTGTTCTGGAAACAGATGGAAAAGTAAACTTGTACTTAAAAGACAAGTACATAAATGGGGAGCTACATATAGTTATATAGTTAATTTATTATCTTAAAAAGACTGGCATACCAATAATTCCTCAACAAAAAAGCTTACATAAACAAAATTTATGTATACCATGTTACTTTTACCATTTATTTCCCTTAATTAAAAAAACTTAATAGATTAATTTTTAGTTTTGAGTTTCGCGCCCAAGTTCAAAAATTACACTTTCACTGCAGGGCAGCTGGTCACCCTATTCCGGCCAGTGTTGCCAACTTTTTTGTCTCTTTTGACGGGACAAAAAGAAAACTAAGCAAAATATTTTGAAATGTATATAAGCGGATTTAAAAGACTTGTAAATTAATTTGATTTTTAGTTCATATGATTTAGTGGACAAAATTAATAAATGCGACAATAGCTAAAATAGCTACTCTAAAGAGCTAGAAAAAAGGATTCAATTAGCTATCGGCAACTTTTCCCGCCACAATAGCCAGACTTGGCGGGAAAAAGTCGGAGCTGGCAGCCCTGCCGGCGGCTGCCCTCGAAAGTTTGGCGTGGAAAGGAAAGGAAACTCGAAAGTCAGTTGCAAAAAAGCTCGCCGACCGCGCGGTCAACGGAGAGTGGCTGAGCGGACGCTTTCTCTTTTATTTTTCTCCATTGACGACGCTGCGTGCGCGTCTCTCCGCAAGAAACAACAACAATAAGGACTTGTGCAGTGCATAAATAAAACAGACGAAAATACGCATATACCTATGTAACAAATATATTTGCGGGCATTTACGGTCTATGCACAAAGGCAAAAAACAAAAACAAACAAACGAGTGACGGCCAAAAGTAATAACAGTACTTAAAATCGCGGCACAAGAACGTAAACACAGAATCGTGTGTAAAGCGAATTCCATGGGAAAAAGACGAAAAGTACAAGAAGTACAAGAACAACAGCATGAGGACGCCGACGGCGACGCCAACGCAGACAGCGACGCCGGCAGAGCGGTCGAGACAATTCGAATTTCTTCGGATGCTGATGGACTAACGGTGCTTTAGTGGTTGTTCTACATGTCCGTTCGTGTGCGCGTGTGTGTGTGTGCCAGTGTGCGTGTAAAGTAAGGCGGAAAACAGCAGAAACTGAATGGTAAATAAGTGTAAACAGAAGGGAGAAGAAAGCAGAGGAGGAGGAGTAGGAGTGAAGGAGAGAGAGGGAGAGGAAGTGCGATTTCCATTTATCGATCCGCTCCCGTTCGCACACCTGAAGCCCAAAGCTGAAGCCATTCGCCATTCCATTCCAGCATCATCGACTTAATCCGTTCGAGCGGGATTAAGGCTGCGACGCCCACGCAGCGTCGACGGCGCAGCGACCGCATTACCGGTCGCCGGTAATTAGCCGCCAAGGCCGTCGGCGCTACACAGAAAAAAACAGGAATTTAAATCGCGTTAGGATGATTTATTTGATTTTATCCATATATCATTTTGCACGACCATTCAGAATTTCCATTTGTCAAAAATAAAATATTTCGAAAATACAAACATAAATTTAAAATGTCACAATAGGATAGTATAATTTATAGGATCTATATGGTGAGGCTCCGTTTCCATTTTATAATCATATCTTAAATATGCAACAATTTAAAGGATTCAATAAATCATCAGATTCTATCAAAGTTTATAAAATTAAAAATTATATTTATTTGCCTATCAATATGTCAAATATTATTACTGAACATTATTCCTTTATTTACATTTTTTTTAAATTTGGAGTATATCAATATATCTACTAGACTTCTTTTTTCTGTGTACATAATAGCTTCAGTTTTGCTGCAGCGGTGTGAAAGTTCAGGCTCATTAAGTGCAGCCGCCTAACGGTGCTCGGCAGTTGGTACTCGATACCCGATACCCGGTACTCGGCTACCGACGATGATGTAAACGAGATTAAGCGAATCCAGCAGATTCCTAATTAGCAGCATCCTGCAAAAAGTGTGCTCCAAGTTAAAGCTGATTTTAAATGATAAAAAATGTTCCCGATTTAACGAATTTTAATACCAACTATAGAGATTTTGTGGTTGTAAACCAAAAATATCTTTATTTTCTTACCCAGGGGCTAAGAAACTGAATTAATTCCACTTAAATTGCAAGATAACTGAACTTTTATAGGGACATTAAAATGTGGAATGAAAAATGTTCTTATAGGGCCATTAAGTTACTGGTCTTCGGGCAACGGAGCTAGAGGAAAAGCCCATTTGTAATGACAGTTGCGATATATTTCCTAGAACGTGTTTAAATTCAGAGTGGCAAAAAAAATTCTTAACCCTAGATTGACTTGCCTATTTTTGGTAATCTTAAGTACAAATCTTAAGTACAAAAATCAAATAAAATGCATATATTATAGAGGATGACCGCAAAAATGTTAATATTTAACTTACAATTACCACTAAAGGTTAATAAACACAAAGATATCATCGGAAATAGCTTTAGGTAATTTTTAAGGTCTTGCCTGGCATATAAATTGTATTAACGATACAAATTCTGGGAAAACTACATAGCTAATTTAGTGGCTCTTGCTCTTTCTCTCTCTCTCTATCTATCTTTCTATCTGCATCTCATTTGACTTTCGCGGGCGAGAAAGTGTTAAGCGAAAACAACAACAAACAAACAAACAATAATGCTAATGAAGCCAACCGTGAAATGTGTTTTTTTCTCAATTTTTTTTAACGTTTGGAATTTTCTTTGAAAGTGCAACCGAGGCAGAGCAGCGTAAAATAAAAACCATAAAATATAACAAGAAGCAGCAGCAGAGGAATTGGTGAAAAGCGTTAACCGAAGCCAAGAAAAAATTAAAACCAACCGAAAACCAACATCAAAAGTTGCCAACTTTTTTTTTGCGACCGCAGCAGCCGAAGAAGAAGAAGCAGAAGCAGCGGCGTCAGCAGCGACGCCCGACTGCAGCCAGCGTCGCGCTGGCAACAACAAATTGCGGTAAGTTTTTCTTTTTTTTTGGCAAAAATAAAAATGAAAAGTAAACCCCATATAATTATGGTTCTTGCACAAAGAATATTTTGTTTTCAATTTTTTATTGTTCATAGTTTAAAAAAATACAAATCTTTAAATTTATTAAAATGTAATATTTCATATCATTTTTAAAAACATTTAATTCTTTCAAAAATACAAGTCCAAATTATTTGAAAATTAATTAAGTTTTAATATTATTAATATTGTAATATGATTGTAATTTTAAAATTCATAATATTCGCCTTATAGCTAGATATTTCCATGTTTTCAATAAAAATTTTAAAAATATAATACATTTAAATGAAAAACCAAAATGTTGAATAATGTTGGTAAAACTTTTTCTTTGTGCACTTATATACTCATTTTCCATCTGGATACACTCATCTATATATATTTACTGCTTCATTCTGTCACACACACACACACTGCTGATTTTACTGTTTAGTTTGTAATTTTGCCAAATTGTAGACACAGCATTATAAACACAAAAAAGAAACGAAACTAGAAATGTAGTTCAAAGTTTGACAGTCGTGAGGGAATGGAACGAACCTCGTTCCAGAAAATAATTCACTTAAATCCATTACATAATGGAAAGGCCAGACCGCCGATTAGCCAAATGAATTCATTTGTTGAATAAATCAGATAGGTTTTCAAAAATTAAATAGTGTAAATAATTGCTTTTTCAATTATACCGAAAGTATAGGATTTGAATAGAAAACGTACTTTAATCCTTTTGTCTTTTAATCGTACTATTTCCTCCTTTTAAAAGTCAACCCCGCTTTGGAAGCCCTAAGGTTGTCTAGTAAACTTTAAAACCTCGCTGTGGACGAGATCAACCCCCACATTTTCCGATGATAACGATTCCCGGCCATAAAAAGTCATCCCCATGGCCTGAACTTAAAAGCTTCGAACTGCTGCAAGTGTGAATGATTTTTATACCCTTGCAGAGGGTATTATGATTTCAGTCAGAAGTTTGCAACGCAGTGAAGGAGACGTTTCCGACCCCATAAAGTATATATATTCTTGATCAGCATCACAAGACGAGTCGATCTAGCCATGTCCGTCTGTCCGTCCGTCTGTCCGTCTGTCCGTCTGTCTGTTTCTACGCAAACTAGTCTCTCAGTTTTTGAGCTATCGGGATGAAACTTTCCCAAAAGTCTTCTTTCTATTGCAGGTAGTATATATGTCGGAGCCGACCGGATCGGACAACTATATCTTATACCTCCCATAGGAACAATCGACAAAAAAAAAACTTTAAAAAATTCTAGCTTCGGTGTTTTTTGAAATATTACCTTCTACTTTTGGGGATGTCATTTTTTAAATATATCTGAATTTCGAATTAATTATTTAAAAAATCGGACTACTATATCATATAGCTGCCATAGGAACGATCGGAAAATTAATGGAAAAGTAATAGGAAATAAATTCTAGCTTCTTTGGTTTTTATTGAATTATCTTCTACTCTAGGATATGACTCTTTTTAAATATTTCCGAATTTCAATTTTAATTTAATCAAAATCGGACGACTATATCATATAGCTGCCATAGGAACGATCGGAAAAGTAATAGGAAATCAAATAAAAACACCTCTTAACGAGGTAAAAAACTAGTGACGATCGCACCTTCAACATACAAAAGTTCTGATATCAACATTTGTGACGAAAAATTATTACACTCGTCATTAAATAGACTTTCTAATCTTTTCTCATTCGGCCCGCCCTAGCAGACTATTCCAGCCTTTTTCCCTTTAGAGGCATTTTCTATTGCAGCATTTTCTACGCTGCAATAGAAAATGCCTGTGAAGGGAAAAAGGCTGGAATAGTCTGCTAGGGCGGGCCGAATGAGAAAATATTAGAAAGTCTATTTAATGACGAGTGTAATAATTTTTCGTCACAAATGTTGATATCAGAACTTTTGTATGTTGAAGGTGCGGTCGTCACTAGTTTTTTACCTCGTTAAGAGGTGTTTTTATTTGATCTTCTACTCTAGGATATGACTCTTTTTAAATATTTTCGAATTTCAATTTTAATTTGATCAAAATCGGACGACTATATCATATAGCTGCCATTGGAACGATCGGAAAATTAATGAGAAATATTAGAAAATTGAACATTTTTGCGATTTGTTTATTAATAGGAATGATCTGCAAGGGTATATAAGCTTCGGCTGGCCGAAGCTAGCTTCCTTTCTTGTTCAAATTGAAATTAACGTTTAGCAGAATGAGACAGCAAAACGAAAAAATGGAAAAACAAATAGCAAAGGCAGACAAATGGGGGGTAAATTAAAAAAAAAATACATATTTCAACAAAGAGTGCTAAAAATAAACAAAAAAATTGCTGATGCCGTTTTCGAGTGCCGCCAGCAATGTCTTAAAATTACACAGAAATAAATATGATGGAAATATGGTAAAAAATATGGTATTTTCTGGTATTTATTTTTGCTAATATTAAAAAAAAAAACTTTTTTTAATCATATAAAAAACCATATTTTTAGTCCCATCAAATGATTATTTGCGAATAAAACGTATGTATGAAGGCACGTTCATCATTTTCCTGCGTGTATGCAAGGTGGGTGGCAATTTTCGGGGGTGGTTGGCGCCTGCCAGCGGGAAAGTGGAAAATGGCTAAGGGAAGGGCAGACGCCAGGCCCGAAAAACCCAGCCGCATTCGTTGATTTTTCCGTCGCCGGTGTGTGAAGCTGTGTGCGTGTGTGTGTGTTGCTGTGCTTTTGTGGCTGCTGCCCATGTCCAAGCATTCCGTTTTCCCATTTCCCATTTTCCGACTTGGCCCACGATCTTCTCGGGGGTTAGTTATTTTTGGGAACGACAACCGCAGGAGCAGCCCTCTGAACTTCTCAACTGCGGAGGAGAACAATTCACGACGAAGGATTGCCGAATATGGAATATATATATGGAATATGTGGATGGATGCGGATGCGGATGCCTGTGGCGCAGGCAACGTGTGTTGTTGTTTCAGTCTCAGCTTTCTGGGCCACTTCTGCACTGGAGAGGATGAGAGGATGGAGCAGGGATAGTACGCCAGCCCACGGATGCGATGACAACCAGAAAACGGACGGAATGAGCCGATAAATCTTGGCTGAACCACAAAGACCTGTTTAGCAGGGCTCGGGATGTGATAAATAACTTCAAATAGACTTTATATTACAAAGTAATTCCTGGTCTAATATGTAAAATGTGTAGAGCTCTCTGAAAGATTATAAGAGTTAGGATATTTCTTTAAAAGTATACGAAATTCCCATAATTGTTTGTATTCAAATTTTAAATATTGAGCATTTCTATTAAAAAGCATACTGTCGTTTTCCCTAATCTTTAGTGTTAAATATTTCTAAATATTAAATGGAACATAAGAAAAAATACCAAACTTTCTTAAAGTAGTTCTCAAAGATTAAATGGAACATACGGAAAAATACCAAACTAACTCGAAGTAGTTCTCAAAATACATATTCAACCCAACTATAAAACTTGATTTCCAAATCATTCGTTCAAATGCCTTAAGTTTGACGGCTTGAGGTTAATTTCCCTCGAAACCATTGAACTTTGAAGGCCAATTAAGCTATCAAGTTGAGTCGGTAATTGATCACTATATCTGGATCAGATGGCCATCCAATATCCAATCTCTGTGCCCAAAAGCTTGATTGGAAAATGTCAAGGGTGCCGGGTGTCCTTCTGATTCTTTTTCTGTTTCGGATTCTGATTCTGATTCGGATTCTGACCATCTGTCCATATGTCTCGCACTCAAAGTGAACAAAAAGAAGCACAAACTTGGCGATGGCGATGATTTTGTTGCCTGTTGTTCTGTTTTGTTCCTTTCTGTTCCTTTCTGTTCTGTGCTTCTGAACTTTGAAGGATTTTCCCCCCATCTGGGAGGAGGATGTTTGTATGCGTTTGGTATTTGGTATTGGCGAAAACTCCCCATACAACAGGCACATGCCCAGAGGGCCACGCATAATACACATGCAAATGTCAAAGCTGCCAGGCTGTCGCCATAAGCGAAAGCGTCACTTGTGCCACCTAACCACCCAACCACCCACCTTGCCACCCCACCACCCACCACCCAACATCCCCACCACCCATCATCATCCACCGCGACGGCCATCGGCGAGTTTTAGCGGATTTTGTTTTTGTGCCGGAATGGAAATCGTCTTCTTTGCCCTCGTTGTCATTACAGTACACCCTGCAATTTGTCATTTGAACATTATTTCTTTAAGTGTAATAGACATAGACTACTAATTTTGACGATTATAGACACACTTGCTTTGAAACAGGCAATCATTTTTATGAATACGAGTAGGAATACTTTTTTATAGAATATCTTCTTGTGTTTAAAATTAAGTAAAATAAGAAAAAAGTTGTGTTTGAGGAAATTTATCAATAGAGTTATTTCAGATTAAATTCAGATTGAAAATATTGAAAAAGTTTGCATTTTAAATAATAAAATAATAAGTCCGGAAGTTTTAAGGATATTTCACACTTTATCGAGAGTGCACTGTTTGGTTTATTGTTGTTCTTGTTGTTGTTGTGTGTCATCTACGAGTTTTCTCTATGCTCCAGTAAAATTTGAGGAGGGTTGTTAAGAGGAAAAGCCAAAGTTGGGTGGGTAGATAGGTGTGTGTGGTGTGGTGCGGTGCGGTGGGTGAACTTTGGAAAACTCACCACCATCTTTTGCCAAACCGGTCCCAGTCGACCGCTTCTTCTTCTTATTCCGATTTCTTACTGTCCTCCACACTCTGGAAAAATAAGACGGGATTTACGATCTTTAAGTGATCCTTAAATTCCTGTTTCGGGTCTTTCATCTAGTTTTTTATACCTTTCCATTTAAGAGTCAAAGGTTATATTGTATAAGTGGAAACGAAATTGTATAACGGGTATCCCAAAGTCGAGGAATTTGGCTTGGTATCCATTTCTCTATTCTCGCTTTTTTATGCACAGCCTGCGGAGAAAATGCCGC